TTGCCCTTCCCTTTCTTGCCCGCTGCCGCACCCTCGGCAGCGGAAGCAGCTCGAGCCTTCTTCGTCGCCGCTTCACCACCATCTGCGTCTTCCTCCGCCGCAGCAGCCTTCTTCTTCTTCGACGCAACCGAGCCACTCGTGGCAGGAGGTGCGCCATCCACCTCTTTCGCCTTTCCCTTCCCCTTGTCCTTCGAAGCTGGCGCTGGCTCGAGGATGGCTGCGGCTGACGTGCCAGAGACGGGTGGTGTAGCCGAAGCCGACTTGGGCGCGGGTGCGGAAGGTGCGGGAGGAGGAGGAACGTATTTCGGGAGAGGCGGGAGTGGAAGCGAGTTAGGGATAGGATAACCGATAATTCGTGGGGGCGGATCTGGCGCGTCCTGCGGTGGCATGATCGACGCATAAGCGAGGTGAACGAGACGGAGAAGGAGGACACGCCGATTTACGCCTCTATACCGCGCTTCCGCCTCGAGGTACAACAACCCCTTCTGCAACAGTCTGACGAGGTGTCCTGGAGGGACGACCTGGTCCATCACCGGGTTTCGACTTGGTTCTGCCGATGAGCGACCGTTCGGTTGAGGCGAGGCGTTCGTGGACGAATGATGGGAGGAGGAAGAGGGACCGGCGAGTGAGGACTCGTGCAGGAGCGAGAACGAGGTGTGGTGGTAGCCTGCATACGCATGCGTGTGTGTCCAGTCAGTCACAGTCCTCGAATTGGGTAATGATTCGTGACAACACTGGCACATGAGCGAGCAAGGCGAGTGAGACCAGGAAGTCCTGCGCGACATGCGTCTCCACCTGAGAGCACGCGCGGCCGCCTGCGTTCCCCAGCGACACTTCGTTGAATCCAACACGCGCGCCCGCAAGCCTTCACCGCGCCTGGGCAGCCGTTACCCTTGTCACAACAAGTGCTCCACCCAAGATCCGACCACCTCGTCGCAGGCTGAACTGGGGAAACGCGACGCACCGCTCTCCTCCAGATACGAGTAGACCAGCCAGTCGAGCTCGTCGGACGTCATCATCGCCTGCGGAAGCGGCTGAGGCGGTCGACGGGCCATGGCGACGCTGGCGGGCGCCGCACGAAGGTCCTGTTGCGCGGCGGGACGAGTTCGCCTCGGCTGAAGCGATGCTCTCGGTACAGTCTAGCTTCGCTTCAAGCGCGCAGCAGTGCGAGCGATGTTTGATACAAAGTCAACATCTGCGAGGACTTCCCTCGACCTTGACCACCTCACGACAGCGAGCAGACGGAGCCAGACATGTCGCAGCAACAACAAACGCAGGCCCAGGGACTCGAGGCGTTCGACGAAAACACCCGCGTACGTCCTCACCCTTCTCCCGCTCCGCTTGCTCGACTTCATCTCGAGAAGTTGCTGACCCGCTTCACACGCAGCGCGAGCTCCAGCATTTCCTCGAGCAGGAGCAGACGAAGGCTCGGTGCGTTCACCGTGCTTCGGAGTGGCTGGAAAGCGTTGCTGATCGACCGTCGTCTCCTCCTCAGGATCCAGACGCAGATTCACGAGTTCACCGACACCTGCTGGGACCTGTCCGTGCATCGGATGGCTGTCCTTGGGCTTCTACTAACCTCTCTTGCTGCAGCTGCATCAAGGGCCAGCCCCAATCACGGTTCAGTCGGGGAGAGCAGGCGTGCTTGGGTGCGTTCGTCTCCCTTGAAGGGTTTGCGTGTGCAGGCTGACAGTTCTCCTTCGCAGCAAACTGCACCGACCGATTCCTCGACGCGTCCCTGTTCATCGTCAAGTCGCTGGAGGAGCGCAAGGGTCAAATGTGAACGCACCTCTGTATCGTACCAAAATCGCAACAGCGCAACGCAATTCTCTCCGCCTCCCACACCCGTCTGCTCACTTGCTCGACAAGCTCTCCGCCTAGTCTCCTTCTCTACGAGGTCGTCGATGGCTGTCTATCCCCGCTAACCTGATCTTTCGAGGTCTCCCGTCGATTGTCCTCTCAGTGTGGCTGGCCAGGCTTCTATCCCAGACTCAGCTTCATATTTACGGTGCGTTTACCGCGTCGACTGGCCCCAGGGCGCTTGAGGGATCGCCTCTTCGAGACGAGCTGACCGTTGCTCGGCTTCGCAGGAACGGTTTCAAGGTCTCGAACCTCGCGCTCGATACTCTCTGCCCTTCCTTCGATGCCGCACGAGCATAGAGAGAACGCCATTCTCCATCAGGACATGTTAAAGTCGGTCGCGTCGGGAAGGCTGCGCTCGATCCGCCATTCCGGGGTCTCCTCGCCCGCACAGGCCCTGCTGGCTCCTCCTCGCCTTCATCACTTCGCCTGTTTTCTCCTGCTCGCTTGCTTTGCTGTCGACTGTGGCGACATTGCTGTAGACGTTGGCGGCTGTTCCACGGCTGTCTGGCCTGATTGGCTCGGCACTCGTCGGTGCAGGCAAGAGAGAGACTGATTCGGGGAGTTGCCGACGAGCAGAGGTGCGTCGGTCGCCCCTCTATCCGACACGGCGAGACTGATGACACACCCGAAGCAGACATGCCCTCTTTCGCGCACGCGCGCTCGACCTCTTCGCCCTCTATCCTCGCACCTATACCTCTTCGACCCCTCTCTCTCGTCCCCGAATCGGCCTCTTCCCGCAAAACGGCGCTGACACCGGATGAGCGATTGACGCTCTTCGAACCGCCTACACGACCTGTTCTTGCTGTGATCCAGCCGCCATCCGGCTCGTGGTCGCAGAATGGCGGACAAGGGAGCATCCTGGCCGGTCCATCGGCGAGAGGGCGCCACGATGTGATCAGGAGCGTGAAGGCGAAGGAACGGGAGCGGGAAAGACGGGGACACCAACGGAGCTCCTCAGATGGTGCTGTTCTTCGGACCCTTACGCCTTTGCCGACATTTGCGCCAGTGTCGCCACCTCCTTCGCCTCCACTACCGCTCCCAGCTCCCTCATCGAAACCGACTACCGCCCCGTCCCTTCCTTCGCCACTCGCACCCTTACCGTCGTCTTTCACGCCAGCCAGAAGAGGACGGTCTCCCTCGATTCGCCGCAGCTCGTCCTCGCCATCACTTCCTGGGTCTTCGGCTTCACCCGCACCTAGACCTTATCCTCTTTCTCGACGATACACCCGCTCCGCCTCGCTCTCGCATCTCTCGTCTCGATCACCCGTCCAAGACCGCTCGATCCCGCAACTTTCGCATTCTTCCCTTCTCGACCCTACCGTACGGTCAGATTCTTCAACAGGGCCCGAACTGTCACGAACACCCTCGCCAACGCCGCAACAGCAGCTCTTCGAGTCGCTCGTCTGCGCAACACTCGAGCGACGTCTTGCGGATCGTCTAGCAAAGGCGTCTGGGCAAGCTGACGGTGGAAAGAAGCTGGCTGAGAAGGCGGGACTGATGGGCTTGCGAGCTGGGCGGGAGATGATCTTATGGGGCGCAATCAGGCGAGTGAGGGAGGCGGAGCAGCGACGGAGCGGTAAGGTAAACCCCTAGACTCGCTGCTTCGGATACTTGCTGAAGACGTGCGCGACTGCTAGCTTCGACGCCGGCCATCCCGCAACTCTCGGAGCACGGCAAACGCCGCAGCCGCACACATGTTCGCTCGTCCTCCTCGCCGACCGTTCCATCTCACCCTTTGACCTCGCCACCAGCTACTCTATCAGAGTCGGCGTCTTCAAGATTGACGGAACCGAAGGCGTGCGCAGTGCACCGCAAACATCACTCCATCACCTCGCTTTCTTCCTTCCCGCCGCGAGATAGCAAGCGTTCGAGCTCTCCAACCAAAAACGACGAGACGCCACTCTCTTTCTTCGTTACCGTCCGCGTCCAGCTACCGGCGTCTCCCGCTCCCGCCGTCACACGCATGACCTCGTCGCGACTTTCTCGGCCAGGTCTCGCAGCGCAGGAGGATCTCGCGGCGGTGATGCACCAGCCCAGCGCGAAGGGGTACAGGCGAAGTATCTTGGGCGTCAAGCTGCCCCGCTTGCCGAAGAAGGCGGCTCGATTCGAGGAGACGGTGCACGCAAAACGGTCGAGTAGTACCCTTTAGCCCGCTGCATACCCTGAAATCGTACAATGCTACAGCGTCTAGAACTGCGCTTCGAAGAGAGTGAAAGCCTTTCTCGCAACCGAATCAAGCCTTGCAGGTGTGCGTCGCTAAAGAATCGGAGACGTTAGCTCACGCTTCTGGTGCACACGAGAACAACGCTGAACGTACCGACATCAGCCGTGGTGCCGTCCGGACAGTCTGCCGCGACGATGCAGTAGCCGAGTGAGGCGTCCTCGCTTGCGTCCGACGAGGCGATGAAGAACAGGCGGGCGCCGTCTTTGCGCGTACCGCTGCGTCGTGACTGAATGAGCGCTTCACTAGGAAAGTGCGGAGGGTTCGAGCGTACCAAGAGAGAGCCTGGTCCTCCCACAATCCGAGGCAAGTCTCGATGCCGTCGTTGCAAGGCTCGAACGTCGCGGTCGTGTCGTCCGGGTAGTAGCCGGGAAAGTCGACATTCGGCAGCTCGCAGTTATGCGTCGGTGTGAGGTAGGTCAGGTCGCCAGCCGAGTTGTAGCCGCATTGCTTCGCGCCTTGAGCGTCGCAATTGAGCTGGAGGACGTCGAGGTCAGCCCGGGGTCTCGACGCCAAGTCGTCAGCGACACGTACTATGCCGGCAGCCGAATCACATGCAACACATGTGTGCGAAGGCACAGAGCCTCCCGTTCCCCAGTCACACTCCGTCAAGCAGGAACCGTCTGGTGTGAGGAAGTAGGGCGCTCCGGCCGCGTCGGAGCCGCTGCGCCACAACGGAGTCAGCGCGACTTCGCGATGTCAACTTGGAGAGATCTGGCGCACCAAGCGAGCGGATTCCCGTCTCCTGCACCCGTGCACTTGGTCACGCCGGTGTCGCAAGGTTTCGTGGTACGAGCTGTGGAGGCGAAGGTCAGCGATGGATCAGCGAATGAGATCGCTTTTGGTCAACGTACTCGTGTCGTCCGGGTAGTAGCCGTCGGGGATGTCAGCGGCGGCAACACAGGTTCCGAGCGAAAGATACAGCGTTTTGCTGGAAGTGAAGGGCGATGAGCATGCATTACTGTCATTGAGACGTCGCTCAACGATGTGACGCACCAGCCAAAAGCAGATCCGACCTTTCCATCGGTGCAGGAGGAAGCATCCGGGTCCGCGCAAGGCGAGCAGGCTTTTGCGACGCTGTCAGCGAAGGTACCGCTCGGGCATTGCGACGAGTCGACGCAGCTGCCCGAGAGGAGGAAGCCAGTAGAGCTGGTTTGCGCAGACGGGAATCGTCAGCGAGCGAATGGAGGGAAAAAGGCGGAGCGACGGACCAGGAGAGGGCGTTGCCGGCGCCAATACCGGTGCAAGTCGCTACGCCCGTATTGCATGCTTTGGCGGTATGCGCTGCGCGCGAGAAGCTGCGTCAGCAACAGTAAAGAGCGCAGTCGAGCGAGCTCACTCGTGTCGTCTCCGTAATAGCAGGCGGGAAGATTTGCGCCCGCAATGCAGGTCCCGTTGAAGAGGTACGTCGTGTTGCTGTCGGAGGCGAGTTATCAGCAGAGCGAGGCGGACGAGCCAGGCCGACTCTCGCACGCGCACCAGGACAAGGCGGTTCCAACGCTGCCATTCGAGCAGGACTTCGCATCGGTATCGGCGCACGGAGAGCAAGTCTTCCCCGTCTTGTCGGCCCATGTACCGGTCGGGCACAGCGCGGCGGTTACACATTGGCCGGCGGAGAGGTAGCCCGATGCGCTGGAAGGAGGTGCGAGAGGTCAGCACGCTGCACGCCCTTCAAGTCAATTGGAAAGGCGTACCAGGCCGTGGCGACTGTTGCACTCGAACACTTAGAGAAGGGTAAAGGACACTTGGCGCAAGTACCGTCCCCGACGGGGTACGATCCACCCGAACAGACAGTCAGACACTTGGTCTTGTCGACGTTTGTGACCTTGCCGGCTCGGCAGATGCAGCCTGTTCGGGTGTTGTTGATCGAGGAGCTGCACGAAGGCGAGCTAGTAAGCGGCGAGATCGAATGCGACTGAAGCGGAAGACGGAGAGTGCTCACCCATTCTGGCAGTCTGGAACGCAGTTCTTGCTTTGTAGCTTGTACGGCGCGCGGCACTTGCAGGTGCCCTCTGCGGTTGCGGCAGTAAGGAGCGAGTGGTGGTCAGCCCTGGAAGAACGGGTCGAGGTGAGCGCGAGAGCGACGAGGAAACCCAACTCACCGAACTGCGGCGTCTGGTTGAGCGGACACTGTTGCTTGCAGTACTTGCTGTACTTGTTGGCGATGTAGGCAGCCATGCAATCGCCCTTCAAGCCCCGGCGGACGAGGTGAAAGCCTTGCGATTCAGATGCGAGGGTGTCGAGGGTGGAGGATGGGTGATTCGTGGAGGCCAGCGCCACAGTCGACAGGCTCGTCAAGGTGAGCAGAGGGGAGAAGCGCATCGCGCCAGATAGTGCCGTCAAATAGGAAGCGGAACTGGTTGGCGTCGGGACGGACGACTGGCTGCAAGCGAGGCGAGGTGGATAGGGTGAAGCAAGAGAGCGAGAAAGCGCAAAACAGCCTCGAGCGGGCTGCTCAGGAAGTCCAGCACGCCTATCGAGCAGCCTCCCCTGCGTCGGAGAACCGGCGAACAATCTATCGCTCGAACCTCGTCGTCGAGGCCTTGCCTGCGACCTTCGATCGCGGTGCCATGCGTCCATTGACGGTGCGAGAGGACGCACGGATGGTCTGGCCAGGGCAGCAGCCCTGCCGGGCGCGATGCCGCGGTGTCGAGATTCTCAGCAGTTGTCGGGGCGAGGGGGACGAGTGAGGACAGTGTGGGAGAGGCTCTCCCACTCGTAGCGCAACCCTGAGTGATTCTTAAAGCGTAGCAATGAGCATCGGCCTGCACGGCGGGCTCGAGGTGGAGTGACGGAGGCCGAAAGGCGAAGGCGAGGAGGGGAAGCTGCTTTCTGCTTGCAGGGTTGCTCCCCTTGAGCTTCGCTTTGTAAATCGATCTCTCGGCGACAAGACGAACTCCGCGATTTGAAGAACAGCATTGCAGAACGGCGACGGCGCGGAGGAAGTCCACAGTCAGGGTTTCGCCGCGACGGGCTGACTATTTCGTATCTGCGCCAGCGACGTCAGCTTCAACAAACTCTCAAGTCGACGCAGAAGTACACGCACACGTCTCGCCCAACCGCTTGACGAGGTACGCCTCCGTCTCGACCTCCGGATACTTCGGCTCCCCCGTCCCAGGCAAGCAGCGAATCATCTCGTGCAAGTTTGGGTTCGAGAAGAAGGCGATGCTGTTTCGCCGTGCGGTCATGGGCTCGGAAGGGTCGCCGTCGGCGGGGAGGACGACGCGGTGGATGGTGGATTTGAGGACGTCGTTCGACCAGCGCATGAGGAGGTCGCCGACGTTTACGACGACCTGCAAAGCAAACACTTTAGCTCAACGCTGCGTACAGTACAAGGAGCAAGACGCACGGTGTCATCTACGGGACGAGCGGGGACAAAGTTGCCCTGCTTGTCCTGTACCTCGAGTCCGCCAACCGAGTCCTGGAAGAGGAGGGTGACGGTGCCGTAGTCCGAGTGCGAGCCTGCGCGGTTCCCGCCTCCTTCGATCTTCGCCTTCTCGATGGACGGGTAGTTGAGCCTGCGGGAGAGGCAAGTCGGGTCAGCAAGTTCGCTTCGTCCCGCCACCTTGCGCGATGCCCTCTGCAAGGGTGAGCGGCCGTCGAAGGGGTGAAGAGCTTGATGAAGGAGATTTTACGCACAGTCGCAGGTTGTGCGCCTTCTGATTGACCTTGTCATCGAAGAACCCCTCTCCCAATCCCATCGCCAACGCCAACGCCCGCATGATCTCGACATGCAGCCTGTGGCAGTCTTCAAAGAACTGGTTCATGAACGGCTTGAAGTCGGGCAAATCGGTTTCGGGCCAGCGGTTCTGCAAGGAAGGGAGGGTCAGGTTGCGAAGGTCTGCAAGGAAAAGGAGAGCGTACCTCGAAGGGCGAGTCGTAGGGCCCATCCTTGTAGTCCTTGCCAATCTCCATCGTCTCTTTGTAGTCTGTGCGGGGGAGCGAGCGTCAGCGGTCTGTCACGGAGACCCATCGCAAGGGTCAGCTGCGAGGTGAACGTCTCCGGTCTCCACAGCTTTGTCCGTTGGGTAACAGCCGGGCTCGATGTCCCCTCGGTCGGTAAACCCGCAAGGTGACGAAAGGACTCTGAACTCACCCGGCGCCTGCGCCCTCAACTTCTCAATCGCCTCCTTCGAACTCTCCTGCGTGACCCTCTCCCTCCCCTCCGCGACATATCCCCTGTTCGACTCGGGACACTCCCACGCCAACTTCTCCTTCACCTCCATCGGGAGGTCGAAGAACTGTTTCGTTTGGGCAAAGGCGGAGGAGACTTGAGAGGGAGGGATGAGCGAGTCGATGTTTCGCAGCATGAGGAAGCCGACCTGCGCCGGTGCACGTCAGCAAGAGCTTTGGAGAACGCACAGTAGAACGGGAAACCCACGTCCGTGCAGGCCTTGAACAGTTCCTCCGCAACCTCTTTCTTCTCCGCCTGCGAACCCGTCAAGAACGGAGCAAAGTCGATGATGGGGACGATACCGGAGACAGCCATCGTTCTGCACGTTCTGTAGGCGTCGTCAGTCGCCAAAAAAGAGCTGGGCAGCGAGGAAAGTGCGCACGGGAAGCGGAGTGGGGAGTCGAGGTGAGCGGAGTGCGGGCGAGGCTGAGTCGGGTGCGTCGGTTCGACAGGGCTCAGATGGAGCAGTAGCAAGTTAGATCAGCACAAATCAGCGAGCAGGAGGCAGAGGAAGAAGCTGAAGCGGCCGTCCGCAAGGAATCGCGGGTCGCCCGGACGATAAGGCTGGGTCTCGCTCCAACACCCGCTGCTGGGCAGGCAGGCAGTTGTGACGCCCAGTAATGGACTGCTCGACGCGCTACCGAAGCATTCCACGCACCGGCATGAGCTGACGCCTCGCATCGGCACCTCCATCTCCTCCTCGTCCCGCTGGTCCGCTACCGATGCCCCCAACTGGCAGGGCCTGGCCGCGAATCTTATGCTTCTCTCGCACTCCTTCTAATACCCTGCCGACTGCGCGCCACCCTCGCGAGCCCGCTTGACAACCTCCTCGAATCCTCATCGCTTGACGCGAGAAATGCGGCTCATCTTGACTGGCGCGACGGGGAATGCTGGAGCAGACGTCCTGAGGGAGGCACTGAAGGACTCGCGTGTCACAGCGGTGCGTACGGCAGAGAGCACGAGTCCAGTCGATGTCACTGACCTCTCGTCCTCCAGGTCACCGTCCTCTCCCGACGCCCGCTCCCACCTCGACTCAACCCCGACCCACCAAACCTCAAAGTCCAAGTGATTCTCCACGAAGACTTCACCTCCTACCCACCCGCTCTGCTCAACCAGCTCGAAGGCCACTCGGCCTGTATCTGGGCTTTGGGCGTCTCGAGCAATGGCCAGACGGAAGAGAACTACAGGAGGATCACGGTCGAGTATCCGCTTGCTGCGGCGAAGGCTTTTGCGGGACTGAAGAAGGAGAGAGAGGGGGAGGGGAAGTTTGTGTTTGCGTACTTGAGCGGCATGGGTGCGGATCAGAGGGAGGGAAAGGCGCGGGCCATGTTTGGCCGGATCAAAGGTGCGCATCGTCGTTCTGAGATCTTCCTTCGAGCCCTTGTACTGACGCAAACGCACGCAGGCGACGCCGAGCGCCAGCTCGCGCAACTCCCCTCGCAAGGCTATCCATCGCTCGCAACCTACTCCTTCCGCCCAGCCGGCATCCTCTCCTCCGATCCGGACTCGAATGCCTCGCTAGCCTACAACCGGCCCTTCCTGCAGTCCGCCTTCCGCACTCTCGGTCGCGTCTTCCCCTCGATCGTGACAGACTCACCGGTGCTTGCGCAGGCGATGATCGAGGCGGCTTTGCGAGGTGGGAGTGGGAGTATCGAGGGATGGGAGGGCAAGGGGAAGGTTGGGAACGAGGGCGTGTTTGAGAATGCGGACATCAAGAGGTTGGCCGAGGAGTCGCCCCCCGAGTAGGGTCGCCTGCTGCGTCGCCTGGGTCATCGTTATCGCTCGCTGGAGCTGTAGACGCTGCTGTTGCACTGTACGACTGCGTTGTTCCTTCACTCGCCTATCGCTTGTCCTTGGGCTGGTTGACAATGTTGATGAGCTTGGAAGGGTTGGCTGACCTCGCTCACTCCCTCTCCCGCCTGCTCGTGCTCGTGCGAGGATGGCTGCTGTTCAGGCTCAACCACGACAGGCTCCCTCAGTCGCAGGCAGCCGCGCCTCGTCGTCCCGCTCGCGCGCCACCGCCGCCTCGTCCTCGACCGGTCTCCGCGAGAAGAGCCAGCGCGGCGCACTCATCACCTCGTCCCTCCCGACGCTCCAGAACCTCGTCAAGCGGTCTCCAGAGAGCTACGCAGAGGAGTTTGCCGTACAGTGGGCCAGGTTCGGCAGCTTGGTCAAGATTGTGCAGCTGGGACTCGGAGCGGGAAAGGCGGACGAGGAACAGCTCAGGGAGGTCACGGGCTTTGTTTGCCAGGTGAGGTGGTCTCACAGAAAGCTGGAGAAGCTACCGAGCTCACTCGCTCGTCCCCTCGAACAGGTCGCGCACCTCTATCCCACCCTGACCGCCTCGCTACCCTCGATTCTCTCCGGTTTGCTCCTCTCGTCCGCTCCAACTGCTTCGACTGCCGCATCGAGCACCGCAGCGACCCTTGCCGGCGCTAGCAATGGCATCAGCGGTGGAGGCGTCCAGCTTGGTCCCGACACGAGGAAGACGATGATGCAGGGACTCGTCCTCCTGCGCCGCAGGGATGTCATTTCGGGCGTCGAGTGAGTCAACCGCATTGGGAGATTGGACGAGACCAGCGCGCTGACGAACGACTGCCCAACAGCCTCCTCAAGACGCTCTTCCCGCTCCTCTCGATCACAACCTCCCCCAACCTCCGCACCTTCATCCTCAAGACCATCATCGGCGACATCAAGAACGCGAACCTCAAGTCTCGCAACAACAAGCTCAACACGATGGTCCAGGGTCTGCTCATGGCCATGATCGAGCGCGGTATCGCAGCGGAGCAAGAACTCGTCGGCACGGGCATCAAGGCGTCTCGCCGTGGTGCGTCGACCGGCAAGGATGGGAAGGTTGTTGGTGGACGAGAGGCGATGTGGGCAGTCAAGATCGCGTCCGAGTTGTGGCGGAAGAATGTCTGGCGCGGGGATAAGATGACGGTCAAGGTTGTCGCGCGCGCGTGCTTCCACCCCGACACGAAGGTCCAGAGCGCAGCGATGCACTTCTTCCTCGTCACGCCCGACTCGGCGAACGACGTCGATTCGGAGAACGACTCGGACGAGGGCCCCGACATCCAGGCTGTCAAGCACCGGCAGGAGATCAACAAGAAGCGCAAGTCGACCGAGCGCAAGGCCAAGCGGGACATTCGCAGCGCCAACGCCAAGCGCAAGGCGAAGGAGGCTGCGGCCAACGATGCCCAGGCCAACTTTTCGGCGCTCCAGCAGCTCGACGATGCGTACTCGTTCGGCGAGAGGCTGTACGAGCAACTCGTCAAGCACGACAAGGCGTACACGCTCGAGCACAAGGTCCTCATCATGCAGCTCTTCGGTCGCGTTTGCGGTACTTTCAAGCTCACCGTTCCGGCGTTCTACTCGTACATCCTCAAGTACCTCACCCACCACCAGCTCGACATTACCAAGATCCTGGTCGCTCTCGCCCAGTCCGTTCACGACCAGATCCCCGCCGGCAGCCATAGTGACGACGATGTCCAGATGGACGGCACGAACGCGCACGAGCAAGACGACCCTCTCTACCCCGTCCTGCGCAAGATCGCGAACGAGTTCGTCCACTCGGGTGTAGCGGCGGAAGTCAACGCCGCAGGTCTTAACGCCATCACCGAGATCTGTCGCCGCCAGCCGCTCGCCATGTCGCCCGACCTCTTGCAGGACCTCGTCGAGTACCGCAAGTCGAAGGACAAGGGCGTCATGGTTGCTGCGCGTGGGCTGCTCGCGTTCTATCGCGAGGTCGACCCGTCGATGCTCAAGCGCCGCGACTGGGGAATCAAGGCGACCAAGGACGCGATCGAGGAGAAGCGCGGAGGAGAAGGTTCGGCGGTCGAGGGCGCGGCGGAGAAGAAGCGCAGGCTCAAGTTTGGCGAGGACCGTGAGACGGTGCACGGCATCGAGGGTCTCGACGTGAGCGGCGCTCATCTGACTTTTGCTTGGCGCGATTCACTGACTATCTCTTCCGCTCGCAGCTCTTCGCGCAGCACTTGGCTGACCAAGCCGAACAAAACGGCGGCGAAGCAGGCGAAGAGGAGGACGACGAAGCAGGCTGGGAAGGCTGGGACGTCGAGGACGACTCGGACGCCGACTCGGACTCGTCAGGCGGCTGGATCGAGGTCTCGTCCGAGGGCGAGGACCTCGAGATCAGTGATTCGGACGACGATGACGAGGACAAGGCGCGGAAGCGGCGACGGGTCGAGGCGCGCGAGGCGAAGAAGCGCAAGCTTGAGGCGGTTGAGGAGGACGAGGAGGATGCCGATGCGCCGGTCGCGAAGGGCAAAAAGGTTGTCGATGTTGCCGGTACCAAGGCCGACGACGAGATTCGCTTTGACGAGGAGAGCGGGTCAGAGGAGGACGAGGAGGACTCGGGCGACGAGAGTGGCAGCGATGAGGAGGAGGAGGAGGCGGGGACGACTCGCGCAGAGCCGCTCGAGGCGCAGTACGAGATGAGCGCGACGCGGGCGAACAAGGAGCTTGCCGGCACTACGTTTGCCGAGATTGCCATGACCAAGGTGTGTCGCCGGTCGTCTACGCAGGTCTTGCATCCTTGAAGCTCACGCCTGTTCGCTCGCAGATCCTCACGCCGGCCGACTTTGTCAAGATCAACGAGCTGCGCATGCAGGCTGCCGAGGACGAGGCGAAACACGGCGGCGGGTCCGCTGCGCGCCGCAAGCTGGCTGCTCTCGCTGCCGCTCGCAAGGCGAACCATGGCGACAACGACAACTTCCTCGACGAGGGCGACATCGTCGGCGTGGTCAAGAAGGCGAAGAACAGCTACGAGGAGCGCTTGGCCAAGGTTCGTCTCGTTCGCTCGCCGTGCTCGGCTTCGAGCTCACCTTGTCTCCCATTCCACAGATCCAGGAGGGCCGCGCCGACCGCGAGAAGTTTGGCTCGCACAAGCACAAGAAGCTCGACTCGAAGCCGCACTCGACGACCAACGCGGAGAAGAAGCGCTCGAAGAACTTCATGATGCTCGCTCACTCGCACCAGGTCGTCTCGAAGAAGCGCCAGTCGCTGCACCAGAAGTCGCGCAAGATGCGCAATCACGTCAAGCACCAGAAGTCGGGCAGGCGGCGCAATGGCGAGCACAAGTAGCGGGGAGCTCGGTCGAGTCTTGGGTTCCTCGCGGCTGTTGTATGTCTCTCGCTGCCGCATCTGCATTCACTCGTTCCGCACGCAACGCACAAGCCTGAGAGAGCACAACAGGAGCCTTGCATTGTCTATACAGAACAATCGTCTTCACACGCCTAACCGGTATCCTCGAGTGGCTGCCCTCGCCCGCTTCTCCGTCCGCACCTTGTCGCGCCACATCTGGAAGCAGATGTACGTTGAGAACGCCGCTGAGATGCCGCCGATCCTGCGGTGGGGCCATGGTCAGCTACTCGCTTGGAATGGCACGACCACTCAGCGAGAACGCACCGGAAGATCAGGCCAAGTGCGTCCCATCCGGCTTGACCTCCTGGCGGCAAGTCTTCGCCCGCCTCCTGTCTCCGCTCGACGAACGCCCTTCCTACGGCGGCGACTGCCCGGACAGCTAGCGACGCAAACTCGTTCGTCCCGATAGCGTCGATGTCGTCGATACTCGCGACGCTCAATGAAATGGTTGAAGCGGTCGTCAGGTTGGTGTTCGGCGGAGCGATAGTCGGATGGTGCGCGGGAAGCACCGAGTGATGCGGCGCAAGGATAGCGAAGATGATGGAGGAGAGGGCCGTGACGAGGAACTGCGGTAGGACGAGGAAGATGTTGTGGCATCTGTCGGAGGCGAGAGTCAGCTGTCTGTTCAGTCAGCCGACGACAGAGCAGCGCACCCGAGGATGACGCCCGTTTGATCTCCGCCTCCAGCAACATTGCCCGCATCCGAGCCGTCCTCAGCTGCTTCGGCCTGCCACTCGTCCTCCTGCCCCTCCTCGCCTTCGACAACGATTCGAGGCGTCCGTGCCCCACCGTTCCGTCCCAGCGCGGGCGACACCGAGATCGACCGCTGACCGCCCACCTCCAGATGTCCTCGACCGCCTGGACCGTCCGCAAAGTCGAAGCTGTCGCGCTCCGCCTCGTCGAGGTCGAACGAGTCGGAGTGCCGGATCTGCAGGATGCGAGACGAGTCGTGTCCGGCTGCCTCGCCGTCGCTGTCCAGGCCAGACTCTCCGCCATACGTCCCCTTCTGCACGCTGCCCCGGCGCGGCAGGTGGATCGTCGACTCCGATCCCTTCCCGCCTCTCCCGTAAGACGAGGCGAGCGCACTCCTTCCGCCATAGGCGTACGGGTCCGCCGAGTAGAACTCCTGCGAGAGCCGTCCTCTGTTGCCGCGTGGAAAGCCGCCACCCTCCTCATCCGCATCGAAGAGGTTGACGCCTACCGAGCCGTGATTTGGGGGAAAGGCGATCGTGCTGCCGCTCTTGGCCGACTCGAAGCTATTCCGCCTCGTGGAGCCGTGCGAATCGTTCAGCCGATCGGACGTAAAGCTCGGTGATGCGGAGAGAGTAGGTGTTCGTGAGCCGGTAGTCGAGGGAGAGCCAAGCTGAGGACCCGAGTTGGTCGATCTGAACGAGTTGTCCGAGGTCGAGCGGCTCATTGTTCCGTCCTCCAGCCGCATCCGCTCCTGGTCGCTCTCTTCGCCAGCAGAGGCGGCATCGAAGTAGAAGGATCGGGCAGTCGTGGGCGTCGTCGGGAACTCGTCGTCGCGGCCGACTTGTTCACCCGATCGAGAGAAGCGGGCAGGTGGAGTAGGCGTAATGTCGAGATCACGAGGAGGATGGGCGCGATTCCGCTTCGGCGAGTGCGGAAGTCCGTGCTTGTCGGTAAGGCCGGTCGATGCGTCGTCTTCATCGTCTGAGCCAGAGGAGAGGCGGAAGTGCGTAGAGGAAGGATTGGGTTGAAGCATGATGGTCGAGTTGTTCGGCGACAGAGTGCTCAGGGGATGAGGCGAGGAGCCGATGCGGAGGATAAGTTCGCCGAGCTGTGTCCAGAGTGCTTGTCAGATAGACAGGACATTTAGGAAGAGCAGAAGACGCACGAGAGCGAAAGGGGCCCAGTTGGTGACAGCCCACGAAAAGCCAGCTGCTGCAATGACAAAGCTCGCTCCGCCTACGCTGCTAACCATCCAGGTTCCGCCAAAGAGGAGGAAGGCGAAGAAGCCGTTCGAGATCGCCCACAGGAGCGGGAGGGAGAGCCAGGTGAAGGGAACAGAAGGCAGGGCGCGCTTGATGACGTCGAGCGGCGAAGACGAGTTCCGACCGCCATACGGCGACCTCGAGCGGTCATTCTGGGAAGTCGAAGCTGAGCTCGACACATTGGCGACGAGAGGTGGCAGAAGGATGGATGTCGTGAGCGAGACGACCGAGTGCCAGAGCATCGCATGCGTGCCGGCTCGAGTTGCGGCAGCGCGCATCTCCTCGCTCGCCGACGCGAGGTCTGTCGCGCCGCTAGAGGCGTGGCTCTTGACGTAGATCTCGGCGACCCACGTTGTCGAAAAGAAGAGGATGGGGAACCAGCCGATCCATCCTGTGAACTGGGCGCCGTGCGTCAGCAGAAGATTGCGTCGAGCTTGTCGTGGCGTGCACGCACCTGGACATTGAATACCTGCCGAATCGGTCTTGGCAGCGTCTTGATTGTCTGCCAGATATCCTCCAGCGCTCGCATCGGTCCGCCGCCGCCCGCCTCGTGCTCGTCATCCCGCGAGATGAGTACTCGCTCTTGCACGCAGGAGCAGGTGATGGCGTGCGTGCCGCAGAGGAAGAACGAGGTGAAGATGGTGAGGACCTGCGGGTGGATCGGGTCAGTTGGGCCCAGGACGGCCTTCGATGGTTCAGCGTACCTTCAACTGTTGGTCACCCAGCAAGCCGCGCGTGAACCAGACGAGGTCGACTCCGCCAATCCAGTAGCCGAAGACAGCTGGCAAAGATGGACAGTCAGTCGAGATGCGCTTGTCCGGGGATGGCCGTCGACGCACCGCCAAAGCCAAACATGCGGCCTGCCCATGCGTTCGCCGCTGATTGTTGTGCTGGCGAGACGACATCGACGAGGAGCGAGCGGTCCATCGCTTGAACGACGTTGACGCTGAAGTCGCTGTGGGCGGAGGAAACGTCAGGGCACGCTTTGTCACGCGCGGCTGCCACAAGCTAACATCACATAGACCGATAGGACGGCACAAGCTATCGCAAGGTGGTTATGCTGCAGAAATGAGGTAGTGAGCGCGCGATAATCGCGAAATTGGATAAGCCGGAGCTCACCAGGCTCGTCCCGTCTCTCGCAAAGATGCCCGCAATCTCCTTCGACCATCCGAGCATCACGACGGACAGGCTGGTCAAGACGCATCCGCCAATGATGAACGGTCGTCGTCTTCCCAGTGAGGACTTGCATCCGTCGGAAAGGACGCCGACGAGAGGCTGGACGATGAGGCCGGATAGCGGACCGGCGAGGAAGACGACGGACATCATGCTCTTCGATACGCCGAGGGAAAGGAGGAATGGCGAGGCTGCAAAGACGTGATGGGTGTAAGTGGGGAAGGAAGCAACCTCATGAGATGCCGGCCACGCACCCTGACTCATCTCGCACGCCCAGACTAGCTGGAGTCCCAGAAGGCAGATTGTGAGAGCCAGGAACCGCACCCATTCAGGCAACAGCGGTCGATGAGAGAGGATGCCAGCTCTCCCAACCCATCGCGACCTGCCGCGGGAGGCAGACTGCGACGCCGCGCCTAGCCCGACCATTACGCGCTGGTAGGCGTATCAGCGGAGTCGACAGGCAGCTCAGCAAGCCAGCGGGCGGCGATAAGGGCGGTGAGAGCGAAGTGGGGAGGCGAGAGAGGCGACGAGGAGGACTCCGGGAGTAACCACATACTCGCTCACCGCCTGGCTTGCTTCTGAGGCACTCAGCTACTTTGTTGACTGTCTCGCTAACCGGCACAACCCGAACGAACCCGCCGAACCCGCTCGACCTGAGGTTGTCTCCCTCATCTCTCCCGACTTCATCAGCTCGACTCGCCGCCGACCGCTGCAACAGCTAGGATGGGTGAGTCTGCCTTGCATCGCCTTCTACAAAGACGGAGGAAGCACGCGCTGACCCTCGCGTGCCGCTGTCGTCCTGCTCTCTCCCCCTCGCAGACTACCAAGTGCGTCCTTCGCCACCATTTTGCACGCGCTCAGAGCGATGCTGACTCGTACCCTGCCTTTCCAGAATCGTGTTGGCTCGAAGTTCGGAGGCGGTGGAGTTGCGCGGGCGGACGAGACGGCCATCGACCGGAGGGAGCGGTTGCGGAAACTCGCCCTTGAGACGATCGACCTGGCAAAGGTGAGTTGCCGCACTGTAAACATCGAAGCGAGACCAGGCTAATCAGACGCATCTTGCAGGACCCCTACATCCTGCGCAACCACCTCGGCGGAATCGAATGTCGACTGTGCTTGACCCTCCACACCAACGAAGGCTCGTACCTTGCGCACACCCAGGGCAAGAAGCATCAGACGAACCTCGCACGACGAGCGGCGCGCGACGCACATGACCCGAACTATGCGGCGCAACTGGCGGCTCAGGCGGCGCAGAAGCCGAAGGTTCAGACGAAGACGTTCATCAAGATCGGCAGCCCCGGTTACCAGGTCACGAAAGTGCGGGATCCGGTTACTGGGCAGCTGGGTCTGCTGTTCCAGGTCCACTACCCCGAGATCAAGGAGGGCATCAAGCCTCGGCATCGTTTCATGTCGGCGTTCGAGCAGAAGCAGGAGGTGCCCGCTCGGAACTGGCAGTACTTGCTGGTGCGTCCACGCCCTTCGTCTCGTTGCTGGGCAGCCAGGTCACTTACTGGCCTCCTTTTCGTCACAGATCGCAGCCGAACCGTACCAGACGATCTCGTTCAAGATCCAGGCGCGGGAAATCGATAGTGCGTTGCTCTCATCCTGCTCTCTACGTGCGCTCACTGACGGTCCTTCACACGCAGGTACCGAGGGAATGAGCTGGGAGCACTGGGACCAGGACACCAAGACCTTCTCCCTGCAGTTCCTGTTTGCGCAGAAGTAGGCGCTGTGACGAGCCTTGGAACGAGTAGCTTCGTTGTTGTATCGACCTCGGGCGGAGGCTGAGCGTCTTGGCGGGGCAGTACTCGCGGCTGCAGCGAGAGAAGCCTCGTCCTCTACGTGCCTTCGTCGCCGACCGCCTCGCGTGCGTCGTGCACCCCACGACTCACTGATAGCCACGGCGCACCCCACGACTCATGAAAGCAAATGCGTATGCGACTGCACAACAAGCCTCTGCGCCTCCTCTCTGTCTACAAGCGAGTCTCCTCCAAGCGCTCTTCACTTCTTCTTCCTGCTCGACGCGCCGTAGGTGGTCTTCGGGACGCGAGACTGCGCCACCTGAGCGTCAATAAGGACTCGACGGAAGGAAGTCGAAAGCAAACGCACCGGCGTCTTCTTCTTGGGCGGAGCAGGCGTGTTGGACGGCTCGATCGGGTCCTCCTCGTCCTCGTCGCCGTCGTTGTGGAAGAACGGTTCAGCGTCCTCCTCCTGCGAATCGTCGTCTGCGACAAGGGTCTCCTCCAGCGATTGCTCCTCCTCGTCCTCGTCTTCCTCCTCGACCGTCGTGCTGAGCGAGCGGCGCATGGTCGTAGCAGTCGCGCGAACGAGCCGCTTGGTCGTCGTCGTAGTTGTCAGGCTGTGCTTCGTCGTCTCGCGTTGGTCGGGAACGACGACTGAAGGCACGAGTCAGCGCTCGTAGCCGGAGTCGGAAGCAGAAGCCACTCACTCTTGACCGACTTGCCGCTTCCCTTCGCACCGAGAGGCGACTGCTTGCTGCCCTTCATCGCCGACACCGTGACTGCACCAGTGTCCGAGTCGACCGCGGCATTGCGACCCGCCTGCGAATGCTCAAGTCAGCCGCTGTCGGCGAGAGGGGAAGGAAAGACGAACTTGAAGCGAGGTGCCGGAGTGCGGCGAGTCGGAGGACGACGCGATATGCTGGTTGAGGACGGTGCGATCTCTGCGAGACCAGGGGAAGACGTGAAGGAGGATCAGCTGACAGACTTTGCTTGGACAGACAGTCGCTCGACGTACTTGGCCTTGGCGAGGTCGTTCTGCGCCTTCTGGAGGCGGCGCTCGAGCGCGCTGTGCTTGTTCTGCAGCCTTTTGAGCTCGTTCTGCGAGGACGAGGGCGTCAGGTCGAAATGAGCGCAGGATCTGATTTGAGCGCACCTGCGTGTCCATCAGTTCCTTGTTGCGCATGTTCATGACACTGTCGATGGCATTCGCAACAGCCTGCTTCTTCTCCTTCTCGAAGATGGCCTCACGGTCCTGGTCTTCCTGCGCGCGCTGAGCCTCCTTTTCGCGGAGCTTGTCCGCCTGCGCCTTGAACTCTTCGGCAGCGGCCGTCTGCTTGCTGATGTCCTGCTCCGCAACAAGAAGGTCGTGCTCGAGGCGAGCGATGATGTCGGCTTGCTGCGTGTGCTCCGTCGCTTGACGAGCAAGCTGGAGTTCGGCGGCTTCGAGCTGCGCAGACAGCTCCACGTCAAGCTTGCGAACGTCCGTCGATGCTTTACAGTGCGCACCTTCTGCTTCGTCGTGTTCAGCTCGAGAGCGAGACGAGACCTGGCTTCGTTGACGGCGGCGACAGCCTTGTCACGCTCGGCGATGGTCTCCTGCAGCTTCTTGACCTCGGCAGTACTGGCCGAAGGGGACGCCGACATCCTCGAGTTCTCGATACTATTGAGCCGGGCTTGCGTCTGCTCGTTGTCGCGCTGCAAAGCGAGTGAGTCAGCAGGAGGCGAGACGGGAAGAGTTCGACGACGAACACGGAGCTTGTCCCTCTCCAGCTCCAGGGCCTGCTAAGAGGTCAGTCAGTACTCGGACCTTGACATTCAGTAGTTGCGGCCGCACCTCGGCGCTGCCTTCGAGCTCTTGCACCTTCGCCTTCAAGGTCTGAAGCTGTTGCTCGCGCGTGGCGACGTCGTCCTTCCAGATACGCTCCCTGCGGTCGATATGTCAGCTTGGCTGCCGTACCGAGCTACGCGAAGACCTACTTGGCCGCGAGCAGCTCCCTCGACTGGGTGTCGATGTCGCGAAGTTGCCTCGAAAGGGACGCGCGCTCGGCTTCGTGCTCGGTCTCAATTGCCTTGAGGCGAGTGGCATGCCTGTCGCGCATGTTGTCAGCGAATTGAGCGGGTTAAAAGAAGCGAGAGAACCGTGACACGCACTGTTCCACCGCGACGCCCTGCTCGACCTTAACCTTGCTCAACTCAGCCGCCATCGAGTCCAGCTCGCGCGTAGCATTGTCGTGCTTGATCTGCAGCGATTTGACACTTTTGAACGACCGAAGCAGCGTCAGGCGATGATTGCGAAGGCGACGAAGGTAGACACACCTCTTCGCCAGCTTCTGCGCTTCCTGCTCCTTCTCCGTGACAAGCGTCTGAAGCTCGTCAATCTGGCGCAAGTGAGCAGCCATCGTGTCGTCCGAAGCCTTCTTGGCGTTGTCGACCTTTTCGCGGAGGCGCGCCTCGGCCGCCTGGACTGCCTCCTCAAGCTCGCGAACCTTGGAATCGAGCATCTCGGCGGCGGCGCGACCGTCCGCAAGCTTTTGCTCATAGCCAGCCTTGACGCCGGCGACCGACGCCTCGTGCTCGAGCTCGCGTTCGCGCGCCGCAAGGAGCGCCTTGTCGAGGTCATCATTGAGGCGCATCTTTTCGGTGCGGAACCTGCTCTGCTGATCGTCGAGTTCGGACGAGAGCGTCGAGTTGCGGTTCTCGAGCTGCTCGATGGCTTGCTGCTGGTCCTTGAGGCGAGATTGGGCTTCTGCGAGATTGCCCTTCGCTTCGCCGAGCTCGCCGCGAAGCTGCGTGATGACGGCTTGGCCTGCGCACGCGAGTCAGGTGTCCGAGCCTGAGTTAGGAGTAGCGGCTGGGCGCACGCTGGTCGTTCTCCTCCTCGAGTTGCTTCAGCAGGTCCATCTGGGCGCGAGTGGCCTCGTCGATGAAGGCCTCGAGCGTGTCGCCGGGCAGCAGTTTGGCAGACGTCGCTGAAGGCGAGTCGAGTCAGCGCAGCGTCGAGACAGGAGCAGCGGGCACGCACACTGCTTGATGTCGTCGAGCTCCTGCCGAAGGCGCTCAGCCGAGATTGACTCGCCGACGTCGACCTTGATCTTCTCAAGCGCAGACTTCATCCCCTCTATCGTCGACCTGAACGCATCGTTGCTCTCGGCAGCGCTGTAGAAAGCGGGAGAGGCGGTAAGTCTCAAGGTTGGGAAGGTCAAGAGCTCGAACGTACCGCTCGAGAGCCGTTTTGACACGCTGGGCGAGCTCGCTCTTGAGTTTGAGCTTGGCTACGTTGAGAGCTTCGACCTCCTTGGCCTTGTCGTCGAGTTGCGAGCGGAGTTGGCGCAAGTCGGCGTCCTGCAACGGCGGAGGCTTGTCAGCAGAGTAGCGTGAGAGATGCTCCGCGACAGTACGCACCCGCGCCTCCTTCTCCTGCTGCCAGGTCAGCAGCTCCTTGACGATGTCACTCATCGGCGCCGGGCCCGAGCCATCGCTCTTCTTCTTCTGCTGAGCCGTCGGAGCAATCCCCATCGAAGCAGACTTGCTACTGCTCGAGCGACCCGTCGTGCCATTCGCTGAAGCGGACGACGTCTTGCGGCCGGCGCTCGTCGAAGTTGCCTTCGGAGCGGCGCCGTCTTGCCCTTTGGCCATACCCGCGTCGCTCGTCTTGACCCGCTTCGACTGCTTGTCGCTCGATTCGATCGACGAGCGCTTGGACGGACGAGAGGACTCGTTGTGGACGGGCGCGAAGGCGCGAGGCTTGCTCGAGGCAGCGAAAGCGTGCTGGGCGGACGCGTGAGGATTCACCGAGGCGGTCTGGGCGGACGACGGCGTGGGTGCGTCGAAGAGCGCTCCTACGTTCGAAGACGGCGGCGGCCCGGCATTGTGCGACGCAGCCTGCTTGTGAGCGCGAGGGCGAGGCGAAAGAGCGAGAGGCGGGCTGCCATGACCAATGCCGAGCCTCATGCGGTCGATGTCCTTCCTCGCCGACTCCTGCACGACATTCTTCAGGCGCTGCGACTTGTTCGCGAGGGCGGGCGAGGTGGCGAGAATGATCTCGTCGCGCTGGTCCTCCTCAAGCTGAGCCTGCGACTCGTCCTCCTCCTCCTCCTCCTCGTCCGCAGCCGGCCTCGCGCCCCTCGCGTCTCCTCCACCTTGTCCATGCTGACCGTTCGCGAGCCCTCCCACCCCGAAGGCGCTGCCGTGCAAGTCGCTCGCACCCGTACCACCCGCACCGCCAGTCCCGCTCCTCGCCGCGCCGCGCACGTTAGGCGCGTACTTGAACTGATCGGCCGGGTCTGCAGCAGGTGGGATGGCCCAGCCGGGGCGCGCGTCTGGAGGTGCAGCGGAAGAGGCGGCGTCCGTGGCTGAGTGCGATCCGGAGGGAGGAGGCGAGCGCGAGTCGAACAGCTCGCGCGAGCCGTCGCGCGCCATACTGGAGCGTGTAGTATACCTGTGCGAGTAGCGCACGAGCGAGAGCGAGCCGATCTGAGAGAGCGAGTGAGATGTCAAAGGGAAAGCGAGGGAAAGGGCAGCGAGCAGCGAAGAAATCCAGCCTCAATCGCTCGCGAGAACGCCCTGAAGGCCGGGCGGAGCTCGCAATGAATTACACGTCTATCTGGATGATGGGACGGCTCCTCGCGCCGACGGGAGGATCTGCCCAGGTCCCTCGAGACACGTCGCAGGATCGAGGCGAAGGAGGACGAACGACGGGTGCAATAACGCTTCACAGGCGCCTGAGACGTCCAGTCGACCTGCCAAAGCCGCCTCATCTGCCGCCGAAGCGAGTCTCGCCACCCTGCGCAACGAGTCTTGCGCCGCACTTCAGCCGAGACGCTGAGACCGCAGAACCTCCTGGTCTCAAGATGATTGTCGAGCTTGTAGATGACTCGTACGCCGTCTACGAGTGACGGCGCTGGCGGTGCCGGCATCAGCGGATCGTCTCGTGCTGGGTGAAGGCGACAGTGCGGAACGGGACGAGGTCGTCGTCGAGCTCGAGTCTGCATGTCACGCCGGCGTGAGCACCATCTTCGACATCGTGAAGATCGCGATCGACGTGCGCGACGCACACTCGAGGAGCAAAGATGCGCACGCCACGGACGTGCGTGTCCTTTCCGTTCATGTGGTTCGAGAGGATGGCGATCTGGACGAGGTGTGCTCGGATTGGTTCTCTGCGCCAAATCGAGACCATCAGCGTTTGCACCGGGAAGAGCACAGCGAAGAGAAGGGGACGCACTCTCCCTCCGCAGGCCCCGTATCGCCCGTCTTCGAGGTCCCGCCGAGCTTGAAGGCCTGCCACCCTCTCGGATTCGCCAACTCGACCCACCGCACCTCGTGCAAATCACCGTGGTGCGTTCCCGCGCGAATCGAGATCTTGTGAGGAGTGTACGAGTCGTCTTGGTTGATGTCGGCAAAGATCCAGACTTGCTGTGTGAATGCGAACCGGGTCAGTGAGGTCGTGGGAGTCAGGACAACGTGTCGGAGGGCGCACCGTGATGGACTGCTTCTTGGGAAACTGGATGTTGATCAAGTGAGGTTGGGCACCTTCGCTCCTGCAACCGGGGACGGCGAGAGTCAGCGCGCGCCTTGAGTTCGGGAGCTGGAGTAGTACGCACTGCCACAGCGTCGCCGGATCCGCGTCCCGGACGTGCTCGACGCCGTACCCTGGCTTCGCAGATGAGACGGCCCAGTGAGCGAGCGAGCCGATGTCGCGCAGTTCGTCGGCGCCTGCACAAGCGAACGAGGTCAGCAAGCGTCTGGACAATTCCGAGCAGAACTCACTGGGCTCTGCCATCCTCCCAGCTCAGGGTGTCGCAGTTGGCGGGAACCAGAAGTTCGCTCGCTCTCTTCGGCTCCTTCCGTACGCTCGCTTGGGCTGTGAAGCCAGAATAGACCGCCAGAGCTCGCTGAGATGCTCTCACGAAGCTTGCGGGCAAGCTCGCGCCGCCTCCCACTCGCCAGCCGACCCGCACCGTCCCTCCGCACCGCCTCGACATCCTCCGCTCACGCTTCCTCCCTCCCCGCGCCCGTAATCGACCTCTCCGCCGTCCTAGACTCTCCAGAACTCGTCAAGCGCAACCTCGTCGAACGCAAATTCCCCCTCGACCCCGCCAAAATCGACGAATTGAGGACTCTCGCTTCTCGACTTGCGGAAACGAAGAAGGAGGTTGAGCGGTTACGTGCGCAGCGGAATACGCTGGCGGCGCAGATGAAGGGTGATCCGGAAGCGCGGGAGAAGGGGAAGGAAGTGAAGCGGGAATTGCAGGCTGTCGAGCCGAGGGTTGCGGAGTTGGCGCACGAGATGCAGGAGATTGCGCTCCAGCTGCCGAATATGTCGCATCCGGACGTCCCCGTTGGCGCGGAGGACCAGGCGCGGATAGTCAAGCTTCTGGGACCGGACTTGGGCGCGGGCGAACCTCGAGCAGAACCTGAACGCGACCACCTCACCCTCTCGTCGCCCTCGAACCTCGCATGGACCGACTTTGCCGCCTCGGCCTTCACGACCGGATCCTCTTGGCCTCTCTTGACAAACGAAGCAGCGTTGCTCGAACTGGCCTTGACAAACTACGCCATGTCGGTCGCGCTCTCGCACGGCTTCAAACCCGTCTTGACGCCCGACGTCGTGCGGTCCGAAGTTTCGGCAAGGTGCGGCTTCCGACCACGCGACGACGAAGCACAACAGACGTACTTCCTCTCGGACGGAACCGAGACTTCGGCGCTCTGTCTCGCCGGAACAGCAGAGATTCCCCTCGTCGGCATGTCGGGCTCGCAGACGTTCCTCGAGCAGGAACTGCCGAGGAAACATGTCGCGATTGGAAGGGCGTTCCGGGCGGAGGCGGGCGCGAGAGGCGCGGATAGTAGGGGACTGTACAGGGTGCATCAGTTCAGTAAGGTCGAGATGGTGGTTGTGTGCGCGGAGGAGGAGAGCGATGCGTTGTTGGAGGAGTTGCGAGCGGTCCAGGAGGAGATCTTGAGTGGACTCGGGCTGTCGTTGAGGTGTGTACCCGATCCTCGTTGTCTTTCTCTCTCCCTCGAGGCTGACCGCTTCTCGCTTTCTACCGTTGCGCAGGGTCCTCGACATGCCTACACAAGAGCTCGGAGCGTCGGCGCATCGCAAGTACGACATCGAGGCGTGGATGCCCGGGCGAGGGAAATGGGGAGAGGTGCGTCTCACCAGTTCTTCTCTTCCGCCGGTCCTCTGGTCCTCATTCTCGCACGCATGATGCAGCTCTCCTCGGCGTCGAATTGCACCGACTACCAATCTCGACGACTCGGGATCCGCTACCGGCCAGCATCGCGCAAGCACTTCCACCCTGACTCTCCCTCTCCCTCTTCCTCCTCTGCCTCTCTCGCCCACTCTCCCCCCTCTTCAGGTCGCAAGCTCGCCTACGCGCACACCCTGAACGGCACAGCAGCAGCGATCCCTCGCCTTATCGTCGCGCTGCTCGAGAACGGCGCGGTGTTCGAGGCGGACGGGAAGAAGGTTGCGCGGGTGCGGTTGCCTGCGGTGTTGAGGCCGTTCTGGCTGGGCAAGGGGACGGATGAGAGGATCGAGTGGGTGCCGGAGGGCGAGGCGTTGCGGGTGCGGTAACTGAGTGGAATTGAGTCCGTCGTCCGTCGCTGTCGCCGCGAGACGGGCGGACGCTCCGGCGAGGGACGCGTTCACTTTTCGTAGGACAACGCGTTGCTGCGCGGCTGACTGAAGCTGAGACCCTTTCTGCGCTTGCCCGGGAGAGAAGGCGTCGCTGGCCTGACTCGACAGCGGAGCCGAACTGAGCCCGCGAGGCGAGTTTGCTGCTTTCCTCCTCGCAACCACCTTCCCTTCGACCAAACTCGCCAGCTGGTTACACGAAACCAGCTCCACCGACAGATCGCACACAGCGCCTGACACCCACCCCCTCTCACCACCCTCCAACTCGAGCGACCCCCTTCCCGCGCGGTCCTCCCCCCTCGTCCCTCTCCCTCCCTTCCCTCGTCGGATCCACTGCTCTCCTCGGCCGTGCATCCAACGCCAGCCCTCCAGCTCACCCTTCCAACCGCACCCATTCCCGCCTCAAACGAGTGCGTCCATCCCCCATTGACTCCTCTCTCTCTCGCAACCACGCGGTGTCCCGGCCGAGCGAGAGCAGCCCCACTTTCTCGACTTGTCACTCACACGCGTCGTTGACATTGCACGCAGCCTCCTCGTCTCCAACAGCCAACATGTCGTCCATCCACAACACCCAGACCCAGACCATCTCCACCGCGAAGGTCTTCACCTCATGCTCGACCCAGTCGGATTTCGCCAAGGCCAGGAAACTCAGCCGCCTCACCCAGGCTGGCTCGAGCCTGGCCGTCTGAGCACCCACACGCTCAATGACCATGCTCTGATTGACGTCGCCGCACCTGCTACCGGTGACGCATCCACCTTCAACGACAAAAACGACTCGACTGCCTCTACTTCGGACTCGGACCTGATGCGCCTCCTCGGCGAGTTCACGTCCGGCCCGGGCGCACTCACGCCCGCGTTGTCTCCGTCCGTACAAAGCTTCGATACTCCCGGCCTCTCGTCTCCTTCGCTCTCGGTTCCCGTTCACGACCCGTCCGTCCTCTCCACCGGCAACGCCTTTGTCTCGGCGTCCGCCCTCGGCTTGGACGCCCTTGCGCCGGTCTCTTCTGTACACTCGCATGAGGAGCACGTCAAGCCCCAGCTGTCGAACTTGTTTGCTCAAGCGAGCAAGCCCTTCGATGCTGGTCAGTTCCCTCTCCTTTCGAGGCGAACTCTCCAGCACGTCCTGACCCACTCCCGACGTCGCAGGCGACATGTCTCTTCCGTTCGACCTCGATTTTACCAAGTTCTCCGGCTTTGACGTTGTCACGGCCTTCCCGGTCCTCGACGTCTCGCCTCAACTCCTCGGTCCTTCGATCAAGACCGACGGCGCACCCAGCGTCGTCGACCCACTCGTCTTCGACTCGTCTCTCGACTCGCCCCTCGGTCTTTCGGGCTCCCTGTCGACCGAGACGAGCCCGCTCTCCGACTTGCTCGCCTCGCCGCTCTTCAGCGTCGGTCCCGACTCGGCCGTCCCCTCTGCGACGATCAGCGAGCTCCCGCTCCCTCACGTCGCGCACGGCACGCCCTTGTTCGGCTCGGCCTCGTCAGCGCCGTTGCCGACTCCGTCTCTCGCGGCGCCGTCGTCCACACTCGCTTGGTTCCCTCCCCTCCCGTCTGGTCCCTCTTCCGCCGTTCCGTCTCCTACGATCCTCCGTCCTCTTCCCGTCGCCCCTTCCGCCCCTCACCCCTCGCCCTCGATGACTCCCTGGACCCCCGCCCTCTCCTACCTCGACTCGGACTCGGCCCCCTCCTCTTCCACCTCAAAGCCCAAACGCGCACCAACCGGTTTCCGCCAATCGTCCGCCCCGCTCCTCCCACTCGACGCGCCCATCCAGCCTCGAAACTCCGTCATCCCCTCCTCGACTTCTCGGAAGCGCAAGACCGCCGCAGCTGAGAAAGCGCTTGCCAAGCGCGGTCGGACTGCCGAGTCGGTTGCTCCCGAACCTGCTGCTGCCCCAACGGGTGAGGGCGAGGAGTTGCCGGAGGACATTGTCGCTGCTGTCGAGCGCAAGAGGTTGCAGAACACGCTTAGCGCGCGCAAGAGCCGCGCGAGGAAGCAGGCTAGGTTGCAGGAGCTCGAGCAGGAGAATGAGGCGCTGAAGGCGAAGGTCGCGCAGTTGGAACAGGCGTTGGGGTTGGCGATGTCGGCGTGAGGGTGTAGCAAGCTGGGCGTCGGTTGTTTGTAAGGGCGGTTGCTCGGACTTTGTGTGCAAAAGAAGCTTTGTTTGCACTTCTACGTCGTCGTAGACCGAACGAGCGAAACGAGCGAGCGGAAGACAGCGAGGAGCAGGACTTCGGGAGAGACGAGCGAGCGAGCGGGCATGAGGCGGTCCGTCAGTAGTTCCAGCAGTCGCTCACAACGAACAGATCGGTGCAGCAATGACCGGGAGGAAACGAATGTCGTCGTCGCAGGCGAGAACAAGGAAGTCTGCGCCATTGAAAGCTACCACGGCGATTCGCGGCTGTTTCGCGGGGCTTCGTAGGTCCGGCGCCTGCGAAGCGATCCAGTCAGTACGTCGAGTGAAGGAAAAGGACGAAGCGGCACTCACCCGCCTCAGTACTCGTCCTCGTCGAGAACCTCGCTCGTCGAGTTGCGCTTCTTGGTCCGTACATTCTCCGGCATAGGCGCAACATAGTACGCTCCCTCCGTCCGCGACGCAAGCTTCAACAGCGCTTGCCCGCCGACCTCGTCTTCGTCCTTCGCCAGTCGAGGCAAGTCAAAGTCGACCGGTTCAGGCTCCGCCCTCACCCTCGCATCGACCATCTCGCCCGCTTCGAGCCCGAGCGCACTCGTATCGACGTCTCGTACAGCCTGCACGACAGCAACGAGCTCGTCGAGCGCTTCGAGCTGCTTCCATCCTTCTTCCGTCGTTGGAGGCTGCAGAGCCGCGAGTTTGTGCAGCTTGAGGAGGGTTTCGCGCGGGAGGGAAGGCGAGTCGGCGGGAAGGTAGTCTGAGAGTGAGTAGGTCGGCTCGAGGGGGATGCAGAGGTCGTCGACGGGGACGGGGCCGGGAGGTGCGGGTCGAACGGGAGGTCGAGGAGGAGAAGGAGTTGCGGAGTACGACGCGCGGCCAAGGATGCGCCATGGGAGATTTTGTCGTGCGATTCGGAGCATCTGTGACCTGGTCAGGCAGCTCTTGGGCGAGTTCGAGAGTGTCGTCGGAGGCCAACTGGCGATGAGGGATTCGAGCGGGTCTTGAGCAGTGACAACACCCCTTGAACCGCTTGACAGGGCTTGCTAGCATCTAGACGAGACTCAACTCAAACACCGCAACGAGCCGCTAGGGATCAACCGCAGCTTCTTCCACCCTCCCTCTCCTCCCCACTCCAACCTCATCACCTCGGAAGATGTCACGGCCGCTCGTCAGCACCAATCTCGCCACCTGCTGCTCAGTCCTGTCCCTGTTCGGCTTCTTGATCCTCGGCGCAATCGGGACGGCGTTCAACGCGGGTGTGAGTGCTTCTCCTCGACCAGTGACGCAGGAACCCCTCGTTGACGACGGTCTCGCACGCAAAGGTTGAGGTTTTGCTACGATCGGAAGAGTCGCCAGAGGATGGACATGCAGTCGCAGTGAACTGCTGGTTCGCGTGAGTTGGCACTCGTTCTCCTCGCACCCTCACCCTGCCTCAACCGCTGACTTGCTCCTCCTCTCTGCGCAGATCGCTCGTCTACCTCGCCTTCGCGATCTTCTGCACGTGTCAGGTATGCAGGCGGCAGCAAGTCGGAGTGCTGCGCAGGCTGACGTCTTCCTCCGCAGATTGGTGCGAACCGACGATACCAGCGTGGAGCGGTGCGGTTGTAGGGGGAGCCGGGGTGGGCGGCTGTACATGCTGTAACGACTATCCTTTTCGCTACGTCGCGAACGTGCCGGGGCGCCTCTTCGGCTGTCGAAATTCTGTGCTTCTCCCTCCTCCTGCTCGTAGCCGAGTTCTCTCCCTCGGGCTCACATCCGTCGCGCGCTTTGAACGCTGCCACAGCGCTGCAGAATGCACGACGCGAGGCGTCCGGCACTGGTCTCTCTCAGCTCGCTTGCTGCTGCGCTGGACGATGATCAAAACAAAGAACCTTTTGCACTTCGCACACGAAGACAGGCGAACCGTTAGGGAAGGGAAACAGACAAGAAGGGAGCGAGCACTAGTTCGTGAAGAGGATGCGATAGACACGAATGTAGAAGGGGGCGGCCTTCCTCTCCGCGCGGTAGGCATTCATCTCCTCGGCAGTGAACCAGGTCTTGCGGCCGGTCTGTGCGGACGGAAGAAGGGGGTCAGCATGAGGTAGGGCCGTTCGGGGGAAGAGGCAGACGAGAGGAGGAGTGCGGAAACGTACGTCGACGTCGATCTCGTGGACCTTTCTCGGCAGGGTGCGGTTCTTGATGTACGCGCATAGCCAGAAGAAGAGGAGAATGGGCGCAGCGAGCCACACGAGGAAAAAGTCCTGGGCAGCTTGCTGAGCGGAATCAGCGCGACCTCCGAGCGGCCAGATAGCCTGAATGGACAAAGCTAATCAGCGGGTCTCGCGCGGGCGCGAACTCGGCAAAGGAGAGACGCACGATGTAGAACTGAGCGATGAGGACGAGCACGACGAGCGAAAGGCCGAGCCACGAGCCCCAGACGCCGCCCATCGCCTTGAAGGGAAGCTCGTCGATGCTGTGGCCGTTGTAGTTCCACGCGGCGCGGAAGCGGATGTGGCAGAGGCAGATTGAACCCCAGGTGAAGAGTGTGGAGAGGCCGGAAAGGGCGAGGAGCCACTGCGTAGACGCAGACGTAAGATTAGCGGACAACCTCGCGCTGAGGTAGGTGGAAAGCCTCACGTTGAAGACCGTGTCTCCGGCGGTAACGACGTTGACATAGGCGATAGGGCCGAAGAGGAGGACGGCGATAACGGAAAAGAGGGGTCGACCCGACTTGTCGACGTAGGCGAAGACCTTCGGGGCGTAGCCGGTCTCCGCGAGCGCGGTCAAGACACGCGATCCGGCGTAGACGCAGGACAATCCGATGGAGAGCACCGAAATGCAGATCGTGATGTTGATCTGCCGGCGGTCGAGCGTCAGCCGCGATAGAGAAGTGGAAGAGAGGTGGACAGCAAGCTCACGAGGTGGTCGAGGCCATTCAAGCCGGCGCGCGTCGCCATGATGACGAACCTGTAGAGCAGGCGACAGCAAATGAGCAAAAGCGAGCGGTCGCGAGAAAGGCGAGCAGACGCACGGAGAAGTACCGGCGCCAGATCCTCCGCCCAGAAGCCGCTCGTCGTTGTAAGGAAGGTTGAGACCGATGATGAGCAGCGAAGAGACATAGATAAGGGTACTGCAAGTCGAGGATTCAGCAGATGTCGACGGGAAGACGTGAGGAAGGCCGGCCGAGCTTACATGCGCCAGAAGGTTCCCTTGACGGCGGTTGGCAGCGTCTTGCGCGGGTTTGGCGTCTCGGTCGCAGCGAGACCCACGAGTTCGGTGCCAGCTGCTCGCAGCGATCATCAGCAATGCAGGCCGGAACGAGAGACGGGGAAATGAGGGCGCACCGAATGAGAAAGCGGCAGTCACGAAGACCGCACAGATGCCCTTGAACCCGTTGGCGAGCGCACCTGGCTCACGCCAGTAACGGCCGCCAACATAATCGCTGTAGGTACCGCTGCCGCCTCCGCAGTTGAGGACTGTCGGAAGCGCAAGGTCAGTCAGCTAGCGGGATTGAAGCGTCCGAGCAAACCGCACTTACCGATGCCAATGATGATGAAGATGACGACAACGGCGAGCTTAAGGCAGGACGACCACTGGAAACGGCAAGCAGCGTTAGCGACGTAGAGGTGAAGAAGACGAAAAGCGGAGGGACTCACGAATTCTTCCTCCGCATAGCCAAGCGTTCCGAAGATATTTACAATGATGATGGCAACCCAGAACACCGTGATCCAAGCCGCAATCGGCACGTCCGCCGCGGCCGGCCAGTACTGTACCGTGATTCCTGCGGCGGTGATTTCGAGCGGAAGGACGACCGCCCACTGGGCGAAATCTGCGCGAAGATACATCGTGAGCTCCTCGTGAATCTCCTACTCTGCAGGGGAAGCGGCGTACAGTTCCAGCCGAGGGCCATTCCGAAGCCAGGGTCGAGAAATCGAACGGCAAGGTTGATAAAACTGCCTGAGCATGGGAAGAGTATGCACATTTCGCCGAGCGCTTGGGTCACGCTGCACGGTTCAGGGCGTAGAGGCAGCGCGAGGGGAGGCAGGAGGGGAGGAGGAGGTGAAGTTGGCGTCAGCTTCGTCGACGGCGACGCACGGAGCGACTCACTTGATCAGCATGACACCTATGATGCACCACGCCAGCAGAATACCGAGCGGACCTCCATTGCGGAGAGCTGGAAGGCGAGCGATGGGTCAGAACCGGCGAGGGGGTTTCGAGCCGCAAAGGCTCACCTTGACCGCCTGCGAAGGTATAGAGTCAGTGAATACTCTGCTAAAGACGAGCAGCCGTACGTACTACCGATGAAGAGACCGGTGCCGATGCTGAGGATGGAACGGAGGAGGTCAGTCGTCGGTGCGGCTCAAGGCGTCTGCGGAACGCACGATCCGCCGACGGCAATCATTTGCTGTCGAGTAAAGCAGGGTCAGTCATGTAGGAGGGGCACAGGCAAGCAGAGGCACGACGAACCAAGTGCCGGGGTTTCATCTTCTGCTGACTGTGGGAGGGGGAGGTGAGCGAGCGCCTCGTTGATTGAGCGACTGAACGCACAGCATCGGGTTTTCGTTCGCCTTGAGCGGGTCGACATTCTCGCCGTGAATGTGGTGTCCTCTGCCGACGTTAGGAAGGTCAGCAAAAGGTCGGAGACGAAGGAGGACGACGGCTCACCCAGTGGCGCCCGGCGCGCGCTTGAAACTCTCCCAGTTGACACCGAGCCTCGTCGCGAGACTCTCCTTCGACGGGTCGTAGAACTCGGGGGTTGTTCCGGCGCGCTCGACGTCGGTCGCCGTCTGGGTCGTGACGAAGCCTCCCTCGTCCTTCGACGACGAGGACGACTTCTCCAAGTCGTGCAGCGCCATGGTAGCGTCGATTCAAGCGTAAGCGTGTGAAAAAGCGGAGCTGGAAACGAGAAGGAGAAGGGGGGGGGAGGCTGAGTGAAGAGGTGCGGTGGCTGTTGACGATTCGAGGGCGGGGCAAACGAAGGCACAGGGTTCCAGCATTCGATAAAAGGCATCCGCATTTTAGCGCGCGGTTCGTTTGGCTGGGCGGAAGAACGCCAAGAAGAAGATGCCGGCGACGAGTCGGTTGGGGGGTTCTTGCCTCTCGAGGATGAGGAAGCGAGCTCGCAACGAAAGGCAGCGACTGTTTTTGCCCGACTGAACAGCTTCGACAAGTGTCGTCAACGGCACTCTTCGCGTCCTCGAGCGGGACGCAGCGGACCTCATCACCCGAAGGCGGGTCTCGAGGTCGCCGTATCGCAAGCAAAGGCTGAGAGGTTGGTCGCGGGGGATTGCTCGTCCCTTGCTGGCATGCCGTCAGGCTGTGAAAGAGTATCGGGGCGGGGCCCGAAGACGAGCGCCCAGCGAGGAGGACGAGGAAAGGGGCGGGTCCTTGGCGCGCCGTCCCGGAGGCGCAGCCCAGGAGAAAAGATAGCCTCAGGCGTGTAGCGGCACACCGTGCTGATCTTGCAGCTCGCGTGACAATCGGGCTGGGTGTGACGGACGACGAGGAAGAGACGGTTTACAACAGGGGTGACTCTCGACTTTCGAGTCCATCTCTTGCACAAGAGTGTTTCCCGTAGCAAACCTGGACATTCGTTCCACCCAGGTTCGTCAGGGTCCTCGCAGAAATGCCAGCAGGGCGGAGGGCCTGCCGGCGGTCGACCAGAGACCTCCCACTTCTCCCTACGCGAGCGAACGCCCGATTCCACCCGTTGCGATATAGAGGTCGACGCTGCCCCGCCCGCAGACGATCTCCCGTAGAGCAGCGCAATGTGGGCGCTTGCGAGATGTCCGTCGTTGCCGGGGTCGCATCCGAATGAGAGGGCCGACACATTTCCTCCATGGCAGAATGCGTCCCAGGAATTCCATAGCTTGATGTGAAGAAGCTGCTGTTCCGCGGAGCCAGGCTAGACCGCCAGCAGCTGTAACGGAGCACGCAGCGGCGTGAGAAAGCCAATTTGCGAGAAAGAGGATCTCGGCTTCGAGTAGTCCTTTGAAAAGCAATTGCAGCACCGCGGTGGAAAGGGTTTGCGCAGCTAACCCTAGGCGGCGGGAGCAGGGTTAGAGCGGGAACTCAGCCCAGGGTTGGCGCCGCACTTCGGAAGAGCAGGTCAAGGGCCAGCGGAAGCGTCAGTCGGCGGCCAGTGTGGGGCAGTAGATGACTGAGGTGACACTGGGCCAAGATCAAGACGTGTCTAGCGTCTTAAGCGAGCGTTTCTGACACACGAAGGGGGGGAAGGAGCTGGAGCGGGGCCTGCGCGTCCAGGTGACAGCTAGGCCGGCGGGACGGGCGAGGACGGAAATTGGACGCACAATGCATCCTTTTCAGCCGTCCGCCGCTTCAAATCCCCGAGGATCACTCCTTCCACCACCTCGACTGATGAAAATCGTCAAGTAGTGAAGCAGGCATCGCTGAGGCGTGGCGCGGCGCACGCGAAGCAGTAGACTCCTTTCAGCAGCGGCAGAGGCAAGCAGAAGTGCTCAGGCGGGACACAGCTGGGTAGCGAGGTCACGGTCGTCTTCCAACCTTCTCGGCGACGCTTCAGCTCCCGCCACAACAGCTCACTTGCTCGAGCACTGCTTGCGAGCGTCGCGCAGCTTCACAGATGTTTCGGACAGCTCTCGGCGCCGGCTTGCGGTCAGCCCCGCAAGCGCGCGCTCCTGCTCCTCCTTCACCTTTCCCCTCCGCATTCGCACGATCGACACCTCGCAGCGCTCGTGTGAGTCCTGTCTGAGCTTTTTCTTACGGGACTTGAAGGGCTGACAATGGGCGGTATCGATTTGGCAGCTCCCCTCTCCCGTCTTCACCTCCGTCCGCCATGCCTCCACGACCTCTTTCTCGCAAAGCGCCCGCGACAAGCTGCGCGCCCGCCCCTTCCTCCTCCTCGTCGGCTTGATGCCGGTCTTTACCTTCGGCCTTGGCGTATGGCAGATCAAACGGTTGAATTGGAAGGTCGACCTGATCCACCAGCTCGACGACAAGCTTCACCAGCCACCCGTCAGGCTGCCTGCCCGCATCGAGTGCGTCGTGCACGGTGACAGTTCTATGAGGCGAAGCTGACGTCTGCTCTACAGCACCGCTGCCATCCCTGAATTCGCCTGGCGGAAAGTCTTCGTGACGGGAACTCTCGACCACGAACACTCGATCGAGCTGGGTCCGAAGACGCGAGATGGACAGCTTGGATACCACGTCGTGACGCCGCTGGTGCGAGGGGAAGGGCAGGACACGATTTTGGTGAACCGAGGATTCGTCAAGCGCGAGTTCAAGGAGGCGAAGGACCGACTAGCTAGTGTCGTACGTCGTTGTTTTCCGTTCGCCAGTCCTTTCTTCGTGTCTACTGACGACCGCGCTTGTTGCAGACCAACGAGCCCGTCGCACTTGTCGGCATGCTGCGAGACCAGGAGGCGCCCAACTCGTTCACGCCCGTCAACCAGCCCGAGAAGGACCAGTGGGTCTTCGCCAACATCGCCGAGATGGCGCGGTGTACTGGCGCCGAGCCGGTGCTGGTGGACCAAATCTACGGTGCGCCCCTAAACCTCGCATCTTGCAGCTTCTTGCTGACGCGCTCGCTGTTACAGAGGATCATCCTGGCAAGGTCGAGCTGCTTCTGCGAGAAGGCATCCCCGTCGGTCGGTCAGCGTCAATCGAGCTGCGCAACATGCACGCCACCTACGCCGCAACCTGGTTCGTCTCGATCCTCTCCCTACGGCCGAAGACCTCGCTGATTCTTCATCCTCTACAGGTTCTCCCTCTCGCTCGCTACCGCCTTCATGTTCTGGCGCCTGATGCGGCGACCAAGCGTGTTGACGACAGCGCAGTATCGCGGAGTCAAGTAGAGCTGTGCGAACGGAGGAGCTGTAAACTACGCATCGCCACTTTCGCCCCCCACGCTCCCATAGTCGCATGTCGCTCACGAATGAGGAGCTCGGTCGGAAAGGATTGCAGCATGGTATGAAAACAAGAAGAGAAAGCGGGAAGCGTTGTACAAGGTAACTCCGGCTCGGTCGTCCGTCCCTCTTCAAGCATTCCTCGCTCCTCGCCTCAGCCGAAAGCGCCGCTCGCAGCAAGCTTCGCAAGCCTCTCCGCCTCGCCCTCGTCCGCCGCCGACTTCTTACACCCGCACGACGCGTCGCACTGACACCCTCCTTCTTCCTCCTCGCACGCGTCGCCAAGCGGTTCCTCGAGGAACATCGCCGAACAAGCCGTAAGCTGAAGCTTGCCCGGCAGCTGTGCGGACGTAGAGAAGGTGGAGGTATCGTCGAGGAGTGCGGATGGGTCTGTCGGGCCGTTCGAGAGAGCAGCGTCGAGGTCGAGGATGGCGGGCCAGAGTGTGCGAAGGGAAGGGAGAGGGTCGGAGGTTGGAGGTGTAGGCGAGACGAGCGAGGAAAAGTCTGAGTGGTCGGCCCCGAGCGAGAGTGAGGGGAGCTCGAGGCCGGATGTCGCGAAGGTAGGCGGCGCTGGCGTCACTGTACGGGAGCGCTGTTTCGACCCACAGCAGGACCCAGTCTGGGCAGGGCGACTTGCCAACTCGCCGCAGCACGACTTGCCCACCTGACCAGCGCCTGAACAGCAACTCATTTCCCCAACAGCCTTCTCCTTCCCCTTCCCACAGCACACCATCGGCTGCGCAGGCGTACCTTCCAGCCTCGCCCTCTTGCTCTCCTCCATCTCGCAACCCCTCCCAGTCCCGCAGCGACATCCTCCTCCATCTCCGCATCCGCCTTCCGCCGGCCTCTTCCGCGAATACGGGTCATGCACGGCGCATCCGACGCATGCGCATGTTGGGCCGCAGAAGCAGGCGAAGGTTCCGGCTGTGCGGGTTGGGAGGAAGAGCGGGTCGGAGAGGGGCTGGGTTGATGAAGGAGGTGAGGGCGGGAAAGCAGGAGGAGGGAGGTAGGCGTCGGAAGGAGGAGCTTCGGGGATGAGAGGAAGGGTAGGAAGGGTCGAAGTGGACGGCTGGGGAAGCGGGGTGACGACGATGTCGCCGTACGAGTCGAGGGTGGGCGGGACGGGCAGGGTCTCGGTGAAGTAGTCGTCGAGAGAGGATGTCACAGATGCGGAGCAGCATCCACCGCTCGATGAAGCCGCCAGAGCAGCCGCTTCCTCGCCCGGCAGTTTTTTCGGTGCTGGCTTCTTCACGGCGGTGCAGCAAGTGCATACGCCGCCGCGAAGGCAGTCACATGGGTTCAGAAGACGTGTCACTGTGAACATGAGGCATTTCAGGGTCAGTGGGGGTCGATGAGAGCGCTTTCGCGAAAAAGGCGCACCTCCGGAAGGTGCAGTGGCGGTCAAGGGAGCTCCAGAGCTGCTCGAAGCGTTCACAGCGTCAACGAGACCGTTCGGAAGAATCTTCGCCTGCTGTTTCTCTGTTCAAGAAAGCGAAATGAGGGTCAGCGGACGGTTCTCCGGAAGAGGCGAACGAAGCGAGACTGACGTTCCGCCTCCCTGGCCGCACAATCGCAACGTGCGTGGACCGACTTGGTCTTGCGTAACTCCCTGCAATGCGCACACTGGCTCGTCGGCCGGCCTTTCTCTGAGGAGTCGGCGCACAGTCAGCACGAGGGGGTCGTCCAGGAGAGAAAGTGGGCTCACTCTTGATCTCGACGAGCGGGCGGGTCGTATGGGTGCACTTGGAAGATCTGTGCCCCTTGATGCACTGCTGGCAGGCGTACTTGACCCCGTCGATGAGGACCATCCTTCACACCCTCCTCCAGGACTCCGCAAGACTGATGATGCGAAGGAACCGTGTCGAGGAGCGAGGCGGGTCCGATCGGGTGCTCAAGCGGCTGTTGTGAGTTCGGTAGAAGCTTTGATGGGCAAAGATACAGCGATCGCGCAGAGGAAGCGATGCGGACAGGGCCAAAGAGCGAGGAGGCGAAGGTTGGCATCACCGCTGGATGCTTGCGACAGCTTGCAGAAGCAGGACAGCAGCCAGACTGCTCTTCGGATCCACCCTGACTGCTCACGCACTCCACCGTTCCATCCATTCCACCACCTCGTCCCCGCTCCACTTCACCTCCGCCGCAATGTCCTCCTCGCTTCGCACGCCGTGGGACCCGACGAAGACGCCGTACCCGCAGGTGCGCAGGTCCGACACGGTCGAGACGTTCAAGTCGGCCAAGAAGGCCGAGGTTCGCGTCGCAGACCCCTACGACTGGCTTCACGATCCCGACTCTCGCGAGACTCAAGCTTTCGTCAAGTCGCAAGGAGACTTCACGCGGGCATACCTTGACCAGTACAAGGACCGGAAGGTGTTCACCGAGGAGCTCAGGAAGAACTGGAACTACCCGCGATGTGCGTACCTCGCGGTTTCTGCGAGATGGTCTGGCTATGCTAACTGCCTTTCTACACAGTCTCCTGCCCTGCGCTGAAGGGAGACGGCAACTACTACTTCACGTACAACAGCGGACTCCAGCCGGTACATTGAGTCTGCGAAACGACCCTCAAGTTCGTCTTCCTGACCTTCGTTCTCTGCCTCTGCAACAGCAACCTTCGATCTACCGCTTCCCCAAGGGTCAGGAGACTGTGACGCCAAAGGAGGGAGAGGTTGGCGGTGAGCTGTTCTTCGATGTAAGTTGGCAAAGTCAGTCTGGCATCTCCCTTCCTCGCTGACCTCGCCTTTTCCAGCCCAACCTCCTCTCGACCGATGGCTCCGTCTCGCGTGCAACCAGTGCGTTCTCGGACGACGGCAAGTGGTTCGCGTACGCGCTTTCCCGCTCGGGCTCCGACTGGTCGACCATCTACGTTCGCCCGACCTCGTCGCCGCACAACCCGCAGCAGGAAGTCGGCAAGGATGAGGGTCGCCTCGAACACGACGTTATCCGCTTCGTCAAGTTTTCCGGAATCGGCTGGACGAAGGACTCGAAAGGCTTCTTCTACCAGCGCTTCCCTGCGCGCGCCGAGCACGGCGCAGACACGGATGATAAGGCCGGAACGGAGACGGACAAGGATGTCAACGCGCTGTTGTACTACCACAAGATCGGCACGCCGCAGAGCGAGGACGTCCTCGTCTACAAGGACGAGTCCAACCCCGAGTGGATGTTCTCGGCCGGTGGAACCGAAGAGTGCGCTCCTTTCCGCTCGTCCTCCAGTCTGCCGAAGCTGACGTAGATTATTTGTTAGCGGCCGTTACGTCGTCATGACCCAGTCTCGGGACACGGCTCGCTCCAACCTGCTCTGGATCTCCGACTTGCAGGAGGAAGGCAACGAGATCGGCCCGAACATGAAGTGGAAAAAGGTCGTCAACGAGTGGGGCTCGTACTACGCCGACATCACGAACGACGGGTCCAAGTTCTACTTCTACACGAACGCCAACGACTCGCCCAACTACAAGCTCGTTACCTACGACCTCGCCAAGCCGGAGGACGGCTTCAAGGACCTCGTCGCACACGACCCGAAGCTCCCGCTCACATCGGTTCACGTGGCCAACAAGGACGCACTTGTCCTCCTCTACTCGGTCGACGTCAAGGACGAGCTCTACCTGCACTCGCTTGCGACCGGTGAGCGCATCAAGCGCCTCGGTGAAGGCCTGATCGGCTCGATCGACCAGATTGCGGGCAAGCGCGAGCACGACGAAATGTGGTGGTCAATGTCCGGTTTCACGTCGCCTGGAACGGTTTATCGCTACGATTTCACCGACAACGCGGCAAAGGGCAAGAAGGCGGGCGAGCAGCAGGTCTACCGCGAGGCGAGCGTCGAGGGCATCAAGCCGGACGACTTTATCAGCGAGCAGGTCTTCTTCACCTCGAAGGATGGGACGAAGGTGCCGATGTTCGTGACAAGGCCCAAGGAGTGCGTCTGCTCCCTTCTCATTGCTGCTCTCGTGCGCTGACGAGTCCTCGCTCGCAGCGTCGCCAAGGATGGGACGGCTCCCGCGATCTTGTACGGCTACGGCGGGTTCTCCCATGCGATCACGCCGTTCTTCTCGCCGTGAGTTGCGACTCGTTGCGACTCGCATCAAAGAGCGGTTCATCTGCTGACATTCTTTACTCGCAGCTCGCTCATGACGTGGATCAAGCACTACAAGGGCGTCTTGGCGGTCGCCAACATCCGCGGCGGCGAGGAGTACGGCGAGAGCTGGCACATCGCTGGTACGAAGGCGCAGAAGCAGAACGTCTTCGACGACTTCCGCTGGGCTGCGAAGCACCTCATCACCGAGAAGTACGTCGCGCACAACAAGATCGCGATTTCGGGCGGCTCGAACGGCGGTCTCCTCGTCGCTGCGTGCTTGAACCAGGAGCCGAGCCTGTTTGGCGCCGCCATTGCGGACGTCGGCGTGCTGGACATGCTGAGGTTCCAGCGCTTCACGATCGGGCGCGCCTGGACGAGCGACTACGGCAGCTCGGACGATCCCGAAGGCTTCGACTACCTCATTGAGTGCGTGGTCTCCTCCAGCCTCTTGCCAGTAGCTGACTCGGGCCCGCCTCCAGGTACTCGCCTCTCCACAACGTCGACCCCTCAAAGGCGCCGTATCCTCCTACCATGCTCCTCACCGCCGACCACGACGACCGCGTCGTCCCTCTCCACTCCTTCAAGTATGCCGCCGAGTTGCAGTACCGGCTGCCGGACAACCCGAATCCGCTGCTGCTCAGGGTTGACACGAAGTCTGGGCATGGCGCTGGCAAGGTGCGCCCATTCCGCTTTCTTTCCCGGTTCTTACATAGCGCTGACGCCACCTGAAATCCGCAGAGTACGGAGAAGAAGATCGAGGAGGCTGTCGACAAGTAGTGCGTCGAGTTTCTCGTCTTCAAATGGTCTCCATGCTAACTTGCGCTCTTCCTTCTCCTCACAGCGGCTTCGTGGCGCAGTCGATGGGCTTGAAGTGGCACGACTAGACGACGGCAGCTCGTAGACGATCCGCTTGACGTGCGAATGAGTGATACGAACACTCGAAAACGCAGCGCGAGACGGCGAGAGGCGTGTACGACTCCGTTTCCTTTGCGGTCCCTGTCTGTCAGCCGTCTTCGCAGGCTCTTGAAGATGCAGGACTAGGCAGATTGAAGCACTACGACGGTCCAGCCAAACGCTCTTCACCTCGTCTCCTCTTTGACCTTCGCTTCACCGCCACGCACGCTTTGCTCTCGAACGGCTGCGACTGCTGCTAGATGAGCTCAGAGACTGCACCGCTTCCGCCTGAAGCCAGCCACACCGCGCCCGAAGCCTCCGACACCTCACACACCTTCCCTCCCCACCCTCACGACGACTCGGATGTCCCGCCCGTACTGCCTCGCGATGCGCCGCAAGTGACCGTGGTCGGCTTGACGCCGGCGCTGCAGATGAGGCTGAGCCTTCTCAGGCGGCTTTGGCTGGCGAGTGTTGAGATGCGTGCGTTCTGGTTCTCCTCTTCCATCGCTCGGAAGTGGAGGGGCGGTGTCGACAGGCTGGGACGACCGTGCGCGCCTTTCGTTCACACTGACGCTGTTCGAAAACGCAGAGGGCGTGCGGCGACGACGACTCCTGTTCTTCGGGGTCATAGGACTCGCCCAGCTCGTCGCCTGGATCGTTATTCTCGCGATGCACTACCACGACCCCTGCGACAAGCCTCTCGCGCCGTACCTGGTCATGGTAACCGTGCGCATCTTTGTCGCCTTCCCTCGTGCGCGGAATCCGCTGTCTGCCCGATTTCCACGAGTTGACGCCTTGCTTCGCCGCAGTCTCCTTCTACAACGCCGTCACGCCTCGCCTTCCTACCCGCCGCGACAATGACACAACACGAGCGGTGCTCGAAGCGAACCGGCGAATTGGCTCGCCAATTCTCGACCGCCGAGTCCGCTGGGCAGGGGACCTAGTCTCAATCCTCGGCTTGGTTCTCCTCGTCGCGGGCTCCTTCTGGCTGGGCTCCTCGAAGACCTGCCAGATGACGGCGCCGGCGTTGTACAAGTCGGCGGTTGCGGCTCTTATCTTGTCGTGGTTGTGGATGGCGGAGCTCGCCATCTACGTAGTCCTCGCGATTCTGTTCCTCCCGTTCCTCCTCGTGCGTGCGCTCCTCCAGTCGAGGATGATGGAACTTGCTAATCCGTAGCATTCGCAGGTCGGCATGCGCTGGTTCGGACTTGGACAGGCGAAGAACGAGATTGGACCGCTCGGCAAGGCCGACATCGAGAAGCTGCCGCAGCGAATTTTTGTGTGCGTACACTGGAGAGCTCTTAGCAGAGAGATCGCTGACTTCTCAGCTCCGACAGCGGCACTAAGCCGGAACTCACGGACCTCGAAGACGGAACTACTCCCAGCACTTCCTCACAGGCGCAAGCGCCGTCAACCACGCCGTCACCGTCGCGGCGCCCCAGGCAGAAGCAATGGTGGCGTTTGTGGCGCTCGAAGAACTCGTCGACCAGCCAGAAGGTCGCGGGAGGCGACAACCGGCTCGATGGCGACCACGTCTCTTTCCCGCCCGGTGTCGAGGGGATCCTCCTTCCCGAGAGCCAAACTGCCTGTTCCATCTGCCTCTGCGGTCCGTCCTAGCATCTTCACCTTTTGAGCTTTCGCTGACATTCTGCTCTTGCGCAGAGTACGAAGTGCCGCCGTCTCGCTCGGCCGCGGAAGCGTCGGAATGGAAGGTCGAGGAGAACCTCCTGAGGCTCCTGCCGTGCGGCCATGCGCTGCACTCGGAGTGCTTGGGCGAGTGGCTCGGTGTGAGCGGAAGGGTAAGTCTGCCTCTCTCGCTAAGACGTCGGCGCGGTCACCGAGTCCTTGAACAGTTTGTGTGGCTGACAGCTTGCTCGGCATTTCGCAGTGCCCGCTTTGCCAAAGGCCGGTCAACGAGCCAAAGTCGACGAAGGGAAGGAAGGCCGCGCGATCTGCGTCGACGAGTTCCGGAACGCGCGAGACGGCTCCACCAAGCGGAGGGGTTGCAGGTGTAGGTGACGAGCAAGTGTAGCCGGTGCATGGATTTCTGCATGTTGTTGTAGCCTAAACGTCCTCCTTAGTCCTGCAACTTTCGCATCGCTTCCGTCGTTCCCCGCTCCATGCCTGCTTCCTCAGTTTAGCGAGGCTGCTGTGTCGAACATTCGATTGCCGACGGAAGAGATCATTGAAGGCGTTTGGGGACGATTCCGCCAGATGCATACGAGTCCATTCCGGGTATCAAGCCCTAATTCCGCCCCAAAGTCCGTTTGGTATGTACATGCCTCCTCACATGACCTATCTGGCGGTGAGAGATCTCTGGAGAAACTGGGCGATGATGCGGTTGACGATGTTCGCGTCGGAGAGGGAGATGAGGCCGGGTGCGCCCACGATGGCGTGGATCGAGACTCCGCCCCTGGCGTTGACGAACATGCTGCGCGGAAAGAAGTCAGGACAATGGACTGGATGAGGAGCGGGGGAAGACGACGACTGACCTCGCCCATTGTTCGCAGGCGTCGACGGGGCAGACAACTCGGTCGTCTGCGCCACGCAGGATCAGAACTGGGCAAATGACGGTCGCCGTCAACTCTTGAGGAACCGGTTTCCGGTCGTATACGGCGCGGAAGAGCCAGCCGATATCGTGCGAAGACACGCCGACACCCGATCCGTAGCGCTCCTGCAAGCGCTCCTTCATCGCTTCTCGGTGCGCAGTGAGTCGCTCGTGACCGCCGATGAAGTAGGCGCAGATGTCGTCGAGCGCCTCAGGCGGGAGTGTGCCGCTCTTGTCGCCCCGGCCGTCCTTGTTGACAAGGGGGGCGGTCTCGACCTCGCGAAGCATCTCGACGACATGGGGCGGCCTGTCATAACGTCGACGTCAGCCTGCAGAGTTTGAGGACACTGAAAGCGGAGTTGAGACTGTACGCACTCGCTAGGGAATCCCGGCGAGGCAAGGAGCAAAGCCTGCACCTTCTCCGGCCGCTTGACCGCGATCCAGCTCGCAATGTTCCCTCCGTGAACGCCCTCGCCGTAGAGACTGTAAGCCGGAAAGCCCATCTCGTCCTGCGAACGAGCTATCAGTCAGTTTCCCTCATCTCACGACTGCGGAACCGGAACTGCTCACCAGCGTCGCCATCACGCACTCAGCCGAGTTCTCCAACGTGTGCTGTGCCCGCTCTCCGCCCTTCGAGAAGCCGTTGAAGCGGCAGTCCATTGCGAAGAGGTTGAACTGAGTCGCGAGTCGAGGGTCGCCCATCTGCTGCCGCCACGAAGTGACATTTGCAGCCGCTGCAGGACGCGATCGGTCAGCTCACCGCCTCAGTAAGCAATAAAAGGAGTGCAGGAACGCACCTGCATGGATGAACACGAGAACGGGAAGTCCCTCCTTGAGCGGGTGCGACTGGGGGAGGTTGTCGTGCGTCGCCGTGAGGAACTCGCTAGGATCAGGGTTCCAGACGTAGAACATGTCGAGATCTCGGTAGTCGATTCGTTTGAAGGGCATGTTGGGCGAGTCGCGTTCGTGTGCGGTTGAATGAGATCGTGAAGGCCGTGAGAGGGTTGGTGCGTCGGGAGCGGGGCGGTGCCGAGTGCCAAGTCGGGAGGATGCCCACACTATAGCGCAGGAAGAAGAGAGAAGAGTTGAAGCGGGGTCGGATCAGCGAGAGGGAAGGAAAGCGAGAGAGAGAGCGCCGAGTCGACGAGCGAACGAAGCGAGCGGCAGCATTTCCGATCGTGATTCACGGCGAAGTCGGGAACACCGCGAGGCGCAGCGGAGCCAACGGCTCCACGGTGTGTCCGGCACCGGCGGTGCAGAAGGGAGAGCTGAGCGGGAAGGGTATGTGCGTCGCCCTCCATATCCTCGACCTCGCACGCCGGCGCGAGACTGTGCTTTGTGGGTGTGCGTTCATGCGAAGAATGCCAATCGCAACCTTCAGTAGCGTTGAGCGAGCGAGCTGAGCGGGTATTGTCGTAGATGGGAAGGGACCGAGCAATTCGCGCTCGAGCATCTCGAGGACAATGGGCGGCACATGCAGTCGATCGTGCTACGTGAATGGGCGAACGAGATGCGCAATCGATTCTTGATGCGACGATGAAGCGATGGGAGGGCGCTAGGGAACCGGTCGTCCTGCGGGCGAAGAACGTGAGCGATGCCCGAACACAAGCTGCGAGCACACTCACTGGCCGTCACTTCGTAGACGCACACGCATCCTTGCGCTCCCCGGCGCGACTCCGTCCGCTGCTCCTTCTCCTCGCTCCCGCTCTCGATCCTCCTCGTCGCCGTCAAGAACCGCAAGTTCGCCATCGGCGCCTCGCGCAAAATGCGGTCGACGAAAGACTCGACGGTGAAGCCGTGCCAGGCGAAGGTGGCGGGGACGGTGAAGTCGAGCGCAAGAGGGAGGGAAAGAAGGCGGGAGGTGAGCTCGTGGAGTTGCTTTGGGACTAGGCCGTTGAGGGCGAGCGCGCGGAGAGATGTGCAAGATAGGATCAAGTCGACGAGCGAGTCGGGAAGCGGGATCCAGTGCGTCGAAATGGACAGGTGGAGAAGGGTTGAACGGAGAGAAGGAAGGGCGCGGAGGATGTGCTCGTGGAGGGGCGAGCCGGACTTGATGACGAAGAGATGCAGGCTTGTTAGGGTGTTTGCCGATGTCGGAAGGATCGCCTTGAAGAGCGCGAGCGGCTGGTCAACCATGGCTGAGAGCGAGAGCTTCGACAGACGGAGCGGGACGAGTGGGAGGTCGGGCGCCGCCTCGAGGGGAATGTCGAGCTTGAGGTGTCGCAGTTCTAGCGAGAGAGACGCTATGAGTAACAGATCTTGGAAACACTTCAAGATACTCACCTCGAAAGCTCGGGAGCAGAAGGAGTTTCGGGTCGAACGAGTTGACGAAGAGGGCGGACCGCAGGTGAAGCGCGCGGATCTGACACTCCATCTCGCATATCGACCTGGTCATGAACTCGGTGAGGGGAAAGAAGTCGTCGTCGTGCGGTTGAAAGTCGAAGAAAAGGACGAGTTCGTCAAGGACGATTGGTCTGTGGAGTCGGCGAGGACGGTCGAGGAACGCGCGCGCCCGATGGTACGAGTCGATGTGCACCTTCGACTCGAGCAGACTTTGCGCCGATTCTCGCCAGCTCGAAGCGACGAGGGCGAGGTGTCGCAAGGTGGAGGAGCGGAGGCGGATGGTCGGTGGCAGACCGTCGACGGCGAGCTCGAAGACGCGGTACAGGAGTTCTGGCGGCAAATTGGCAATCCAGCACGTCTCACTTTGTCCCTGCACGTCCTCCATTGCTCCTACCAGGCAGACGCCGGCTTCGAGGTGGGGAGGGCGAGTGAGCGGGCTCAACAGCGAGGGACGCGGTCAGGACAGTCTAGTCGGGTCCGCAGAGCGTGTAGCAGCGTTCAAGTGTGGCAGCTGCGCCCATATGAGCCAGTCGAGCGAGTGTCTTCTCCTCAAGAAGTGATCCTCCTCCTCATCCTCCTGCCAATCTCCTTCGACGGCACAGGCAGCCATGTTCTCGCTTGCAGCGTCATTTGCGAGGCTCACTGTCGCCGCACGACCAGCACTAGCCCGCCCGTCGCTCCGATCCGCCGTCGCCGCCTCGTCCTCACCTCCGCTCGCCTCGACCTCGCGAGTCCAGCTCCAACACGCGTTCTCGACCTCGCGACCGGCACAGGCGACGCTGAACCAGGTCACGCGTGGCTGCCGCAAGCCCAAGAAGCGCGGAGTGAAGACGCCAGCGCTCCAGGGCTGCTACCAGAAGAAGGGTGTGTGCAGCAAAGTGTACACGGTCAAGCCCAAGAAGCCGAACTCGGCCGTGCGCAAGGTCGCCAAGGTCAAGCTCAGCACGGGCAGGAGCATCATCGCCTACATCCCCGGCGAGGGACACAACTTGCAGGAGCACTCGGTCGTGCTCATCCGAGGCGGCCGAACACAGGACTTGCCGGGCGCAAAGTGCGTCCCGGTCTTTCTCTTCAGTCTCTACTATGCTGACGCTTGCTCCCTGCAGATACAAGATCGTCCGAGGCGCGCAGGACTTGAGCGGTGTTGTGGGACGGGCAAGCTCGCGGTCCAAGTATGGAGGTGCGTCCGAACGACTGGCTGAGTGTGGAACGATCTGGCTGACTCTGCTCCTGCCCATAGTCAAGAAGCCGAAGAAGTAGACCCTCCGCATCCAGCAATCCATCCGCTTGTCTCCGCAACGACCCGTTTCCCCCGCCGAGCACGCAAGGTGGGGCGACGATGTTGCTTGTCCTTCGCCGCTTCACTCGAGTGCTGTGTTTGTCTGCTCTCACGCTGCACCTCTGACCCACCGCGCGCAGCTCGACTCGGCGTCCTCGTCCCCCTCCTCCCGCTCGCCGAATGTCCCTCCCGATCCTCTCGTACGCTACGGCACGGACAGACCCCTCCGCCTTCATCCAGCCGCTCCAGCATGCCCTCCTCACAACCGGCTTCTTTTACCTCTCCGACATCGATACTGTTCTCCCCGAATGGAAGTCCGCCTGGGACGACGCTTTCTCCGCCTCGGCAGCGTTCTTCGCCCAACCGGTCGAGGTCAAGCAGGAGATTGGAATGATCGAGTCGCGGCATTTTCGGGGATACTCGGCGTACGGGGTTGAGGTGACGCAGGGGAAGCGGGACTTGAGGGAACAGATCGACTTTGGGCCGGAGATGGGGGATGCTGCGCAGGCGCGTGCAAATGACGACCCACTCGAGCTCTCCCTGTACGGGCCCAATCAGTACCCCGCCTCAACACCCGCTCTCGAGCCTTCCATCCGTCGATGGCGGGACTTGAGCGACACCATCGCACGCCACCTCGTCTCGCTCCTCGCTCAATCGCTCACGCCTCATCCCGAGCGAATAGTCGACATCTTCCTCCCCTCAAGCGCAGCAGACTACCCCGCCTACTCGCGCATGAAGGTCGTACAGTACCCGCCGATCAAGCCTGGCGAAGAAGGGGCGGGAGTTGGAAGCCACAAAGACGGAGGCGGCATTACGCTGCTTGCACAGGATCAGACGGGTGGGCTGCAGGTGCAGACGTGGGAGGGAGAGTGGATCGGAGTCGGGCCTGTGCCGTATGCGCTTGTGATCAACGTTGGGCAGGTCATGTCGGTCCTGGTTCCCCTCCTTCCGCCCGCCTCCAAAGCGCTGACGCTTTCTACGTCGCAGCGAACGCATGTCAAGCGGCCTCTACGCCGCAACAACCCACCGCGTCCTCGCCACGACCGGCCCCTCTCCGCGCCTCTCAATCCCTTTCTTCTACTCCCCGAAACTCACTTCCACCCTGCACCCTCTCTCACGCACCGAGATCCACCCCTCGCTTCTCGCGCTCGCCGCGCAAACGGAAGGGAAGGAGAAAGTGTCGGATGTCAAGAAGGGGGATTTGCATGAGGAGGTTTTTGGGAGGGCGGCGTGGAGGGGGATCACGAGGAGTCATGTCGATGTGTGGGAGAGGTGGTACGGGAGGGAGAGGGATCCTGTCGGTGGGCCGGAGCGGGTATAGCGCGAAGATAGATTGGAACGGTGTCGTCGCCTTCCTCCCGCTTTGCGCCTCGCGAGTCGCGCGATGCAGCTAGCCGCTCTACGCGGGAGGAGGACAGCGAGAGGCGTGACAATCATGTGCGAATGCATGAAAGCCCTTAATCAAGGAAGAGGCGAGGGAAAGGGAGCGGGGCTACTCGTGACAAACAACGTGAGAGGAGACACAGACTTCTAGAACGACATACGGAGAGAGAGAGAGGAAAGATGAGTAGGCTATGGATAAGTGCGGGGTGGGTGGTTAAACAATGAGGGTGTGCTCGGAAGCAAGAGAGGCGAGGCGAGGCTCAGGAGGGGACACCTAGAAGTCCTCGTCGAGCGAGAACGTGGTGCCCTTGGCGACGTCGGTGCCGGCCTCCTTTGCGGACTGCTTGGCCATGACGCCGGCCTTTTGGTCTGCGCGAAGTCGGAAGGAGTCAGTTGAGAGCGATGCGTGAGAGCGAGGGACGGGGACGAACAGTCAGAGACGCGCTTCTCGAAGAAGCTGTGAACAGGAAGGTGTGGAGTGCGACGACGTCAGCGAGGGTGACGACGAGCAAAGGAGGGAACCGGAACGCACTTGGTCTTGCCCTCCATCGAGATCATGTCCATAAAGTCGAACGGGTTCTCCTTGTGGTAGATCTTCTCGTTGCCGAGTGCGATAAGCAATCGGTCTGCCACGAACTCGATGTACTGGCACATGAGGTCGCTGTTCATGCCGATAAGCTTGACGGGCAGCGCCTCGGTGAGGAACTCCTGCTCGATCTCGACCGCCTCGCGAATGATGCGCTCGACCGTTTCGGGGTGAGGGCGGCGCTCGAGGTGCGAGAAGAGGAGGCAGGCAAAGTCGGTGTGGAGACCCTCGTCGCGCGAGATGAGCTCGTTCTGTGCGAGGTCCAGTGGTCAGAGAGACTGGTCGTTGTTTCGCAGCGGCGTGCAGCGCGAATGCAGCTGCAGCCGCATCGACGAAGGCCATGACTCACGGAGAAGGTGAGTCCGGGCATCAAGCCGCGCTTCTTGAGCCAGAAGATGGACGCGAACGAGCCGGAGAAGAAGATGCCCTCGACGGCGGCGAACGCGACGAGGCGCTCGCCGAAGACGGAGCGCTCGTCCGAGATCCAAGTGAGCGCCCACTCGGCCTTCTTCTGGATGCAGGGGACTGCGCGGGTGAAGGTGGTCAGGCGGGTCAAGCGGGATGCGAGGGAGGGTGAGAGCGACGGACTGGTCTCGATGGCGTTGAAGAGCTTGGTTCGCTCCTCGGGCTCGCGGACGTAGGTGTCGATGAGGAGCGAGTAGACCTCGGAGTGGATGTTCTCCCTGCGAGCGTGGCAGAGACAAAGGTCAACTCCAGGCCTCAGACCCGCCCTCGACACGCTCGACGCAGACGCACATCATGATCTGGAAGCCGTAGAAGCAGCGAGCCTCGGCGATCTGAACCTCGCCAGCAAACCTAAGGAGGGGACGCGATGTCAACATTCGTGATGCGGAAGTTGACATTCCGGAAGCCAGAGAAAACGCACCTCTCGACCAAGTTCTCGTTGACGATGCCGTCCGAGGCGGCGAAGAAGGCTAGAACGTGCGAGATGAAGTACTTCTCGTCGGCCTTGAGCTTCGTGTCCCAGTGGTTGAGGTCCTTCGAGAGGTCCTGAGGGATTCGACGCGTCGAGGCGCAAGATGTCAGCGGGGCGGTCGCGGGGATCGCGGGTCGACGGAAGGCGCGCACCATCTCCTCGGCAGTCCAGAACGAAGCCTCTGCACGCTTGTACTGTCCCCAGATCTGCAGAACGAGCGCGTGAGGTCAGCTCGAGTCCCCCAGACGCGTCGAGGCAAGAGCTCGGTCACAGGAGGCGAGAGTGGCCGCGCACCTCGTGGTACTGGATGGGGAAGAGGACGAATCGGCTGCCGTTCTCCTTGAGGATGGGCTCGTCGGCGTCGCAGGTGATGGCGGGGTTGCCGACAAAGCGGTCGCGTCCGTCATTCTGGCGCTCGTCGACGACCTCTGCCGACTTGTGCTGCTTGCGGGTGGACGCGGGCTGCTCCTTCTGTGCGAGGGCGAGCTTGCCTGCGATGGGCTGGGGCTTGGAGAGGTCGAGCTTGTCGAGCTGGGCGGCGGCGGCCTTGGAAGGGGTCTCGAGGACGGGTGCGGAAACCATGGCGGGCGGTGTGGCGGGTGGGGTGGTTGTCGAGAACGAGAAGAGAGTGTGCTAGAGTGAGCACGAGCAGAGAGAACGAGTCGGAGCGAGGGTGAAAGAGGGAGAGAGAGTGAGAGAGCGAGAGCGAGCGCACCCGTCGCGACGAAGGGAACGCGCAAACAAACCACGCGCCGACGACGTGTTTTCGCGATCTCTCCTCCATACATTCCCCAAGAGAGCGCATACAGCCGTGCGTAATCCGCCGCACTCGCAACGCTCATGCGGCAAGTCCACTCCGACCGAAGCAAAGACTGGGGCGAGAAACGCCGCTCACCCTCTCGGGCGGCTCTTCGTTCGCAGCGGTGCAATGCTCGCTAGAGTCGCAAAGTAACCTTTCAAGACCGCACCGCAACGAAGAATCGCCAGACGAGCCAACGGGACCGGTTTAGGGGGGTGCTCCTCGCTCTTCGCCTCGCTCGCCGACTCGCTACACGTCAGATCGGGCCTTGCTGCTTGGTTGCTGCTTGCTGGAGATTCACTTCACCCGCACGGCACGTGTCAGCAGCCCATCACGCCGTTGAACACCTTCCCTCGCCTCATCAGCGAACCGAGTGAAGGTGGTCGAGTTCTCGTCCCACAGCCCGTCGTGGGCCTAGCGTCGCGGGCGCGAAGCTTTTACGACAGACTATCCAGCTATCGGTGCGTCGCGGTTCCGCCAGCCATCGCTGTGTGCAGCTGGGCAGCCCTTGCGCTCTTCTCCTCCCTCCTTTGGCCCTCTCGCGGCAGGCAAACTGGCTAATCGGGCGCTTCGTTTTACACGTGCATGTGCTGTAATCGACCCTGCTGACCGCAGACTCGCTCGAACCCTCCCGTTTGGCGCCTTCGTGTCCTCACACCTGCACATCCCCAGCTCGCTCGCTTTCCTCAAGCGTCAAAGCTCTCCCTCCTCACTCCCTGCACTTCTGCACCTCAACAGCACTCGCAATCCATCCGCGCCCGCGCTTCCTCGCACGACTGGTCCACTCTCGCTCGTCCTCCTGCGACACTCGTGCTTTCTCTTCCCGCAGGCCTTGGGCGGAGACGGATGGAGTGACGAGAACGCTGGATTGCAACGACGAGGACACAGATACCGAGGACACGAAACGAGGAGAGACGAGGCCGAGAGTCGAGAGTTTGCGAGATAGCACAGTGAGAGCGAAAGACAGGCGGGAGAGCTATGGACGACAACGGAGAGAGGGGTATCTAGACCTAGCGAGAGGAAGGAAAATACGACACAATGAGGCAGGATGAGGCTGCGGATCAGCACGCCCGAGCAATCAAGCCCTTCTCGCCTTCTTCCCCTTCGCCGCGACCGCCTCTGTCGCCGCGGCTTCCTTCCCTTCGTCCGCCGAGCGTCCGCGCTTCCTCGACGTCCTACGAGTCATCTTCGTCGTCGAAGCCTCGACGTTAGCGTCATCAGTCTTCGAAGAACCGGGAGCAAGACGAGTCGAGTCGGAACCAAGGCCAGACTTACGACCCTGCTGAGGGCGCGCGATGCGTGAACTCGGACTAGCAGAGCGCGTCGACACCTCAGTCTCGAGTCGCAAGCCCGAATCCTTGTTTTTGCGTTCCGACTCGCCGCGAATGTGGCGTGCGGGAGCGGGGGTGCTCGGGTCTTGCTTGGGGTCTTCGAGGACCGATGAGGCTGAAGTCGAGTCCTGCGACGACGACGATGACGAGGCGGAGGACGAAGAGGCGGAGCGAGAGCGGGAGCGGGCGGGGAGACCGAAAGCTGCGGCCGATGTCGCAAAGCTCGAGTCGCCGCTGAGGGATGCAGATGGGCTGCTAGAGCTCCGGAAGGCGCTGATGCCGAAGAAGCTTGGCGTTCTGAGGCCGGTCGGGGTGGGTTTGGCGGTAAGGGGAGCCTTGAGCGGAGCGGCGACGAGGGTGGTGGAGGGTGTGTCGTCGTCCTTGACGGTGGCGACGGCAGTCGCAGGTTCGACAACCTTATCACCTGATGAGGCGTCCCTGGAGGAACGAATGGAAATGAGAGTCAGCAACGCGTGCGAGGGGGAGAGGAAGGGATCGAGGACAGCAAGCAAAGGTCACGCACCCTTCGCCGCTTTTCGTGGGCATCTCGACCTCGCCAAATACGTCCTTCGAGCCGGACTCGTCAGTCGGGAGGTCCTCGGTGTCATGGCTGCGAAACAAGCGCAGAGAGAAGGTCAGTGCCGGGCGTCTGAAGTGATAAGGCGAAGAGAACGCACCCGTCGCCCTTCGCAACTCCCTCAATGACAGCCTCCTTCGGTTCGACCTTCTCGACGAGCTCGGCGTCTTGAACGGGCCAGTCCTCCTTCTTCTCCTCAACCGGGAAGAGCCCGCCCCAAGTCTCGTCCTCCTACTCGCCAACCGACTGCCTTTCCTTCTTCTTCCTCTTCTCGCCGCCAACGATGCCCGATGCAGTCACGCCCGCTTTGCGGATAGTGTCGAGGATGTCGTTGAAGTGGACGACACGGGTCGGACGAGTGTCAGCGCACGATTCGCCGCACGTCGGGCAGCAGATCTCCTTGCGAGCGTCGTCGACGGCGGAAGGAGTCGGCGAGCCAGAGCGCGACGATGCTGGAGTGGGCGAAGGAGAGCGCTGCGAGGTGCCGCCCTGGGCACGCCGAGTGAGCGCCAAAGCCGAACCAGCGCGAGCAGAAACGGGTTCGCGACGTCCATTCCTAGCCCTCGAAGGTCCAGCCTTGGACTGCTCGATCTCGGCGGCCTCGTCGTCGTCAATCTCCTCGATCCTGGGGCCGCTGCTCGAGGCGGAAGGGGTAGGGGACGGAGCCCTGCGCTGTTGGTGCCGATTGGCGGTGTAGGCGACAAAGTCGTCGAGCATTGCTGCCGACGCGCGCTGGAAAGCTCGCTCGGCGTCTTCGTCTTGCAGGTTGTCGACCTCGACGATGCGCTTCTTGCCGATAGTCAGGCCGTAGAAAGCGCCAGACGAGTAAGGCGCCGTGTCGTACTCGTCTTCTTCCTCATCGTCTTCCTCGTCCTCGTCGTCCTCGTCGTCGTCGAGCCAGGCGCCGAGTGGGCGGAAGGCGATGAAGCCGGGCCGCCTGCGAGGATAGACGGCGGCGCTCGGGTCCGACTCGTCGCCAGAAGCGTCGTCGTCCGAGTCGGTGGCGGAGTCGGATCGTTCAGAGCCGGGCGCATCGTCGGTCAAGTCGGGCTCGGTCGTCCAGCTGATTTCGAGGCAGCTGCGGCAGCTGGAGGCGCGGGGATGAGCGATGTCAGCGAGCGATTCCGCATCCAACAGACGCAAACGCTAGAAGACAAGGAGAAGCAACGCACAAGATGTGGCCGCACGTAAGCGAGTGCGGGTTCTCGAGCAACTCGTTGCAGATCCCGCAAGAGACGGTTGAGCGGATTGCGGCGAGAGCTTGCGACTGCTTGTCGGCGAGCTGTTGGGATGACAGCATGCTAGACGTTAGTCTCCACACTCGACAGAAAAGCGGCGAGGACGAGGGGGAGCGTCGCACCTTCTCCTTCTCCGCAAGTTGCCGCTTCAAATCGGGGAGTACAGCCTCCTTGTCGTCGTCGACGACCTTGCCCTTGCCCTTGGCTTTACGTCGTGCGTCAGCCGAACGTTTCGATCCGTCGGAGAGCTTGGGAGTCGGCGAAGGACCGGCGGGCAGGACAGCGGGCTCGTCGTCGTCGAAGTCGATCTCGCGGGTCCTGCGAGCCTTCTTGGTCGACTTGGGAGTGCTGGTAGTCGAGGGAGTGTCATCGGGAAGGGCGGCGGCCGAGCGCTTGCGGGAGGCAGAGGTGCGAGACGTGGCGTCGGCAGGCGGAGAGGCGAGCTGCGGGAGAGCAAGAGTGAATCAGTACCGAGTGGTCGTCCGCCTGACGCTGCGACTGGGCAAGGGGAAAGGAAGGGAGGAAAGCCGAAAACGCACCTTCTCGACGTTCGCCTTCCGTTGAGTCGGGCGACGAGCGGGTTCGTCGACAGCGTCTTTGTCGACGTGAGAAGCCTTGTGAGCACGCCGGGGGAGCGAGCGGACAGGGCGAGTCGCCCGAGTCGAAGTTTCGTTTGAGCCGGTCGAAACTGAGGCGGAGGTGACGGCGGCGACGGCGGTCTTGCGCGTCTTGCGGGCGGCATTAGCAGTCTCGCCAGTCGTCTTGCGGTCCTTGAGAGACTCTTTGAGGTTGCGGTCGACCGAGCGAGAGCTTTTGCGAGGCGAGGACGACGAGGGAAGAGGGTAGGGGGAGGTACGAGGTGAGGGAGAGCTGCGGGTAGTCGTGCGACGTCGTTGAGCGGTCGAACGGGTTTCGCGAGCCATCTTAGCGGCGCGAGAGGATGTGATGGGGACGAAGTGAGAGGAAGGAGGGAGAGAGAGGAAAGGCGCCGGACTCGCTTTTATACGGGGCCGTGGTTTGGACTGACCCAGTCACTCGGCCAGCCTCCTCCAACGGTTTTGAGGCGGTGCATCCCGAGGTGGACAAGCGGGAAGCAGTTCGATCGAAGCTCGAGAACGCCTCTGAGCCATGCTGCGAGTACTGAGCGACGAGGAGAAAGTGGCAAAGTGCGGATCATGAAGACCCTCGGGCACATACGAGGCACTCTCCAGGGAGCATCGGTATCGTTGGTCGATGCGTAAAGCTATGCCGAGTTCCGCAGACCCCCGGGAGGGAGAAGCAGTGTCGGAAGGGACTGCAAGCGATTCGAGGACGCAGTCCAAGGCGCTGAGAAGCCTCATCCGGTCCGCCCACCTGCTCGAATCCGCTCATCTTACGACTCATGAACCCCCGCAGACCAACCAGTGGAGCCGTTCAAGGTGAACGGGTGCTGGGCGACGAGGAGGCGAAGCAAGCGGACGGCGACGGCGGGGGCGGTTGGCTGCAGCTGGATTGTGCAGTACAGAGCCTCCAGTGTCCAGTACACACAACGCCGAGTCCTCTCGCGAGTGTTGAGCGAGCCGTTGCATGCTGAAATGCGGTCGGTCGACCACTTCGACCTCTCCCACGACCCTCGCAGCTGCTGGAGACGCTTGTGGAGTGCTTGCCTGCCTCGACTGGGAGCTATAGACCGACGACTCACCCTAACTCCCCGCGCGAACCCCGCCGTCTCCTTCCCTCCAACCTCATCGACATCATCTCTCTAGAACCACTGGATCCGTCAAACCACTCGCATGGAATGAACGGCCCGCCGCCGGGAGAGGCATCGACATCCTCGTCACCCACACAGAGCCGCTTCACCCGATCGTCGTCGACAGCGGCCGCCACCCCCTCTGCTCCACCGCTCGTTCCCCTCGACAAGCACCTGTACACCCAGCCCGACTATGCGGTCAAGACGAGGGATGAGCGCATCCCGCACATAGAGACGAAGCATGCGGGCCTGACGGCGCTCAGGAGGGTGTTTGTCGGACCGAGTTTCACGGCGGGACATGGTTCCGCAGGTTCCGCTTCGAGCGCGCCGATGGGCAAGGGGAAAGCTCGCGCGCTGGATCACGAGGAGGAGGGGGACGTCTTCGCGAGCGGAGCGGCGACGCCGCACCATCCTGGCCTGTCATTCCCGATGCGGAGGAGACGCAGGGCTTCCACCGCTCTGAGCATTGCGACGACGAAGACGGGCCAGACGGTCACGTCCTCCGTGCAGGGGAGCACTGGCGGCGGAGAACACAGTCGCCTGCACGAGTGGACTGGCACGAGCTTCGAGATTGGCGGCGACATCCGCGATGCGGCGAGACGTCGCGACGCTCGTCTCGCTCGTCAGCGCGAGGACGCTGACGAGCACGCTCAGCGTGAGCGAAAAGGCTCGCACTCGCCTTTGAGCGTTCGCGAGAGGAAAGACTCGCTCGCAAGTGGCCAGTTTCTCGAGCACCTTACAGCGACTCCGCCCACCTCGATGCCGCCTCGAAGTCCTGCTGCCACAACTGCCACAGGCGCCTCATTCGTCACAGCGCAGACGCATCTCCCCCGTCGCGCATCCGCTTTTGAGCACCGCTCGCCACCGCCGGTCGGGCGCGAGCGACGGTTCTCCCAGCCGATCAGGCGAGCATCCCGCGTCAGCTTCAGCGACGGCGCAGCGACGTCAGACGGCGTCGTCTTCGGGACGCCGGACAAGCGCATCCCACTACCACCCTTGCGGTCCATCTTGCGCGCCAAATCGTCTTTCGCGCACGACGACGCCTTCTCAGACGAGCTGGAGATCATCGACGAACCTCGGACGCCAACCTCCGAACGCCCCGCACCTCTCTACGCGTCTGTTCGCTTCCCCGAACCGCACGCCCCACCCAATATTCCTTCGCCGTTGAGATCCGGCGCCGACCCTCCAGCACCTCCCGAGATCGTTCTCGCTCGACCCGACACGAACACGCCGCGTTCGTCGATGGCGACCGACCGTTCTGCCCCAGCCGGGCTCGGGCTTCCGAACGGCGATGCAGAGCCAAAGCAGCCTCATCGGCCTTGGTGGAAGAAGCGCTCGGCCGACGCCGTCTTGCGCAAGGAGCGCATGCTTGTCCGGCGCGATTGGACGCACAGAGAGGACTTGCCCGATACATATGACGAGCACGTCGCGAGGAAGTACCCGTCGGTGAGCGAGACGTGGCAGGAGCTGGCGGTCGTCTGGCGTGCGAGCGGGCAGATCGAGTTGTGGGGCGAGCCGGTGCGTGCAGACGCCCTCCAACCAGAATCCAACGCAGCTGACATCTCACTGCAGTCCTTCAAGTTGCCGATGGTCTCCGGCAGCAAGAAGCTCCGAGGCGTCATTCCCCTGCACCCGAAGAAGACGCACGTTACGCTCTATTCCGCCACCGACCTCGTCTTCTGCCTCACCCATCGCCCGACCCCTCATCACGTCCTCTCGCGTCAGTCGGCGCGGTATCCCCACCACCACGACGACGAGGACGATGCGGACGAGAAGGGCGACGGCCAGCACCGCAAGACTCGCTTCACGAAAGCGACCAAGCGAGGCTACGTCCATCTCGGCTCGACCGGCACCAACATCTATCTCTTCCGCGCTCGCACGCACAGCACGGCCAAGGCGTGGATCTGGCATCTTTATCGCGCTCTCGGCGGCCAGCTCCCGTCTGCGATTGAGGTTACGGTGCCAGGTCTCGGAGCCAAGCTCCGCCTCCCGCTTCCCAAGGGCTGCGATTACGAGGAAGACGTCGATCTCGGCGAGCATGCGGACGACGACCTCGAAGGGAACGCCTACCGTCACTTGCAGCCGTCGGCTGTCGTTGACGCCTGCATCGAGCAGCTTGCTGGCGTGCGGGAATGGAAGGACCTTGTCGAGGACGCAAAGCGGATGGGTGCCGACTTCAGGCTCGCATGGCGGAACGGCGCCATCCTCGACTGGATTCAGCCCGAGATGGCGGAGCAGGGGAAGTGCGACTTCTCCGTCGTCGGAGGCGTCGCGTTTCGTCAAGTGCGTTGCGAGCGCTGCCGTCGTTCCCTTCGTTCGGCACCAACTGACCGTGTCTCGCGCAGGCCCGCTTTCAGTCCGTTCTTGAGCTTCGTCCTGCCGCTCACTACCCGACTACTTGCCGCATCCCCGCTCACGAGGGCGCCTCAGGCTCGCACATCTCGTCGACCGTCCGGATCTCCGAGCCTCCCGGCATCGAAGGCTTCCTCGTCAGGCACCGTCCGAATGGCACGCCCGAGCGCGTCTACCTTTCGTCCCGCATGGGCTTGCTCTTCGTCTGCCGCCCTTCCGCTGCACATCCGCCCGACCCGCCAATGCCCGTCTACGAAGCGCTCAACAACCCCGCTGCCGTCGTTCTCGCCCCCTTTGTCTTCGGCATGGCTTCGCTCGCTCAGCCGAACAAGAAAAAGCGCGAGAAGCTGTGGGACCGACTTGCGGCAGGCAACGTCCGAAGTCGGGCGCACAAGCAGCAGAACAAGCGGGATTGGACGCTGCGCAGCATGTACGCCGCTGCCGACGGCAAGGTTGGCGATGATGGCGACGACGGCGCAGCGAGCTGGGACGGGGACAAGATGATCGAGTGGCTCGAGACGGAGGAGAAGAAGCGTGCTTTCCTCCAGATCACCGACGCGCGCGGGTTCTGCAGCCTGAGCGAGCTCGCGTCGGTCGAGCCGGAACTCGAAGACGACCCTCGTCAGCAGTTCGCTCGAGTCGCCGATCTTGGCGGCAACGAGGGACTGCAGGCCGCCGACGACAAGGCCAAGCTGCGCAAGATGCGCTCGTTTGTCATCAAGACCCAGCAGGGGACGACGGCTCGGTTCGAGGTGCGTCCTGCCGCCAGTCACTTTGCGCCTCCCACTGACCGCCGTGCGTGCGCAGTGCCACTCGATCGAGGTCCGCGAAGAATGGGTCGCCCGGCTCCGCGCTCTTGCGACGTACTGGCGACGCCGCGAGCGAGTCGACGCGAACCAGCTCATGGAGCTGTCGGCCAATTCCGGCCTCATCAACCCGATCCCGGCTCGCGGAGCGCACCGTCGACACGCCTACGAAGACGACCCGGACGACGAAGGCCTCCCTCCGCCAACTCGCAACGAGGTACTCTCGAGCCCTCACCTCACCCACCTCTTCAACTGGTGTCTCCTCGACGGGTGCCGTACGCTCATGCAGCAGCGGACGATGTACGTCAAGCAAGGCTTGCGCGGCGTCTTCCGTCTCCGGCACGTCGTTCTCCTCCACGGCGTCCTGATCGAGTACCAGTCCATCGTGCGCGACATCAAGGGCCAGCCTCTCCCGACGCCCTACCACCGCCGCCGACACATCGTCCACCTGCGAGATTGCTACGTCTACAGCGGTGCGCTCGCAAGCCACCTTCTCCCGCGACTTGGCAACACGATGGGCTGGACGCCTGGCGACGAGACCGAACACCAGTTCCCGCGCTGCTACCCTTCCTCCGACGGCTTGCGCACAGCCGACGACCGCGAAGACTGCACCTTTGTCGTCGTGAAGATCAAGCACTCGAAGAGCGGCAAGGGCGACAAGCTGGGCATGAAGGGCGTCGATGCGCGAGTCTACCGGACCCGGTCAAAGGTGAGCTGCTTTGATCTTGCGGTGCTCCCGCGTTCTTGACTGACGCTTCGTGACGCTTCCCCGTTGCAGCTTGAGCGCGACCAGTTTGTCTACGCCCTCAACGCCAGCATCGAACGGCTCCTTCGCGGCGAACAGGAGCGCGAGAACCGCCTCCGCAACTTTGCCTGGCTCCAGCACCACTAGCAATGTAGATTCTCATGTCTCTCGTGCTTATACAGACACTTTCGACGACGCCTGCCACCTTTCCCAGCGCTGGACGCAAGAGGCGGATGCTTTTCGCCGTCTGCTCGCCTTCGCAGGGCTGGCTGCTCTGCTAAGGGCGCTTGCTAGCAATCACTGTACACTGTAGCTTGTCTTGCCAGTCTATCAGCGGCCTTGCAGGCGATTCGCAGGGTGAACGGGTCGGCCGACTCGTCCGCGCTGAGCTCTTGCTCTTCTCCCGCTCGCTGCTCCTCGTCACCACGCTCAGCTGAAGCTTGCAAGCCTCGAATCAGCTTCCAAAGCACATACAGAGCCACCCACGTCCGCGCCATAACGCCTCCCGGCCTTCCACCAACCCTCCTGTTCTCATCGCTCTTTCCCCGCTTCGCCTCGAAACGACTACAAACGATGGCCAGCCTGCCCGCACACCTCGCCAACGCGCCCTCCGACCTTCCTCCGAACGCCTGCCCGCTCCCGCGCACCGGCCAACTCGCTGGCTTGCTCACGAGCATCCGCGACAAGAACACCAACCGGGGCGACTTTATCTTCTACTCGGACAGGATCATTCGGCTGCTCGTCGAGGAGGGTGAGTTGCTTGGCATGCTGCCTGTTACGGCGTGTCAGAGTCGGGAACGGCGCGGCGACTCAGTTCACGGAGACTGACGCTTCGCTCGCATCGTTCACTCGCAGGCTTGAACCACCTTCCTGTTGTCGAGAAGAGTGAGTGGAGGACATCAGACGAGGCGTATGGCTCATAAGGCCCTTCGAGCTGATGCCTGCCGTTTCTGTGTCACCTCAGCCGTGACGACTCCGACAGGTCCGTCACTCGTCCCTTCCGCCTCTTCGTGTACTCTCCAGGCTGACACGAGTACTCACAGGTCTCGAATACAAGGGCGTCGGCTTTGAGGGCAAGATCTGCGGCGTATCGATCATGCGGGCGGGAGAGTCGATGGAAGCCGGTTTGCGGGAATGCTGCCGGTGCGTTGCTTCGTCAAACCACCTGAACATCTAATGGCTCCTTCTGGGGCTTGGCGACGTTCGTGAATTGAGCTGAAGTAGCTCACGACCTGACCTCCCTCGCAGCGCCGTCCGGATAGGCAAGATCCTGATCCAGCGAGACGAGGAGACGGCGCAGGCCAAGCTCTTCTACGCCAAGCTCCCCGACGACATCGCCAACCGGTACTGCCTGCTTCTCGACCCTATGCTAGGTGCGTTTCGACCATCCCTGCCTGCTCGCCTGGTGGAGCATGCTCGACCATGCACGACCGGGCGTGAAAGTAGTCACGGTAGACGCAACTGACGTGGACTTTTCCCGCAGCTACCGGCGGCTCAGCCATCAAAGCCATCGAAGTCCTGATCGACCACGGCGTCCCGCAAGAACGTATCATCTTCCTCAACCTCGTGTCGTGCCCCGAAGGCCTGCAAGCGATGTACGACGTCTACCCGCAGGTCAAGATCGTCACGGCTTGGGTGGACGAGAAGCTAAATGAGCAGAAGTACATCGTTCCCGGCTTGGGAGGTGAGTGGGCCCATCGGCAGCTTCCTCAGGACACCTCCAGTGCAGTGACTGACGATGCGGTGACCTTGTTGTTTCTCACAGACTTTGGCGACCGCTACTTCACCTCCAACTAAGTTTCTCCGCCTCTCCCTCCTTCCTCGACTCGCCCTCATACTCGCACATCCCAACCTCTCGTTCCCACTCTCCCTCCGTCTGTCATGTACTCGTCCTCGTACCGCTGCATCGTATACTCTTGCTCCATTCTCGCAGTCCGGGAGAATACATCTACTCGAGGAAGAAGCAGGTCGTCGCCAGCGCCAGCCAAGTTCTGCCTCTCTTCGCGCGTTCAGAAGCTTCTGCACTCCTCCGGCTTGCTTTCAGCTAGCTTCGCAGCCTCGAATTCTCTGTGTGGTGAGCGAGCCCTAAGTTGCGCAGGACGCAACGAGGCAACCTTCCCGTCGCCAAGCGTATACCCTCACACACGCGCATGATTTCCCCTCTCTTGTCCCCCCGCCGAGACCGCACAAAAAGGAAGAGAAGAGAAGAAAAGGGTAGTTGCGCAGGGGCGTTACGAAAAGAGGGGACTCAAGCGACGAAACACGACGATTCGGAGGTGAGGAGAGAAGGGAGGGTGAGGGATGAAGGGAGGGGGTATCCTTGGAACTAGGTTGAGTGTAGCGCGACGAAAGGAGAGGAGAGAGAAGAGAAGAGGAGAGGAGAGAGCGAGAGGAGAGTCTGTAGGGATAGGATAGGCGGAGCGAGTGAGAGGAGAGGGCGAGGGACAGCACGGCGGTTTTTGCGAGCGAGTCCGACGACGGGGACGAATAGAGGGCGGGAAAAAGGCGGGTACGGAATGAGGCACGGCTGTACAACTGCTTGACGGATACGACGAGCGGGACGGATAGGATGGGCGGGTCGGAAGGCGCGAGGAGGAGGCGGGGTATAGGCGCGGTTCGGACGAGTCGAGAGGCGGAGACGGAGGCGGGGTTGGGGAAGGCGCGTCTAGGACCAGATCTGCGAGGGAGGTTGGGTGAGCTCGCGGAAGAAGGGAAGGAGAGGAAAGCGGAAAGGAACGCACCTTGAGCATGCTGTCCCACGACCCGGTGCACAACGCCATCCCATCCGCGCTCACGCCCAAACAACTAACCCTGTTCTCGTGACCCGCCAACACGCCGACCCTCTCGCCCTTGAGCGTGTCCCAGACGTTACAGTTGAAGTCGTCGTAGCCGGCAAAGAGCAGCCGGCCCGAGACGGAGAACCCGACCGAGGTGATTCCGCACAGAACGTTGTCGTGCGTGTACTGGTTCAGCTCGCGGTCGGCTCGGAGGTCAAACAGTCGGCACGAGGCGTCGTCGGATCCGGTCGCGAACGCGTCGCCGTTCGGGAAGAAGCTGTGCGCAGTCGCCACCGCGTCAGTCTCCGCGCTTACGAAGAGGGAAGAGAGAGCGGGACGCACGAGACTGCGTTGATGTCCGACTCGTGGCCGGTGAAGGTCTGCACCGCCTTGCCCGTACGGATGTCCCACACCTTTGCGGTCGTGTCGCACGCGCCCGAGACAAAGACGTTCTGGTTCGGTCCGAGGGACAGGCTGCGTTCGAGCGAGCGTCAGCGAGAGGAGCTCGACAAGGAAGAGAGCGCTGGGCGCACCTCATCACGTCGGCGGTGTGGTCGTTGAACTCGATGATCCTGACGCCCGCATCGACATCCCACAGCATGCAGCTCATGTCACCGGAACTCGTGAGGATCTGCCTGTCGTTGAGGAAGCGGCAGCACGAGAGGTAACCGGTGTGGGCGCTCAACTCGCGGGCGACCTTGACGCTCGACCCGCCCTCCTTGGCGCGGAGGTTGTAGATGGAGCAGATGTTGTCGAGACCACCGCAGGCGACAAAGTTGCCCGAGGGCGAGTAGGCGCACGTCATGACCCACGAGCTGCGGAGCGGGATGGCGTGGACCTTGTTGGTCGTGTAGGCGTCCCAGACGATCAGTTTCCCGTCCTGCGAGGCCGAGACGAGATGCCGCTTGTCTTGGGCCCAGTGCATCGCGTAGATCTTGGCCAGGTGGCCCTTGAGCGTTCGTCGTGGACGCATCGCTATCCGAGGGAGGGGGTCGATCTCGGCCGCCATCGCGCGGACTGTCACAACCCATGCTCCGTCAGTACCAGCGCGAGGAGGAGAGGGCGATGGAGGGAAACGCACGGCTCGTGTCGGCGAGCTGCTCGCGCTTGGCCCGGATCTTCTCCTTGAGCATCTCTGCCTCCCTCCTCGCGGCCGCGATCTTTTCCTGAATGTCTGCCTGAGCCGACATCTCGTCCTTCTCTTTTGGTTCGAGTCGAGTGAGAGGGGAGAGGAGCGAAGGGCTGGATAGAGCGAGATCGGGAGGGGGTTTGAGCGACGAGGACGGAGCGCGAGGAGCGGGGTGAGAGTATGCCGAGTGGTGGAGTGTCAGCCCGGTGTGAGTCCCCGTTCGATGTGCACGACTGGACCGGACCTAGGTCGGTTTGGGAGCGTATCCCTCGCTGGTGAGAGGGCGACGAGATGGAGTTGTGTGGGGGGGAAGAAAGGGAGACGGGGGTCCAAGGCCGAGCCGAGGGAGAGAGAGGGAGGGGACGGCGACCACGCTGGGGTGAGGGTGGCTCGTCACAAGGCTGTGTGTTCGTGTTGTGCGCCGAGCAGTCCCCCGTCGAGTGCCGAGTTGTGCGGGTGCGATGGAGTCGAGGACAATGGCGCGGTGTGAGCGAGTGCGAGTGCGCGACTGGCGGGGCGGGGTCGAGTGAGGGCGAGTGTGTCTGTGTGAGCTTAGGAAGTGTAGCAGTCACACTCTCTCTCTGCAGCACTCGAGCACAGCGAACGACGATGGGCGACGAGGTGAGCCGGTCCAGCCTCGTCTCGCTCGAGAGCCTCGTCCACCTCGTCCACCGCACACCACGCTCAGAGTCAGCTGGTATGGCTTGGAGACCACTCTACTGCTCACACACGGGCTGCCCATCAAAGCACCACTCGTCCTGCCCTCCCTCGTCTCCTCGACACCCTGCCTCGACTGCTGCTTGTCGTCGTCCCCTCACGCTCACGCTCTGGAGGAACAGTCGATTCCTCCACATTGCCCACGTGCTACTCTCTACCTACCACAGCCTCACTCAACACCCTCGCCAATCCTCCCCTACCTATACCGAACACCTGCTCTCTCCCGCATTAACCCAGATCGGGCTCACTTCTCACTATCTCACGATCCGCTCGGCTCGTATGAAGATCTCTGTCCATGCTTCGGCAGAGACCGTTCTATATCGCGCGGGAATGAGGAGGAAGACGGGGATTTTTTTTGGCTTGCGATGGACGGCAGAGCGAAAGCTTGATGGGGATGGGCAGGCGCGGAGGAAGGCGTGATTTGGGTCGTTGCGCTGATCTCGACGACGCTGGCGACATTGTGACTGAGGGAAATTGCGCGCCCTGCGACGGGTGCAGCCTTGTCGTACTGCGCCGTCGCGGATGGAAAGGCTCCAATCTCTCCTCCTCGCTCTTCTGCTTCGATGTATCGGCCTGCATGATTACAGCGTCGCTCTCAGCCACTGCTAGCTCATACACAGTCGACCAGAGACGACGAGGGCGCAGACGCCCAGCACACGGACCTGAGGAGGAGCATGAGGCTCTCTGACGTCTCGCTTTACCTTTGCACGTCGTGCAGTCTTGTTCCCCGCCTTGCAGCGTGTATGTAGCTGTCTCTGACCTGCAACGAAGCCACTCTCTCCCTGCCCTCCCTCTACCCTTTGACATTCTGCTCCCGACCAGATTCGTCGAGCTGGGCCACCTCCGCAAGCTCACCTCACTCGCGTCTCAGCCACGCTCACTCGCTCGCCCTCTCGCTCTAGGGCTCGGTGCTGCTCCCCTAGCTCGCTAGACCAGGCTCTCCACCCACGTCCAGCCACCCACCTCGCTCGGCGCATCCTCCCACCCACCCCCTTCTCGCGCTTCATCAACCCCCGAACATCTCGACGAAACGGGACGATGCCGCGCGACAAGAGCAACCCGACGACCAAGAAACGTTCTTCGGAGCATGCTGCGCAGACGGGATTGAAGACGGGCAATGTGCGGGTCAAAGGTGCGTTCTCCCTCTCCTCTTCCCTCGCGATCAAGTCGAGTTGATGGTCGAGTGGACGAGCAGGCGAGAACTTTTACCGCGACGCCAAGTCGGCGAAACGAGTCAACCTCCTCTCTGGCAAATCAAGCAAAGCGATCCGCGACAAGGACGGCAAGATCCTCCAAGCCGCCGAATTCCAGTCGTCCGAAGTGACCCCCGGCCGAGTCCAGCCTGACCGGCGGTGGTTCGGGAACACCCGCGTGATTAGCCAGACGGCGCTGGATCACTTTAGGGAGAACTTGAAGGACAAGGTCAAGGATCCGTATGCGGTCGTGTTGAAGCAGAACAAGTTGCCTATGAGCTTGTTGACCGATGCCGTGCGCGGGGTGCGTTTCCACGATCCTTCTTCTCGTCGTGTGGGTGGAGCTGACGGTCTCGAGCGCAGGCCAACAAGCAAGACTTGACGACGACCGAGCCCTTCTCCGACACCTTTGGCACCAAAGCCCAACGTAAACGTCCCCGTCTCGACGTCGGTTCCATCAACGAACTCGCCTCGAAAGTCGCGACGCACCAAGCGAAAGTCGCGGCGGACGCCGTCCAGGCTGAGAAGGATCAGCGTCTCTCAGAGATTAGGGACGCGGATGGGTCGCTTGCGCCGGAGATTTTGGCGGCTCAGGAGGAGGAGAAGCAGCTCAGTAATGTGCCGCAGGATTACATTCTGAGCGCGGGAACGAGCAAGCGTATTTGGGGCGAGCTGTACAAGGTGCGTCTGCGGGGCAGCTCTTCCTCGAGTCGAGATGGAGGGGCTGACGTCTCGCGCGCGCAGGTCATCGACTCGTCGGACGTCCTCCTGCACGTCCTGGACGCGCGCGACCCGATGGGCACGCGGTGTGAGTCGGTCGAGGCGTACCTCGCGAAGGAGAAGCGTGGGAAGAAGGTCGTCTACGTGCTGAACAAGGTCGACCTCGTCCCTGGGTGGGTCGCCGCGCGGTGGGTCAAGGTTCTGAGCAAGACGCACCCGACCATCGCCTTCCACGCGTCGATTAACAACTCGTTCGGAAAGGGGTCGCTCATCCAGCTCCTCCGACAATTCTCGACGCTCTACTCGGACAAGAAGCAGATCTCGGTCGGGTTCATCGGGTACCCGAACGTCGGCAAGTCGTCCATCATCAACACGCTCAAGAAGAAGGCCGTGTGCAAGACGGCCCCGATCCCGGGCGAGACCAAAGTCTGGCAGTACATCACCCTCATGCGACGGATCTACCTCATCGACTGTCCCGGTATCGTCCCCCCCTCGGCGAGGGACACCGAGTCGCAAAAGGTCCTCAAGGGTATCGTCCGCGTCGAACATCTTTCCGACCCGGCGAGCCACATCCAGTTCTTGCTCGACCGCGTCAGGAAGGAGTACCTCGTGAGGACGTACGGCGTGCAGGAGTGGACGGGCGCAGAGGACTTTTTGACCCAGCTCGCGAGGAAGGGAGGAAAGTTGCTAAAGGGCGGCGAGGCGGATTACAGGACTGTCGCGACCATGGTCATCAACGTGCGTCTTGCGCTTCATCGTCCTTCCCTTCGGACTCTCCCTGACGAGCTCTCCATCCGCACGGCGCAGGACTGGATCCGCGGCAAGATCCCCTTCTACGTTCCCCCTCCCGAAGCTCCCGCGCCCTCGTCCTCCTCCAACTCGAAATCACTCAAGCCCTCGAAACTCTCCGGCTCCGGCCCGACGATGTTCAAGTCGCAACTCGACGACGAAGGGAACACGGTGCGCAAGGTGCCTGGCGTCCAACAGCCTTTGCATCAGATTGTGCATTCGACAAAGTTCTTGCCGGATGATGTTAGGCGGGTTGAGATGGATGATGAGGATGAGGAGCAGGAGGTTGAGGATGAGGAGGAGGAGGAGGAGGAGGAGGAGTGGGGAGGGATTCAGGAAGATGCGGACGAGGAGGAGGAGAGTGTCGAGGTCGAGGTTGGGGAGGCCGAGCCCCCGCTCGAGTGGGACGAGCTGTTTGCGCAGGTTGTGGGCGAGGAGGAGGAGGGTGCGGACGACGCCGACGTTACGCTCGACAACGGAGCAACTTCCGATGCCGAGGAGGAGGAGGAGGACGAGTCGCTCGAGATTGATGACGAGTCGCTCGATGGCGAGGAAGAGGAGCAAGGCAGCAGTGAGGAGGACGTCGAGATCGTCTTGAACCAGGAGGACGAACGGCCGCGAGCTGCTGCCGCGCAGGGCAAGCGACCAGCCGGCGCGAAGCGCAGTGAGTCCCGTCTGTTCTCTCATCCTGGAGACTGTAGCTGACAGGACGCGTTGGGTGCAGCTCGCGCGATCGACGTCGTCTCGTCGGACGAGGAGAGCGACGGAGGCCGTCCCGCGAAGGAGAAGCGGATGACGACCAACAAGAAGAAGGCGACCAACTACTATACCCACGCCAACGTCAAGAAGTGCGTCTGGCGACTCTTCTCCGTCGCTACTCGACCCTTGCTGACCCGTTCCGTCGTTGTGCGCTGCGTAGCAAATCGCGGCGAGGTGGACCAGTCAAGGACCAGGCTGCGCGCAAGGCTGCGATCGCGGGTGGGTCGTCGAGTGCGCCTGCGCCCAAGGGACACGCCGGTACGAGCAAGAAGCGTGCGGGCGGCAGCGGTGCGCGGCGGTGAGCGTGGATTGGGAGGAAGCGAGTTGCGTGGTCAAGGTCGGGGTTTCGCGGGGTCGGCTGCATCGCTGTTGGTGTGGCCCCCATGTGACTGTGAGAGTGTCCAGGGTGTCAGAGAGCGAGTGGTGGCATCGATGAGTGCGCCCGGAAGTCGGCGGTCGGCAACGAGCAGCGGGCCGGGTCGACTTGCTCCGTCTCTCTCGCTCTCTCTTGCTTTCTTGCTCTCGCGCGAGACACAGATGCACGCAGCCCGCAGAACTCGAGCACTCAACCTCGCACACCCAACCCGCACTCGCTCACCCGCCCCATCCACCTCGCACGCCCTCGTCGCCCGCCAAATGTCGTCGACCCGCTCGGTCAAGCACCAGCAGCCCCAGGAGGACACATCTGTTGGCCCAATGTGTCAGTACACTCTCACACTCGCTCTCAGCGCCCTCACCACCTCGCCGGGACGCGCGGTGAGCCAACGCGGGACCCCCCACTGATGACCCCGCTCCTGCTCGCAGACCGCTTCGAGCGCACGCTGCCCTCCCTGCCCGTCCCGACACTCGAAGAGACCGCAGACCGCTACCTCGCTTCCATCAGGCCCTACCACACCGCGCAGGAGCCAGCCGCGTCGTCCGAGCCGCTCGAGAGCTGGGCAAAGTCGGAGCAGGCCGTCAAGGACTTTGTCAAGAGCCCGCTCGTCAACGAGCTCCAGCAGCGCTTGCAGAAGCGCGCACAGGAGAAGGACAGCTGGTTGTCCGAGTGGTGGAACGAGACGGCCTACTTCGGATGGCGCGGACCCGTCGTCCCCGGGTGCGTTCACCTTCCCTTGTCCGAGGCTTTCCCTCCCTGTCTCCCGGCGAGCTGACGGGCGTCGACGAGTGCAGCGTCAACTACTACTACGCCCACAAGGATGACCGCTCCCGACGGACCGGTCCCGCACGAGCAGCAGGCCTCCTCCGCGCCCTCCTCTACTTCCGACGTCTCTGCATCACGTGCGTCGTGTCCTTTCTCGTTTCGCGTTTCCCTCACTGACTTCTGTAACCTCGACAGCCAACAACTCGAGCCGGAGATGGCGCGCAAGACCCCCCTCTGCATGTCCTCCTACAAATACCTCTTCAACGCGACTCGTCTCCCCACGTCTCCCTCCGACACGGCCAAGATCTACGATCCCGAGACACACAACCATATTGTCGTCGTCAGGAAGAACAAGTTTTACGAGGTCCCGGTCGTGGATGAGAAGGGCGAGTGGTTGAGCGAGAAGGAGTTGGAGGTGTGAGTTCGTACCGCCTCACTGGTGTGACGAGGCTTCGAGCTGACGATATTGATTGAGCGCAGTCTCTTCAAGCAAGTCGTCGATACCGCCGGCTCCGAAGCCGACCCTCACCCCGTCGGCGCCCTCACCGCCGCCGACCGCGACACCTGGGATCAAGCGCGTACGAACCTGATCCAGCACGACGCGACGAACGAGAAGCTCCTCGAGCGGATTGAGTCGGCTATCATCATCGTCTCGCTGGATTCGAACAGCCCTTATACGAGGGAGGAACATAGCTGGGGACTTTGGGTTGGGGATGGGAAGGACCGGTGGTTCGACAAGCACCAGCGTGCGTTGCGTTCTCTTTCCCTCTCACGAGGAACGGTGGCTGATGCGTGGTCTGCACAGTCGTCGTCTTCGAGAACGGCAAGTCGGGCTTCAACGGCGAGCACTCATGCATGGACGGCACGCCCACTTCCCGCCTGAACGACTGGCTCCTCCGCTCCCTCGACCACGGCAAGATCGACCTCGGCTCGTCCACCCCTCGCGCCGCTTCCGCGCTTCCCAAAATCACCCCTCTGGCATTCAACCTCCCCGACTCGGTCAAATCCGCCATCTCCTCCTCCATCGCGGCGCACGAGTCGACCATGGCGAAGCACGACCTGGCGGTTCTCGAATACGCAGGGTACGGGAAGGACCAGATCAAGCAGTACAAGACTTCGCCCGACTCGTACGCCCAGCTCGTCATGGGCCTCGCGTACTACAAGATGGAGGGCAAGGTTGCGCCTACGTACGAATCGGCTCAGACGAGGAAGTATAAGCTTGGAAGGACGGAGGTCATCCGCTCGACGAGTCCGGAGGCGCTCGAGTGGTACAAGGCCATGGAGGACCCGAAGCGCAGCGTGAGTCGCCCGCGGGCCTCCTTCGAGTCAGTCGAGAGGTTGCTGACAGGTATGAGTGCGCGCAGAGCACCGAGTGCGTCGAGTTGTTCCGCAAGGCCGCTGCCAAGCACATCAAGCTCGCTGGCGAGGCTGCCGACGGACGCGGCGTCGACCGCCACCTCTTCGGTGCGTTCGATCCCCACAGCTCCCATCACTGAATTCGATGCTGACTTGCGTGTCGCTTGGCAGGCCTCAAGAAGGTCCTCAGGGAAGACGAAGAGTTGCCAGCGCTCTACCAAGACCCGACCTTCGCTCAGTCGGGCAACTGGATCCTCTCGACCTCCCAGCTCTCGTCCGAATACTTCGCAGGCTGGGGCTACGGCGAAGTCGTCGATGAGGGGTACGGGCTCGCCTACGCCGTCAACAACCGGACGTTGCGCTTCACCATCACGTCGATGAACCGCGGCAAGCACAACAATGTCCATGCGTTCAGGCATTACCTTGAGCAGGCGTGCAACGAGGTGCGCGAGATGATGGAGAAGGGCGGAGCGGTGCCCAGCGCCGACAAGGCCAAGCTGTGATGGGCGGGTGTCGGAGGGTAGTTGTCCAACCGTATAAAGACACGAGTAGTCCTTCGCTTTTGTTCGTTCCTCGTCGTTTATCCTCACGCTACGTAGATTCGCGTTCGCTTCCTGCTAAATAGACTCTCGTCCACACGTTCGCGAACGTGGTTGTCTGAGAGAAACGATGCGAGTTGCGCAAAGAGTGACGCCGACTTAGTCGAAGGTGATCTTCTTGCCCGTACTCTGGACGATCCCCTCGCTCGCACGCTGGGCCATGGCCAGCGCCGCGCCCGGCTTGGGCCTCTTCGCACCTCCTCCGTCTTCCCGTCCGCCCTTCCTCGCATCGTCCCGCTGCGGTCGGGGTCCACGCTGCGCGCGCGGAGGTGGCCCACCGTAGCCCGACTCGCCGCCAGCCTGCCCCGCAAGCGCCTTGACATCCCTGTCGTCCCACTCCCTCTCGCGCCTCTTCTTCCCACCCGCACCTCGCTCTTCGTCCTCCGCTTCTCCTTCCTCGCCCTCCTCGCGCGGCCCTCTCCGCCTCGGGCCCGCATTGCCCCTCCCTCCTCCTCCGCCGCCGCCGCCGCTCTTCGTCCCGACCGCACCTCGCCGAACCGCTTCGGCCGAGGCGTACTCGACATTGAGTTTGCGACCGTTGAGTTGGTGGTTGTGGAGGTTGAGGAGGGCGCGGGTCGCTTGGGCGGGGAGGTGGAAATCGACGAAGGCCCAGCTGCGAGCCGTAAAGCGAGTTAGTGAGGCACTGAGAACGACGGCGAGTACAGGGAAGGAATGAAGCGCACCCCTTGCACTTGCCCGAGTCCTCGAACGTCCCGAGCCGGACTTTGCGGATCCCTGCGTCCTTGGCCTTGGCAAGGTCGAGCGGCGCACCCTTCTCGCGCTTCTTCTTCTGCTCGCGCTTCTTGTCGCTCTTCGGCCTGTCCTCGCCCTCTCCACCCTCGCTCGCCTCCTCCTCATCCTTCTTCTCCCCTTCCTCACCTTCGCCCTCCCTCTCCCCTCCCTCCTCCTCATCCTCCTCCACCCCTCCCTTAGCCCACTCCCTCCCCCTCCTCTGATTCCGATCAAACATATCCCTGATATCCTCAACAGTCGTCTCGAACCCCAAGTTTCCCAAGAACAAAGTCGGACCGGCGGGGTTCTTCTGACGCGAAAGGATCTTGCGTGCGGTGCGGTTCAGCTTCGCGGGGGCTTCGCCTGTCGTTGCTGCTGTTGGGGCAGAGGGGTGCGGACGCTCGAGAGCGGAAGAGTCGAGCGTAGAGAGGACTTCTTTGACTGTCCCTGCGCCAGCGCCGGGAGCGGCGGTGGAAGTGGATGCGGAGGGCGCGGGTCGGCCGGTGTAGTCTGTCGAGGACTTGATGAGGAGTTTCCGACCGTCGAGGTGTTGCTCGGAGAGGCCCACAGCGATGGTCACGTCCGTTGCGGAGGGGAAGTCGAGGTAGGCGAACCTGTGCGCAAGCAGAACGCGACATCTTATGTCAGCACCGTAACAGCGACGACTCGCCGTCACGACGACAAACAGTGTAGGAAAGGCCTCTGAACGCACCCACGGTTGTTCTCGTGCTGGCGCTTCCCGCCGGGCATGTTGATCCTCGTAACCTCCTCCAACCCGCGCTCCTTGAACCACTGCAACAGTTCCCTCGGGTGCGTCGCAAAGTTGAGATTGCCCACCCACACACCATGCGCCGAACGAGACGGCGTGTTGCCGACGAGGGTCGAGCCGATTGAAGTCGTCGCAGAAGCGGGTTGGGAGGCGGAAGTCGAGGTCGACGATTTGGCGGGTTTTGAGGGGGGAGGAAGCTCGTCGTCGCCTGCTGCGTCGGCTGTAAGTTTGCGCTTCTTCGCTTGCCGCCGCTCCTTGCGGGAGAGCGGTCGCTCGTCGTCGTCGTCGCCTGCAGCCTCGCCGTCCTCCGCTTCCTTTGCTTCGTGCGCCGCGCCATTCGCCTCGGAAGTAGCGTCCTGAGCGGCACTCGAAGCGGCAGGAGGAGCAGCGTCGTCGGCGTCGCTGGCCTTGCGCTTCTTCAACCCGTCCTTGGCCTTCCCCTTCCCCTTTGATTTCTTCACCGCGGGAGCCGCCTCGTTCGCGTGATCAGCAGCAGGAGGCGCGGTGTCGACTTTGAGCGCAGGGTCAGCAGCCATGGCGAGAGTGAGCTGTGCAAGTAGTGCGATGCTCACGGCGGGGGACAGGCCGTGCTCGTCGGTTGTAATGTCGCGAATAGAGTTTGTATTGGCTGAATACAAACGGGTTGCAGATTGTGTTCGGAGTGAATTCACGTCGAAATCGAATGCAAAGCGTCACTCGTTTGAATTGTCCGCAGTTCTCCAAGTCCGCCAACATCGAACGACTACTCTCTTCGAGCTGGTGCTGATCTGGAGGAACAGCTCGACTCGACTCGGACAACAGCCAGACTCGCTCACGTGAAGCAGCCGCAACCCGCGACTCGTCGCTCCCTCGCCCGCATAGACTCTCGTCGTCGGACAAACATGGCACCCGCTCATCGCCCGCCAGGACCGACGCAGCTGCAGACATCGACACAGGTCCTCACCGCGCACACCCTTGACGACCCGCACGGCATCGACAAGCGCAGGCGCCCGTCGCCGTCTGCTGGAAGTCCGGCAGCGGCACTCTCGAGCGCTCTCCGGCCACCTGCAGACTCGCTCCTGGCGCGAGGAGGCTCGCCGCATAACCTACAGGCCTTTACAAGCCAGGCGCCGTCCTCCCTCGGATTGACGAACCTCGTCGCCCTCGACCTCGACGTCCCAACACCCGGAATCGAAGTCGCCGACCTGTCCACACCCTCGAGCAACGGCACTCGCGGGTCGTCCGACGGTCTTGGGAGTCCGAGCAGCAGGAGCAGCGCGTCGGGCGCGAGCGGGAACAGGGCGAGGAGGCAGAGGCACGAGGTTGACAAGGGTTACTCGGGCGATACGATCCAGGACAAGGTCAGGGCCGACTTGCACCTCGGCGTGCCAGGAAAGAAGCAACTGGGACCGAGGGACTACCTCTCAGGTGCGCGAGACCGTCTGAATCGCGTTCGTAGTGTTCGCTCACCCTTTCCTTCCTGCAGGTCCGGTCGACGAGCTGGTCATTCCGCTCCCTCGGCCTTCGCCGCTTTCGCGCCCCAACTCTCCTCTTCCCTCACCGGCCGTCTCCATTGCCTCGGCCTCGACCCCCGGCGTGACGCTCCCGAACGGCTGCGCCGACGAAGAGCAGAACTTCCTCCTCCCGCACATCGCCTCTCCTTCCGGCGAGTATCCTGACGGCGACGAACGATGCGACGATAACGGCCTGCCGATCATCACCGACTCGACTCCCTCTCGCCCCCGTCCTCGCGCCTTCACACTCTCCCACTCCGCCTTCGGCTCATTCGGCACCTTCCCCTCTACCGCACGCGCAGGCCCTCTCGCTCCCCCGACTCTCAAAAGCCGCGTCAAGCTCTTCTTCCTCCAGCTCCTCTCCAACACCGCATCGACCGCCTTCCTCGTCTTCATCATTATCTGGGCCCTCGCGAGTCGTTTCCTCGCTGCGATCGTCCGCACGCTCAAGGGCCAACACGCGGATCGGACGCGGCGCGAGTGGGACACGGACGAGGCGCAGGCCGAGAGGAAGCAGGAGAAGGTCACGAAGGATATCCGGTATTATGCCCTGAGGTGCGGGTTCGATGTGGTTGAGCAGACGGTCGAGACGAAGGATGGGTATCTGCTCAAGATGTTCAAGGTCGTGTGTCTGAAGAAGAAGGAGAAGGTCCACTCGGATGGCAGGAAGGGGTTCCCTGTGTTGATCCAGCACGGGTTGTTCCAGTCGTGCGGCAGCTTGTGCGTGCGATGTTTCCATTTTGTGTCGTTAGTCCAGCTGACGAGCCGTCGCTCGCAGCATCACCTCGGAAGAACGCTCCCTCGCTTTCTGGCTCGCCGAACATGGGTGCGTCCAGCTCCGCCCCGCTCTCCCGCTCCTCATCTAACGTTTCGACCGCTCTCCGTCGCAGCGACTACCAAGTCTACCTTGGCAACGCGCGCGGAGTATTCGAGATGGGCCACTCGTGGTTGAAGCGCCGCGATCCGCGCTTCTGGGGTGCGTCGAGCGTTCCTTTCGTTTCCGCTCGCGCCTGTCGCGAGATGCTGATGAGGGTTTTTTGGGTGGTTGATGCACAGACTACAATATCAAGGAGCTCGCGCTGTACGACTTGCCGGCTATGGTCGACCACGTTAGACGGGACACGGGATACGACAAGGTGCGGCCTCGCTCCTCGAGCTTCGTTCCCGAGTCTTTTGCTCGAGCTCAAGCTAATTCTGCTGGAGCTGCGTCGCACAGATTGCCTTCATCGGCCACTCGCAAGGCAACGCGACCATGTTCTGCGCACTCGCGCAAGGCATGGTCCCCGAACTCGGCGAGAAACTCTCGCTCTTCATCGCACTCGCGCCTGCCGTCTACGCTGGGCCGCTCACAACCGGCTTCCCGTTCTCGGCTATTAAGAGCATGAAGTGGAAGACTTGGAGGAGGTGGTTTGGTGCGTCCCGACATTGCTCTCTCCGTTTCTCCTCCTCAGTCGGGAGCGACGCGCTGATGCTTGCACTTGACGGACCGCAGGCGTCCTCGACTTCATCCCGCTCATGCGCATCTCGTACAACTGGGTCCCGTCGCGCATCTTCGGCCTGCTCGGATACCAGATGTTCGCCTTCCTCTTCAACTGGACCGACGCCAATTGGGTGCGTAGCCTGTTCTCCCTCTTTGCGCCGCTTGAAGCTGTTGAGCGGGTGCTGACTGGTGTTTTCGGCGTTCGCACAGCTCCTCGACCGCAAAGCCAAAAAGTTCTGCTTCATGCCGTCGCCTGTCTCGTCCGCTTCCGTCTTCTGGTGGACTGGCTACAATGTGCGTCGCTCGTCTCGTCACCTCACGTCCCGCTGATTAGCTGACTAGTTTGTCGACGCCGGCAGGGTTTCTCGTGAGTCGAGGCTTCGGATCAGAGTCGTTGGACGCTCGCCTTCCGCGACGTAAAGAATTGACTGACAGAGGCACTCCCGTCTCGCAGGACTCGCGGTTGCATCCTCGACACGAACGCCGACAAGTGGTTCGACAAGCGCTTCCCGCCTCTCGCGATCCACCAGTCCGTCTCGCTTTCCGGCTTTCGAAGCCGCATCCGCTGATTCAACCTCCCCTGCAGCGGCGGAAAGGACTATCTCGTGCTCACCGAGCCGCTGCTCGAACGCCTCGAGAAGCAGGAGACGGACGTGCAGGTCATCCGGGTGCAAAAGATGGACGACGGCGAGCACTGCGACTTCTTCTGGTCCGTCTCGCTTCCTCCGCCCGCCAACAGACGTCTGACTGACGCTCGCATGCGCATAGGCACATTGACGCCGTCGAGCTGTGCTTCCACTCCTTCCTCGAAGACATCGAGCGCACTCGTCCGCGCTACCCCGAAGAACGCCGCCGTTCGCACTCGCCCCAGCCGCCCGCGCACTCGCCTCGCCCGTCAAGGAACGGAACCGCCGCGGACGTCAAGGAGTTGAAGGAGAACGCGCCGCTAGAGGATGGGGAGGTCGGCAGGCAGACGGAGATGGCGAGCGAGGGAGAGAGGAGGGACGTCAAGGTCAAGAGGACTGCCGAGGGATACTGAGATAACGGTGCTGGTTCACCTCGATACTATACCGCCTGTACATACTCGCCTGTTGCGCACATATAGATTCCCCTTCCTCAGATACAAGTTGTTTCGCTTCGCTTTGGTTCTTCTCCTCTCCATTTTGTCCACAGACATTCGTCGGTCAGTGCAATCAGTGCTTTCCTCAGTCACCCTTCGCGACACTCTCACACGACTGAGGAGACCGCTGCGCAGACGAGGGGAGAGAGCGCGAAAGTGTCTGTATCGCAGTGTCTGTCCGCCTTCCGCCTCTACGAGCACACCGCGTTCCGAATCGTTCCCAACGTCGAGCCATCGATGCCGAGGAGCCAGCCCTGCGTACGAAGTGACAGGAAAGGGAGGTCAGGAAGGTCAAGGTTGAAGCGACGGGAGACGAAGCACATTGAGCATCTGTTGGTGGTAGTCGAGGTTCTGCGGCGCGAGCGGGATGCTCAGCTTGAGCGGTCAGAGGGAGGGAAAGAGGGAGAAAGGACGGACGTTGACGCATTGGCAGCATTCGCTGCGGATCGCGTTCGCCTTGTTGTACGTCAAGCCGGCGTACCACTAGCTCATACCATGTCAGTGACGCAAGGTAGAGCAAGGGGAGGGTGGCGCACCCCGTTGTATGTCCCGAGCGCAAGCAGCAAGCTGCCGTTGTGTTCCTTCAAGACTTGAGCGAAGTAAGCGGCCGCGGTCTTGACGCTGCGACAAGGGCTTGTCAGCCTTGCACTCGATACTGACTCGAGCACGTCACAACTCACTTGTAGTCGGGATCTGCGCAGCCGCCGTCCGGGGCGTCGCCGCACTTGTCTGAACGGCAACGTTTGCAGATCAGTAATGCTTGAGTAATGCAACGAGGCGACTCGTACAAATTTTGCGCACCTTCAGTGATCTGCATGAGGCCGTACCTGCGCCAAATGGAGAGAAGCCATGGTCAGAAGGCAGAGCCTTGGAAATGGAAGAAGGAGCACGAGCGAGACTCACGCCCCGCCGTTGTCGCCCATGACCTTCGGATCACACGAGCCTACGAAAGTCTCGATCAGTACCTCGTCCTACTCGAGGTGAGGAAGAAACACGACTCGACTCACTCTCCTGCATCGCAAAGGCCGCCAACAGAATCGGTGGCAACCCATACTTGTCGCCGTACTCTTCAAAGAGCGAGACGTAGGGCTTGCAGGCTGAGTAGACTGAGTTTGGCATCGAAAGGGCGGTGGAGAGCGAGATGGTGCGGATGGAGGAGAGGGAGATGGTGGGCGGGGTCTGCAAGGAGCGCCAAGACTATCAATTACGAGCGTTCAGACAGCCATCCTTGGTGACCGCGATGGAGAGCGCGAGCTTACCCAGCCCGAGTCAGGCGATTCCTTCGAGATACCGCAGTTCAACCAATCCTCGCTCCCGTTCGGACCGCCTGAGGCTGACGACTCTTCCGTCGCTCCACTCGCACCGCACTTATCGTCGCTAACGCCGAAGAGACCGGACCCTTTTGCCGAGATTGTCGAGGCGACGGCGGAAGTGGATGAAGACGAGGCGGAGGTTGTGGTATGCGAGGCGGTACGCGACGTGCGGGAAAGGCGATGGCATCTTGCGGAGCGTCGAGCGAGCCGGTGAGATGTGTCGGGGAGAGGGGCAGGGACAACAGCGAGTGCCGAAGATCCTGCCGGCAGGACCTGCGGGCGAATGTCGAGGGGAGAGGATTTGAGGGCCGCTACTGCGCCAGCGCAGGCGACGAAGATGAGGATGTAGAGATGCATATTGGTTGCGGAGAAGAAGAAGGATGCGTGTCGTCCGGCGACAGAAGGATAAGCGCCTGGCCTAGCGAAAGACAATCGGGAGGAAGTTCGAGAAGAAGAGCGCAGAGTGAAGGTCTGCCAAAGGCCAGCGCTGGCCGATGGAACAAGGGCGAGGCCAAGCTTCCAGCGGAGGAACAAGGCGAGGACAGGAGGTCCGCCCGGGCGGCTCGAGCGTGGCGAACAAGGGCGGAGGAGGACGCTGGCTGTTGACGCGGTCGTACTCAGATGCGCAAGAGCTGCGCAAAGCATGGACGCACGAAGGCAGTGCGTGCGAGAGAAGACGAACGGACGCAAGTTGCGAGATGCGGTGAGATGCATGGCGGATCGGTACAAGGGTGTTTCTGCGAGGTGCGCTGTCAGCGATGCATCGCCCCGTGAACGAACGAACTCAAGGATGAGAGCGCTAGACTCACGATACAAGCTGCTCAGCTAGGAATTCCACCTCATACCTCCCGCTTCGGCTCGACAGGCAACTCTTGCGCTGGCGGTGGCAACAGATCCTGTCCGTCTGCCGTCTTGCCGGGTTGAAGAGATGTGTAGGGCAGTGGAGGAGCAGGCGCGGCGTGGTGGTCGTCCTCAGGTCGGAAGGAGCCTTGGGTGGACCTGTCGACGAGATCGTCAGCGTGAATCTATGTTCGCGCATGCATAGACCAAGTTGCAAACTCCAGGTGTCACATGCAGAGTCGGCGACGAGCGGAAAGACTCACTCTTTGTACGAGACGAGGAGAGGTTCTGCAGGACGACGGGGTCAGCTTCAGTGAGTTAAGCTCGTCCAGCGGTCCGAACTCACGAAAGACGTAGTAGCCTGTTCCGACGCCGAGACCGACCGCAATCAGGGGCGCCAAAAGTCGTGAGGACATGGTTCGAGTCGTGCGGGGCGAGAGAGCGATGAGGAAGGGAGAGTCGAGTGGGAGAGCGTCGGGAGAGGTTTCGCTTGTTCTTGGGCGGTGTGCAAGGCTCTTACAGGGTCAACTGGCACTCTGGCAAGTCGTTTGACCTCCTTCGAGCAAGTGGGACTGAGGAGACCTTCTCCTCATCATCTCTTCATCAGCCAACAACACACGACCTCGCAGACTCATCCGCTGGACTGCCAGACTCGATTCGCAGCTAGCTAGCAGTGCCGCACACCCCAAGCCGCGCTCACGAAGCGCCTCGTTGCGCGGCGACATGGACCTCCCCGCAACCTCTCTCTCGCTTCCTCGCGCCCTCCCGTTCCCCATCACCATCCAGCGCATACATGCACCCGTCGGCTCGACCGTACAGAAGACCAGGCGGCTCCTCACATACTCAGTTATCCCGGCGAAGCCCGACGAGCACGGCAACCGCGACAGACAGGTGCGCGAGTGGGAGAGTCCTGTAGAGGGCGAGGTTGTTAGCTGGGCAATCAAGGAAGGCGATGTGGTGCGAGATGCGAGGTACGTTCGCCTGAGCTCAGCCTTCGCCTTGAGGGACGTCGTGCTTCCCATGCCTCTCATCCCCCCCCCTTACACCGTCTCCGTACGCATGTTAACGCGCTCTTCCCGTCCTTCTCGCAGCCGGTCAGTCGTACAGGTCAAGGAGCCGTGCACGCATGATGTCCAGTTGAATGGCTTGTGCGCCTTGTGCGGGAAGGACCTCACGGCGTGCGTTCAGATTCCTCAACCCTTTCCGCTGGCAATGCTGACACGATCGCTTGCAGCGTCGACTACACCGGCTTTTCGGACACCTCGCGAGCTACGATCAGCATGGCGCACGACATTGGCGGTCTCACCGTCTCGCTCGAGGTGCGTCTTAGCTATTTCCCCTCTCAAACTCGCCTCTAATGATCATTTCGCGTCTGCAGGAAGCACACAGGCTCGAGAAGGCTACGACGGCACGCCTGCTAGACGCCAAGAAGCTCTCGCTCATCGTCGACCTGGACCAGACGATCGTCCATGCCACTGTTGATCCTACCGTGGGCGAGTGGCTACAAGACCCGAAGAACCCGAACTACAAGGCGCTCGAGGGGGTCAAGCGGTTCAAGTTGGCCGACGAGAGTCCGGCGACGAGGAACAAGCCGAAGAAGTACCGCAAGATTCGGATCAAGCAGGTTGATCCGTCCAAGGGCGAGGAAGCGGATGATGAGTCGTCCGAGGAGGAGGAAGACGAGGACGACGGCGGGTGCTGGTACTACATCAAGATGCGGTGCGTTCCGCTTCTCCTCCTCTCGCGAACCTTCCCTCACAACGCCTCTCGCCGCGCAGGCCCGGCTTGCCCGATTTCCTCAAGCGCGTCGCTGACATGTACGAGATGCACGTCTACACGATGGGAACGCGTGCGTACGCAAGCGAGGTGTGTAAGGTGATCGACCCGGACGGCGGACTCTTCGGAGGGCGGATCCTGAGTCGAGACGAGAGCGGCAGTGCGTCAGGTCATCGCAGCCTTTCTCGAGACGATTTCGCTGATTGACCATCTGCAGGCATGACTCGCAAGAGCTTGCAGCGGCTGTTTCCTTGCGACACCAATATGGTCGTCATCATCGACGACCGAGCAGACGTCTGGGACGGCAGCCCTCACCTCGTCAAAGTCATCCCATGTGCGTTAGGAGTGTGTGGGGGTCTGAAGGCTCGCGCTGACTTCGGTCACACGCGCAGACGAGTTCTTCGTCGGGATCGGCGACATCAACGCCGCCTTTCTGCCGAAGAAGAAGGAGCTGCATCCTCCGCCGAAGCCGCAGGACGCTCAAGCGGCACCCGAGTCCGAAGGTACAGCCGCGAGCCCCTCAGCGGATGCATCTCCAGCTTCTCCCGCCGCCTCGACCTCCGCCACTGCCGTTTCATCCGCCAGTGCCGAAGACTCTCCTCACTCTACCACTCCCACAACAACCCCTCCGCCTTCTTCGCCCGACGAGAACCCCCATCACGTGCCGGATGCTCTTCTCTCCGAACCTACGACCGTCTCCGACCTGCTCGTCTCCTCCTCTCCAGACGAGGAAGTCTCGCCTGCGATGGACGAGGCGAGCACGGTAGCGATGGAGGCTATTCACGAAGTTATCGAGGCGAGGCCGCTGGAAAAGAGGCAGAAGGAGCAGCATGAGGCGCATCTGCACCAGCACCACCATGCGGCTGGTGAAGGCGGGCACGAGGGGGCGAAGGGAGCGGAGGGAGACACGGCGGGAGAGAGCGTTGAGACGGAGGAGGACTACGAGGAGGAGGCGGTCTTGAAGGATGACGACCGCGAGCTGGATAGGGTCTTCGAGGTGCGACTGCGCTCACTTCTTTCGCTTCCCGACGACTTTGCTGACATCTTAGTCACCCACAGATCCTTTCGAACGTGCGGGAACGGTTCTACGAGCAGCATGATGCGAAGGGCGCAGCGGACGTCGCCGTGCGTGCTGCTTCTGCCTTCCGTCTCCTCCGGGTACTGATGCTGGCTTCGCCGTTTGTTCAGGACATCATCCCCGCCATGAAGGCACAGACCCTCCGCAACACCCACCTCGTCTTCTCCGGCCTCGTCGCGCTCGGCTCTCGTCCGGAAGACTCGGAGTACTGGAAGCTTGCGCACACTTTCGGCGCCCGCTGTTCCGCCGAACTCTCCACCTCCACCACACACCTCGTCGCGAATGGTTGGGGAACCGCCAAAGTCCATTCGGCGCAGCGGAATCCTCGGATCAAGATCGTCTACCCCGAATGGCTGCTCGAGTCCGTCGCCCGTTGGACACGAGTGCCGGAAGACGCATACGTGCTGAACATCCCCGCGACCTCGAGCACGCCTGGATCGCCTATACGGCCCGAGCTGAGCGGCGGCGAGGACGACGAGGACGTCGACGCAATCCGATTAGACGCCGAGGCGGACGGCGCTGAGACGCCGGTCACGATACCCGACGGCGAGCTGGACCTGGCAGACCTCGACTGGGGCGACGCGATGAAGGAGGTGGACGACTTGCTGCTCGAGACGGACGACGAGGACACGGCGTCTGTGGTCAATGGAGGCGACACGACCGATGGCGAAAGCGACGCCGGCTCATCAGCGCCGACTGCGCCGCGACCACCTCGTAAGCGAGCGAGGATGACGATTACACCTAGCGATGCGACTTCAGCCGCGCCAGATACGGAATCCCCTCTGCAGAAGCGCGTCAAGACGGCGCGGTCTCGCAAGAGTGGGTTGAAGCGGTCGGTCAGTGCAGCGGCTCTTGAGCGCTCGGCAGAAAAGGCGGCGGAGGACGGATCGAGCGAGTCGCAGTCGAACGGGTCGGTCAAGAGCGCGAGCGGGCGGACGAGTGCGGCGGAAGGGAACGGCGATGCGGTGAGCGTAGCGGCGAGCGTTGCGAGCTCGAGCATCGACCCGGATGACGAGGATTTGCTGGCAAGTATGGCGGCAGACCTCGAGCAAGGGTGGACGTAGGACTTAGAGAGGGTCTCTCGTAATGCCATTGCAGCATGCCCTTGCAAATGAGAGAGGTCGCAATAGACAATGCGTGTGTTGCTTGCAGTCCTGCTACAAGCCAAATACCGTTCCTGCTCTCGCCTTGCCAAAGCTCCATCGACCTGCCATCACTCTCGCCGCACATCCTCGCGGATACCGCACGTTCCCGCCCCATGCGTTCTCCATCTCCGGCAGGAAGTCCTGGAAGTAGCGGAAGCGGGTTTCGTCGCGCTGCGCGACAAGGTTGAAGTGGTCGTCCGCATCTTCGCCTGCTTCCTCGGCGCCCTTCACGTCTGCCGCACTACCGTCCGCCTTTCCTGCACGCTGTACGAGCCTTGCCGCGGGCCACTCTTCCTCCTTGCGATCCGTCTTCGGAGGGTGGATGACCCATACGTCCCGCAATATGCGGAACTCGTAGCCGAGCGCATTGAGCAGCAGCGTGTGCGACTGCTTATCGCCGCCCTGATCGGTGAACCGCTCGTCGTAGAGAGGGTGAGAAGCGCGGTGAAGGAGATAGTAAGGCTCCCACTGCGGCTCGTAGCAGACTTCATACGACCAGGCTGGGTCGATGGCGGATAGACTGGAGGATTGCGCCGGCGAGCTGAAGAGGCGAGAGGGCGAGGTCGGTCCGTGTCCGGCGTTCGCGTCGGTCAGGCTCGCGAATTGCGGCACAGACGTGTAGAGCGATTCGAGCTCTTCGATCGTGGTCGGGAAAGTGCCAGCGAACGAGGACGCGAGAACAAAAGTCGGGATGACAATGGCTGTTCTCCGCAGAGTCGGCGAGCGCGACTTGCGCACAGATGGGCGGTTGATGAGCGGGATGGCGCGGGAGGAGAGGATCGAGTGCATATTTGGCGAGGGGACGAAGTCGACGTCGACAACCAGGGTGTACGGCGAAGGGGCGAGCGAGAGGGCGAGGTTGCGTAGTCGGTTGATAGGGTAACGCAGCCGTGAGAGCAGCGCATCTTCGGTGATCGAGTAGTCGGGCTTGACGATGGTGAGCGCGACTCGCTGCCATCTGGGCGACAAGGTTGGCGAAGATAGGTGCGAATCGAGTGTCTGGATGTCTTCCTCGTCTACCAGGTAGACCGCTGCTGACATGGGACCGTCCCAGGTTTGCAGCATCCGCTCAAAGCGGGAGAGGCGAGAGACGGAGAACTGGGTGACCAGGGTGACGTCTGCTGGGCCGATTGGCAAGTCCGAGGGAAACATCAGGATCGCAGGTTGTGAGGGGTCTGCGCAAAAATGGTCAGCGAGTCGAGTAAGCGTAAGCGAGGGAAGGACGCACCTGAATCTCGAAGCGCCCGCAAGCCTACCGCGACGTCTAACTCCAGCCTGATCCCCCGAGCCTCCCTGCATGACGGTCCGAGGCATTTTCCGTCGTCTCCCACCTCCAGCAAACCCGTTTTGCCCGCTTCATCCTGCGTCCGTAACACTCCACCGCCTGGCAGCTCCACCCGCACGACCTCGCTTGCCTCCCAAACGTCCTCGTAAGGCTCGATGACCGAGTCGTTCTCCAACAGCGTCCGCGCAAAGACGTCTTGAACGGCGCCATTGGCGAAGTGAAGCCGAGCAGAGGGGTGTCGAGGCTGAGTGGGGACGAACAGGACCGATTTGGCGCTCGTTCGTGGTTTGCGGAGGTCTGAAGACTGCGAGTGTGTGGTAGAATGCGCCGCATGCGCTGCATGGAACCGCCAGACGAGCAGGAGAAGGGCGAGGGCGAGGATTCCCCGGGCGCGACGAGGGAGACGGGCGACAGTCGCCGCAAAGCGCCGGTGCAGCGGGACACGACGGAGCCGTGCGTTGCGGTCTCTCAGCGTCGCCCTGTTCGCCAGGCTCGTCGGCGACATGTTGAGCAGGCGAGAGCAAGGTGAAAGGGAGGAGGGGCGGTGCTGGCCTCTCGAGGACGGCGAGGAAACGGCCAGGGCGAAGTAGCTGGGCTTTCGAAACGCTCAGACAAGCTAGGTGAGACGGAACAAGGACCAGCGCGGAAGCGGAGCGAGAAACGAAGGCAGTCGAGAGGCAAGACGCAGGGGAAGGAACGGGATTGCAAGGTCTATGCTGCAATTCCTGCGGTTTGCAGGTTTTCGGGCCTAGTTGTCGCGGTCGTACTCAGTGAGGACAGCGCGGCGGATGATCTCCTTGGGCGGGCGGCGACCAGTCCACCTGTAAAAGGGATCGAGGTCAGCCTCGGGAAGTTGCGAAAGAGGCAGGAGGGTACGTACATGGCGGACTGCCAGAAGCCTTGCTCGAGGAGCATCTGGATGCCGGGGACACCAGTCCAGCCGGGCGTGCGGTCGGCGAGGTCGATGAGAGGCGTGATCTTAGGCTTGTACGCGACATCGATCAAGACGCCGCCGTGTTCCCGCGCGAGGACTGAATCGGGGACGGGAACGCCTGCGTCGGGATTGGGCGCGTACTTGGTCGCAGTGCCCTGAGCAGGGATGGTCGAGATGACTGCGAGAGGGTGCTCGCCGGGGAACGAGTCGAGCGAGGTGAGCGGGACGATGTTGTACTCCTTGGGGAACGACTCGACGATCTTGTCGGCGTTCGGGCGAGTTCGGTTGAAGAGGTAGATCGTCTTGAAACCCGCCTTGTGCAGAGCGTAGACCGCCGCGCGGCATGTTCCGCCGGCACCGAGGACGAGCGACGTCGAATCGTCCGTGCGCTCGTTGTCTGATGAGAGGTTCTTCTCGATGAGCTCGAGCAAGCCGAGCCAGTCGGTGTTGTCACCGATCAAACGCCGCGCGCCGTGCTCCTCGACCGGAATGATCGTGTTGACGGCGCCGATCAAGCGCGCGTGCTCTGAGACCTCGTCGAGGAGTGGCATGATGTCGAGCTTGAGTGGGACTGTGGGGTGGGAACAGTCAGCCGAGAACAGTCGCGGGAGAGGGCAAATCGACACGCACTCGTGACCGATGCTCCGCCGAATTCGGGCGCGCGAATCGCCCGCTTGATGTCGTCATTGATTTGCTCCGACTCGATCAGCCCGTAGTGGTGCGGGAGGCCGAGGACCTTGAAGGCGGTGTTGTGGATGAGCGGGCTCTTCGAGTGCTGGATGGGCGAGCCGAAGAGGTAGAAGTTGCGCGCCGGGAGGTGGCCGATGAGGTGCAAGCCGGTTTGAATCTGAGCAAAGGAGAGCTGGCCAGGTGCCGAGGCGGTGATGGCAGGGTGCGAGACGGGTCCGAAGACGGGGTTGAGAATGCGAGAAAGGCGTCCCTCATCACCGATGTTCATCGTCATGAGGGGCTTGCCGTCCTTGAACATCTCGCGGAAGCGGAGCATCGTCAGGTTGTCGAGGAGCGAGTTGGCCTTGGCGACGATCTTGATAATGTCGCCGACCTCGTTCGCCGCCTTGTAGCGCTGCGCCGCTTCCTCGCTCTCCCAGTGCAAGTTGCCCGACCAGTCGTGCCACGATGCGATGATCTTGGTCGACTGCTTGATGCCGACAAACTCGCGCATGCGCTTCTCCGGCCAGCGCACCTCGAGGTCGACGTACTCGCAGCCCGACTTGACGCCAAGCTCCATGAGCTTGAAGATCTCGTCCTGCGCCTCGTCGGGGCACATGCCACCCTGCGAGACCGTCCGGACGGTGAAGATGATCGGGAGAGTCGAGCGCTGACGGAGAGCGGCAAGCTGGACGGCGACATAGTCGTAGTCCGGGACCTGCGGCTTCGTGGGCGTCTTGCCGTCGGCCGAAAGGAGGTCAACGCGTAGCTCGAGGGCATCGACGCCGGCAATGAGCTCGTCGAACTGCTCGAGAGCGGGATGAGGAGCGGTGTACGAGGGCAGGGTGAGGCACAGGAAGTAGGTCGGTCGGGCGCCGGCGAGAGTAACGTGATTCGTGTTCTGGCCGGTCATGAAGCGGAAGAAGCGTGCGACCTCGTCCTCCGCGCCCTTGGTCGAGGTGTGCGAGACGACGAAGCCGTTCGCGGTGGGCTTGATGCCCTGCTTGTGCGCCTTCGGCTTGCCCGATATGAGGTTGGTGAACTCGAAATTGCTGAGCTCGTGGAACCAGGGCCGACGTCGTGCGTAGATAACGTGCAGATCCTCGCCAAGAGACGGGCGGGACGGCTCCGAGTTCAGGTAGCCAACGATGTCGTCGATGTCGCGGATGATGTGGACAATCGGTCCGCCGCCGTGACCGTACGCACGAAGGAGGCTGCGATTCTCCTCCGTCTCGACGACGCCTCCGCCGAGCGAGATGACGTGACCCTTCGAGTACTCGCGGATAATCTTCTTCAGGATATGGGTCTCGGCGACGCGGAACTCGCTCCAATCGCCGCCGCGCGAGTTGACGAAGTCCTTCGCCGACTGGCCGTACTCGGTGATGAACATCTCGTCGGCGTCGAGGACGGGCCAGCCGAGCGCTGCAGCGCCGATGCGGCTGATGTGCGTCTTGCCGGCGCCGCGCATGCCGAGGACGAAGATGCTGGCGTCGGTCGAGTGGCGCGGGATGGCAGCCGAGGTCGAAGCGACAGGTGAGTCGTCGAGCTCGACGCCGACAACCTCGATGCCGATCTTGCGAGAAAGGTCGTCCCACCACGACGGCCAGGTCTTCTCGACGCAGCGCTTCTCCTCGAGGACTGCACCGTGTGCGCCAGGGCAGGCAGCGAGAACCGAGAAGGCCATGGCGACACGGTGGTCGTCGAAGCAGTGAACGGAGGCGCCGGCGCGAAGCTGTTGAGGCTTGATGCCGAAGACCTCGATGCCGTCCTCGAGCTCGTTCGTCTGCACGCCAAACTTGGCGAGCTGGGTCCGCATAGCGTCGATGCGGTTGCACTCCTTGACGCGCTGGTTGGCAATGCCGCCGATGCGAGTCGAGTTGAGCGGCTGGTCGGCGTCTTGCAGGCGTCCTTCGAGGGGAGGAAGCGAAGCGACGGCAGCGAGTGCCGAGGCTGTAAGGAAAGCGTCCGTCATCGGCTCCATGTCGACGAAGCCGAGCGCGCGAAGCTGGCCAACGGGCGGGCCGGTAACGGTCGTCTCGGTCTCTGTCTGAACAACCTTGCAGCCCATCGGCTCGAGGACGTCCTTGGCGAAGCGGGCATCGCCCTGGAGTGATGCCGAGCCGATGTTGTGGATCGTGCAGGTCGTGCCGGTGATGGCAGCCATGGCGAGGGGGTAGGTCGCCGAGGAAGCGTCCGACTCGATGTTGTACGTCGGCGGGTTGACGTAGGTGCCGCGGGGGATGCGGTACGTGTCGAGGAGTTTGCCGTCCTCGCCTTTGAGACGCTCGACACGGATGCCGAACGAAGCCATCATGGCAATCGTCATGTCGATGTACGGCTGCGAGATGACCACGCCGCCGGTGAGCTCGAGGACGACTTCCTCGCGGGCGTACGGCGCGCAGAGGAGGATCGACGAGACGTATTGCGACGAGACGGATGCCGCGAGCTGGATCTTCGCGCCACGGAAACCCGCCTTGGTCGCGGCAATCTTGAGCGGGAGCGCGCCCTGGCTCTCGACGTACTCGACGCCGGTGCCGTTCGCAGTAAGCGCATCGACGAGCGGACCGATCGGTCGCTGCTTCATGCGGGCATTGCCGGTGATGACGGTGTGCTGGAGGTCGCCTTCGGGCTGGACGAGGGCGCAGACGGTCGTGAGGAAGCGAGCTGCGGTACCGGCGTTGCCGAGGTAGAGCTCCTTTGAATCTTTTGGAGGCGAGAGCTTGCCGCCGTTGCCCTTGACGACGAGAAGCTCGCCGTTGTCCTCCCAAGCGAACTCGGCGCCCTTCATCTCGTTCAGTGCGGCCATCATGACCTGCGTGTCGTCCGAGTGGAGCAAATTGCCAAGCTTGCAGGTGCCGTTGCCCAGAGCAGCGAGCACGAGTGCGCGGTTCGAGATCGACTTGGAACCGGGCGTCGCGAGCTCGAAGGTCTGCTTCGTAGGCGGGCCGGGGTAGACGCGGACGGCGGGCGCGAGGACACGAGCGATGACCTCGTCTTTGACTCCGGTCGCACGCTCTTCGAGCGTCTTGCCGATTCTCGAGAGAATGACGACCTTCTTGACGTTGCCCGAGTTCTTCTTGTCGACGCGCATAATGTCGAGGAGGGTCTCGACATTGAGGCGAGCCGCCTTGGCCGACTTGCGGATGAGCGGGTCGTCCATGCTGGTCGGGAGTCCGTGAGCCTTGAGGCAGCGCGAGAGACGGCCCACAGCGGCGTTGCCGAGTGCGCCCATACTCCTTGCAACTTCAGCCTCGAGGACCATGCCGACGGCGACGCACTCGCCGTGCAAGACGTCGGGCGTCACGACCGCCTCAATGGCGTGGCCGATGGTGTGGCCAAAGTTGACGAGGTTGCGCAGGCCGGTCTCCTTCTCGTCGACGGTGACGATGTGGGCCTTGGTCGCGATAGAGGCGCGGATGACGGAGAGGAGGAGCGACTGGGCTGCCGAGCGGGTCTCGAGGGTGCGGCCGGCAAAGGTATCGCGGGTGGACGAGCCAGAGACAGCGGCGTGGATGTCGGCAACACCAGACTCGAGCTTGGCGAACTCGGTTTCGTCCCAGATCGCAGCAGTCTTGATGACCTCGGCCATACCGTTGACGAACTCGCGGCGGGGAAGCGACTCGAGGAAGCTGGCGTCGATGAAGATGTAGGAAGGCTGGTGGAAGGCGCCGATCAGGTTCTTGCCGAGGGGAGTGTCGATGGCGGTCTGCAGGGTGAAGAGTCAGATGAGCTCTCGCACGCCGCTCAGAGGGAACGCACCTTTCCGCCGACAGACGAATCAACCATGGCGAGAAGCGTGGTCGGGATCTGGCAGTAGCGGACGCCGCGCATGAAGGTCGCGGCGACAAAGCCAATCAAGTCGCCGACGACGCCTCCTCCCAGCGCAAGGACGACCGTGTCGCGCGTGCATCGGTGCGAGAGAAGAAAGTCCTCGAGCTCCGCCTTGGTCTCGCGGCTCTTGCTCTGCTCGCCGGGTGCGATGACGTGGGTGATGAAGCGCGGGCGGGTCTCAATCTGGAGCTTGTCGATGGCCTCCTCGAAAGCGGACGAGAAAGACGAAAGGTAGAGGGGAGCGAGGTGGGTATCGGTGAAGAGGACGTAGGTCGACGATTGAAGAGTAGAGAGGACGGTCTCGACGATGTAGGGGATGAGGTGGAAGCCGCAGTGGATGGACTCGCTGCGAAGGGAACGAATAGCGTGAGTTGCGGAGCTATCGGAAGGGTCGAGGGCACGAGAGGACGAACGAGCCGAGGATGGACACCTTGTCGACGGCGGTCTCTGTTCGCGCCTGTGGGACAGTACAAAGTCAATGTCGGTCCATTCAAGCCAGCTTTGTCCGCCCGGACCGCGTCGTCGCCGTGCAAGAGCGTTGGAAAGGAAAATGGCCGGGGGGAGATGGGCATTGATGAACGGCGAAGACGCGGTTGGGAGGGCTGGCGGCTGGGCAGACAGTACAGGAAGCGTCCACTCACCATTCTCCGTGAGAGCCTGAGCTCCTCTGAGCAAGCGGAACCTGCGGAGCGTGTGGTCGAGGTCGAAGAGCGGTTTGACTCGTACGCTTCACGTCCTCTCGCTAGTTTGCGCTGCTCGGAGTGCTGGACTGGGTTGTTTAATTGCTGTGACTCGGTGTACGGCGCAGAACATGGCCAGGAAGGTGCGTTGCATCGGTCCACTCTCCTCTCACTCGCCAGGACTGACCTCATTCCTCCGTCCCTCCGCAGAAGCCTGTGTCGGGCAAGGCTCGCAAGGAACAGCTGCAGCACAAGCGAGCTATCAAGCGGGCGAACCCGGCGGACCCTTCCTCCTCGTCCTCCTTCTCCTCGACAAGCACCGCCTCACTCCTCGCGACGTCCACCTCGAAGCCACGACTCGGGCAGCGTTACCGCACGCCTGAGCAGCGAGCGCGCGACGAGCAGCATGCCGGGCGGATGAAGCTTGAGTCGCGGTTCATTCGCCTGCCAAAACACCTCGCCGAAAGGACAGAATATCAGGCTGCGATGGAGAAGCTGGAGCGGCCTATCAAGACGGGTCTTGCTGTCCTGACGGAGGAGGAGCTGCTGCCGATGACGAAGGGCAAGGAGAAGGCGGTCGTGCTGCCCGGCGAGGAGGAGGAAGTCAACGATGTCGAGCTGTCGTGCCCGAAACGACCACGTTGGCGGTACACGCAGACTAAGGCGGAGGTGCGTGCTTGCTGTGCCTCCGTACCAGTCGAAACGCTGAGCAGCCCTCTTCCGTCTGCCGTCGACCTCGCTCGCAGGTCGAGAAGAACGAAGGTCAGTTCGAACAACTCCATCACGCGCACAGCCCGATACTGATACTCGCACCGTTGAGCAGAGGGCATGTTCCGCAAATGGCTCGCCGAGATCGACTCGGTGCTCTCGCGACCCGCCTATCTTGATTCGGACGATGCAGACGACGATTCGCCCTCGCCAACCTTCTTCGAACGCAACCTCAACGTCTGGAGACAGCTGTGGCGGACGGTCGAGACGAGCGATATCTTGTTGGTTCTGATCGGTGCGACGACTTTTCAGAGGTTGCGGCCTTCTCAGCTGATTCCGCTGCGTCGTGCTCTCGCAGACGTTCGCTTCCCTCTCCTCCACTACCCTCCATCGCTCCGCCACTACCTCCGCACCCTCAAGCCTCACCCGAAACCTGTCATCCTCGTCTTGACGAAGACGGACCTCGTCCCTCGCTGGGTGAGCGAAGCTTGGAGGCGCTACTTCGAGGAGGACGCAGGCGCACAAGGTGAGGGAGACGGACATGCCGAGGGAGGTGCGAAGATTGAAGTCGTGCTGATGGAGAGCTACAAGGAGGAAGAGCGGGGCGAGGACACGCAAGGTGAGCGAGGTCCACCTTTCCTGTCTCAGCTTGCTGCTTTCGAGGATGTCCTGTCGTCTGAAGTCGGAACTCATCTCGTCATCGTAGGTACACACGCCCGCCTCCTCCCCGCCGCACCACCTCCCGCTCGACACGCTCTCCTCTCTGCCCTCCGCCGCGCGCACGAATCCCTTCTTACGCCTCCTCCGATCGTCGCTGAGAACCCCGAGCGACTCGCACGATGGAAGCCGAAAGTCCGAAAAGAGGTAGACTGGGAAGGTGTCGAGGAGGAGGGCGGCGAGACGGGCGTACGAGCCGGGAAGAAGGATGGCAAGGAGGTCGAGGCGAGCGAGAAGGGTCGGAAGTCGAGGCGGAAAGGTAAAGGCAAGGAGGAGCTCGCGCCACCGCGACAGGACCAGGCGGAAGAGCGCGGTGCGGATGGGGCAGGCGATGAGGGAGAGGGCGAGGAGGACTATCCGTTCGTGACTGTCGGGCTCATCGGTACGTCGACACTCTGTTCTCTGCTGTCGCACCCTCGCACCGCTCACGAAGCCCACTACCGCTCTCGCAGGCCAGCCAAATGTCGGCAAATCTTCGCTCCTCAACGCTCTCCTCGGTCGCAAAGTTGTCCGCGCCTCTCGTACGCCCGGCAAGACGAAGACGCTCCAAACGATCTACTGGAACTATTCGCTCCGCCTCTGCGACTGTCCCGGCCTCGTCTGCCCGTCCGCGGCCGGCTTCGAGCGACAGGTCCTCGGCGGCGTCCTGCCTATACAGAACGTCGAGGCGGTCTTGCACTTTGTCGGACAGCGCATTCCGCTCGAAAAGGTTCTCAAGCTCAAGCATGCGGTTGAAATGTGGCAGGGAGAGGACGAGGAGGACGAGGAGGACGAAGACGAGTTCAGCCTTGACTCGCCGGAGGAACGGGCGGCGAAGCGCGAAGCGACACGGCCACGATGGACGACCGATGAGCTCCTCGCTGCGTACGCGTTGCAGCAGGGCTTTGTGACGGCCAAGGTTGGTCGCCCGGACATCTATCGAGCAGGCGCCTTCATCCTCCGCCTCCTGCATTCGTCGGCGATCCCCTGGACCTTCTTGCCGCCATCTCTCGACGCGTACGAGCAGCAAGTTCAGCGGGACGAGATGGAGGGCATCTGGTTGCGGGACTTTGTGCCGAAGGCGGGGCAGGGAAGGTCAGGGGCCGAGCACGAGGCGGAGAGCGGGTCGGACGCTGAGCAGGCGTCCGAAGACGAAGACGACGACGATGAGGTGGAGTCGGAGTCGGATGATCAGGACTCGGCGGACGAAAAGGCGGTTCAGGCGGTTCGAGGAGCTTTCGCCGCGCTTGCGATCGAGGAGGGCGAGGACGATGAGGAGAGCGAGCCGGACGGGAGTGAGCGTGAGTCGGACTAGTTTACTTTGCGATGACTTGTGCGAGTCAGTGGCGGTGATTGCTTTGCACGAGCCGACCCAGGTTCAGCGAGTCGCAGTTTCGTCCGGCTCGCCCAAGACGAGTCCTTCGCTCCCTCTTCTCTCTCTTTCCCTCTTTCCCCTTCTGTCTTCACCTCTTCTCGCGCTGCTCGTCAAAAGACCGCAGGACCCACTCAACCGCTCGATCTCAGCGCTCAGCCAGTCCACTCTCCCCTTGAGCCTCCTCCCGGCTCCTCCATTCCGGCCGTTTCCTCTCACCCTCACCATGCCTCTCCTCACCCACAACGGGCGCAGCGTCTTCGTCAATGCCACATGCTACGCCGAAGTCGTCGCAGCTGCAGGACGTGTCTTCTTCGCCTCCTCTGGCATCCCTCCCCCTCGCGTGCGGTTGAGGCTGGGCTGGCCGCTTGGCTCGTGCACTCAGGAGCTGGCCACGAGCGTCGAGCTCGAGGAGGGCGCTTGGCCGGAGGGGCTTCTCCCGCAGAACACGCAACTGTGGGTCATCGTCGGGCAGGCTGCGCCGCTCCAGATCGAAGGACCTGCCGGCGCAACTCTGCACGCAGCTCAAGCTGCTGGAGCGCCTAACGGGCATGACGCGGCAGGCGCGCTGCCTGATCCAGCGGCCATCGACAACGGCAGCGCTGGCGCTCCTGCTGCCGCCGCTTCGCCCACTCCGACGCTCATCAATCTCAATGAGACGGATGACGACCTCTTCAACGAGACTTCAACGGCTATCAAGGACGCCAAGGGCAAGGTCCTGTTCCGAGTCCCGCACGTCGAAGATGGCTCCATCACCTTCGGCGACATCTTTAAGACCGCAGAGTCCTTCCTCAATGTACCATGCTCTTTGTTGCTCCTGCGCATGGACGGTACCATCTGGGAGTACGAAGACTCGAAAGCGGAGGAGTGGTTCGCCGAGACCGACGCGGCGTTCTTCACGCCGAACGACTCTTGCGTCGTCAGTCTGCAGTACTGTGTCGACCCCAACAAGTATGCACAACGCTACGGCAACTACCGTGACTTCAAGACCGTGATCCTGGACGCCGGCGCAACCATCCTCGATCTTCGTCGCAAGCTAACGGCACAGGACAGCGACGTATACAACGGGGTCGACCTTGACGACGTTATGGTCCTTCCCGCAACGTCCGCCAGTCAATCTGCGGATTCTAACGACCCGATCAAAGACGACACCATGCTCGCCTCCTGCCGCAAAGCCGGTCGGCCGCTCATTAATCTCAGGGCGAGCACTCGTAATGCTGAAGTGCTGCGTAAGGAGGAGGATACACGGGCGGCCAAGAAGCGCAAAATTGCAGCAACGCTCGCAGGATTGATCGTTCGCGACGACGCCGCCCGGGAGGATGACGAATGATTGAGGAGGATGCAAGCTTGGAGATCTCTCATTCCGTGTAGTTCCGTCTGTGCAATACGTCACTGTCGTTGCCGTTCTCGACGCAAGGAAGACGCCTCCCCGTCGACCTTCGCAAAGCGGGAGAGACGCGGTTCCCTCCGCGTCAGACGGCGCTGCGAGACGTCCTACAGTGTGAAATGATGATTTTAATTTAAGAGGCGCTACGGAGAGCCGTGCTTCGCAGTCAGGACACCGCGACGACGAACACTTGTTTGTCTGCCTCCGTCTTTCCCCTTCCCCGCTTCCTTCTTCGACGCAAAGCGCGTTCTAGCTCCCGCCCTTCCTTTCCGTGCTGACTGCACCGCTGCATTGCCTGTTCTCGCGACGCCCTCCTGCGGTGCACCGTCCAGCTCCCCTCCCGCGACTCGTCCAGACCGCGACACCATGCCCATCCTCACCTACCAAGACCGCAGCGTCTTTGTCGACCCTGTCTCCTACGCCGAAGCCCTCCAGGCGGCGAAGAACCTGTTCTCTCTTCCTCCCGCGTCCGCGCCCGCCAGCCGCGTCAGGTTCAGGATTGGCTGGCCGCCGGGCGCACCCGTCCAGGATCCCGCCAGGAGTGTCGAACTAGCAGAGGGTGTCTGGCCAGTCGGCTTGCTACCGCTTAACACGCAGGTCTGGGTCGAGCTGGACGAGGAACATTCGCATGCTCCCGTTGCCCTGCCTGCATCAGTTGCGTCCGAGCCTGTCACCGAGCCCTTCGTCCCCTCGTCTCAGCCGCAAGGCAGTCCTCAAGCTCAGGAGCTACAGACTGTCGCTGGCGAAATTGAGCCTAAGGCGCTCCCGACGCAGCTCTCGCACATCCCGACGCTCTTCCCCTCTCCCTTCCTCACCGTCCTTGACGAAGCGGACAACTCTCTTCTGGAAAAGGTCTCCTCCCGTATTGAGGACGCCCATGGCAACCTTCTTTTCCGCGTTCCGCTTGCCGACGAAGGGAGCGAGTTCGCTTTCACTGTGGCTGAAGTTCTCTTGAATGCGGCGCGCGTCCTTCGCGAGAGACAGACGGACCTTGCGATACAAAGTATGGGCGAGTTCCTCACGATGGAGAACGGCGAGGAGCATTGGGACCGTTCAAAGGGCAACGTTGGCCGTGTTCTCAGGACCAGCGATGTCGTCCTGGTCGAAGTCGTCTGCGGTCAGACCACAGATGGCGAGCAGTCGGACGGGTGCGTCGAGAAACACGGGCGCTACAAACTCGACTTTCCACCGACGGCCAACATTTTCGACCTCCGCCAGCGCTTGACGGCCAAGAGCGGGGCCTTCCCCTCCGGCAGGTCCTTTGAGATTGCCTGCCTTCAGGACTCCTCAGAGGAGACCGTTGCGCCAGCGGAAGTGCTGCACGACCTCGTCCGTCTGCACAGTCTGCGCCAGGACGATGGGGACTCTCCTTGGATACGGCTCCAGGCGAAGGAGTTCAGCCCCGCCGACGACGGCGGGACGGACTCGACAAAGAGGGAAGAGGAGGTCAGGCTAATTCTCAGTCGCATGCTTCTCGAAGCAGTGGACGACGAGGAGAAGGTCGCGGCGGAAGCGTACGTGCCGAGCTACCAGCCGCCTCGCTGGTAATCCTGCGTAGACGTTTCTCAGAAGGTCTGCTCCATAATTGTTTGTCATTCGAATCGGCGCAGTTTCTTCGCCCGCTCGCTCGCTCGAGCTGACCTTCTCAACGTGAGGAGGAGAGGGTGGCTGTCCTCGCTTAGACAGGGAAGCGCCTGTCTGGACGACGTTACTGGACTGTCGAAGCGGTGCTCGCGAGCTCACCAGCCAGTCCAACGAAAGCTGACCAAGTCCATGCAATCCCCACCTTTGCCTCGTCGCGCCTTTCCCTCTCACCACCACGGCTCGCTCCTCTTCAAGGCTTGCTGGTTACTCGAGAGCCTTACAGACCATGTCGAACGGCGCAGACTCGACGCCCACCACGCCCAAGGCGACGGTTCGTCCCCCGCACCCCCTCAGTCGTGTCCCCACTGATCCGCCTCGCTCTCATCGCAACAGCACGAGGCGAACCCGTTCGAGAAGCTGGCCAACCCGAGGCGTGTCAGGGCTCACAAGGTGCGCGCGCGCGAGCTCTGCGGTGCTGGCTGTCCTGGAAGAGGTCCATGTGGGGAGCGAATCGACGCGTACTGATCCCCATCCTCGCGTCCACAGCGCTCTGCGACCGGTACGTGGAGCACAGTGGGCTCTGTGGATGCGCACGCACTGACAACACCCGGCTCGCACTCGCAGGCTTCATCCCTGAGGGCCCGAAGAAGCTCAGCGAGGTGCGCCGTCCTTCGCGCCCGTTCTGACCTCGGCATCGCTCCCATCGTTCATCTGTTCACGCGCTGACACTTCCGCACGACAGATCTTTCCGGGAGACGCAAAGGCGTGGAAGTCTGCCATCGCCAAGAACGCCGAATCGCTCAAGACCGACGTCGACTCGATCAACGCCCAGATTGTCCACCATGTCGAGACGACCCTCGCCCGTGCCGCTTTCAACGTCGACGAGATGGCCATGTACCAGGCTGCTGCGCTTTCGGTTCGCGACCGCCTCATCCACAAGTACGTCGGCGGCTTTCCGCCTCATCCCGGTTGAACTAAAGCGGTTTCCCCTCCTGCAGCTGGGACGTGACGCAGACGTTCCATACCCAGGCCCGCACGAAGCGTGTTTATTACTTCTCGCTCGGTTCGTTGCTGGACGCCTTCACTCGACGAAGCCAGGCTCACCCATCCTCTCCCGGCAGAATACCTCCTCGGCAGGGGCTACGACAACGCCTTGCTCAATCTTGGCGTCCGCCAGCCGTACAACGAGGGCCTCAAGGGGCTGGGATTCAACATGGAGGACGTAATTGACGTTGAGCGCGACATGGGTCTCGGAAACGGCGGTCTCGGTCGTCTGGCAGCTTGCTACCTCGACTCGACCTCGACGCTCGACATCCCTTGCTGGGGCTATACTCTCCGCTACTCGCAAGGCAGTGCGTTCTGAGGTCACCCAACGACGAGGAGTGCCCGCCTAACTTTCGAACTTCGCAGTCTTCAAGCAGATCATCGACTCGAGCGGCAACCAGGTCGAGGTCCCGGACCCTTGGCTCGAGAACCAGAACCCGTGGGAGATCCCGCGTCTCGACAACGCCGTCGAGATCAAGTTCCACGGCGAGGCTACGCCTGGAGAGGGCGGCAAGGGGCCGGGAACCTGGACCGGCGGACTCGACGTTCTCGCCGTGCCGTACGACATCCCAGTTCCCGGCTACAAGACACAGACGACGAACAATATCCGCGCTTGGAGTGCTCGCGGCAAGGTCTCGTTCGACCTCGCCAAGTTCAACGCCGGCGACTACGATGCTGCCGTCCGCGAGGCTGAGGAAGCCGAGACGATCACGCGTGTCCTCTACCCCAATGAGAACTTCGACAAAGGCAAGGCGCTGCGCCTCAAGCAGCAGTACTTCTGGGTCGCCGCCTCGCTCCACGACATCTGCCGCAGGTTCCGCAAGCTCCGCGTTCCGTGGAGCGAGTTCCCCGACTACAACGCGATCCAGCTCAATGACACGCACCCGACGCTCGCCATTCCCGAGCTCATGCGCATACTCGTCGACGAGGAGGGCCAGCCGTGGGACGAGGCGTGGGAGATCGTTCGCCGCACCTTCTCGTACACCAACCACACGGTCCTCAGCGAGGCGCTCGAGAAGTGGTCGGTCCCGCTCGTCGAGTGGCTTCTCCCCCGTCACCTGCAGATCATCTACGAGATCAACCTCGACATGCTCAAGGACGTCGAGAAGAAGTGGCCGAACGACCGCGCCCGCCTCGCGCGCATGAGTCTCATCGAGGAGGGCTACCCAAAGATGGTCCGCATGGCGAACCTCGCCGTCGTCGGATCGCACCGCGTCAATGGCGTCGCCGCACTACACTCGCACCTCGTCCAGCAGGACCTCTTCCCCGACTTTGTCGAGTACCTCGGCCGCGACCACTTCGGCAACGTCACGAACGGCGTCACCGCACGCCGCTGGCTCTTGCAGTGCAACCCGAGCCTCGCCAAGCTCATCACCGACACGCTCGGCAGCGACGAGTGGGTTGTCAACCTCGACAAGCTCGAGGGCTTGACCAAGTACGCCAAGGACAAGGCCTTCCAGAAGAAGTGGGCGGCGTGCAAGCAGGTGCGTGAGAGTCTACGGCTGTGCTCGATTTGTTCGCTGACGTTCGTCCCGCTCGCAGGCGAACCGCGAGCGCCTCTGCGACTACATCGAGGCGACCCTCGGCCTCACGGTCAACAGGCACGCGCTCATTGACGTCCAGGTCAAGCGCATCCACGAGTACAGTACGTTACGCGCAACCATGACTCGGTAGCCCGTCCTTGCTGCTGAGATCGACCCCCAGAGCGTCAGTTCATGAACATCCTCGGCGTCATCTTCCGCTACCTTCAGCTCAAGAAGGCGAGTATGCGCTTCCTCTTAATGCGCACGCGCGTCAAGCTAATCTCTGAACGACGCGCAACAGATGTCGCCGGCCGACCGCAAGCGCCTTGTCCCTCGCCTCTCCGTCTTCGCAGGCAAAGCCGCGCCCGGCTACTACATTGCAAAGCTCATCATTCGCCTCTGCAACGCGGTCTCGAAGACGATCAACGCCGACAAGGACATTCGCGAGTCGCTCTCGGTCGCCTTCCTTCCGGACTACTCGGTGCGTCCTAGCTTCCCCGTCTCGCCGCGCGAAATTGATCCTCACAGCTTGCTCAACTCCATGCGCAGGTCTCGCTCGCCGAAATCATCATCCCGGCGTCGGACATCTCGGAGCACATCTCGACCGCCGGAACCGAGGCGAGTGGCACGTCCAACATGAAGTTCGCACTCAACGGCGGTCTCTTGCTCGGCACGCTCGACGGCGCCAACATCGAGATCGCCGAGGCTGTCGGTGACGAGAACGGTAAGTCGGTTCGAGGGTTCCTCCCGCTGCACTCTTTCTCACGCTTCGCCGCCGCCTAGTCTTCTTCTTCGGGCACGTCACGCCGGACGTTCCCAAACTCCGTCGCGCACACCACTTCGGCGAGGTGCAGTACCCGGCCGAGCTGCTCGAAGTCGTCGACGCGATCCGGTCTGGCATGTTCGGCGAGGCAGGCGTGTTCGAGCCGCTCCTCGGCACGCTCTTCGAGGGCAAGGACCACTACCTCGTCAGCGACGACTTCTTGTCGTACCTCCAGGCGCAGAAGATGGTCGACGAGGCTTACGTCGACCAACCGTCATGGGTCGAGAAGACAAGTGCGTGCCCGCTTCTTGCGTTGCGTCTGTACAACATACCCTGACACGCTTCGTTCTCACAGTCAACAGCACCGCTCGCATGGGACGCTTCGCCAGCGACCGTGCCGTCTTGCAGTACGCCGAAGGTGCGTTGCTGGCTGTGCTCTCCTCTCCTTCCTGTCCTTGCATGGACTCGTCCTTCCGAGCCATTCACTGACGCTCTGCCTTGTCTGCGTCACAGAGATCTGGAACATCGAGCCTATCAAGATCCCCCAAGACGCCTAGACAAACGACTTCGCCTCCCCTTTCCCGGATTCCCTGCCTCGATTCGCCTCCAAACACTCTCTGCCTTGCTTCGTTCAGGTCTCGTCGTTGTTCAGCAGTTCTTGATGTGCAAAATCAGCCGTTTCTCGCCGTGGCAGTGGCCTTGTCGTCGCGATGCTGACTGACAACGAGGAGGATGCGGTGGCAAACTCGCGCTTTGGCTGGTCCATTTGGCTGCTTTGTACATTTCTAGCCCGTGCGAGCGTCGTGCGAGTGCCAGCAAAGCCCACGAGAGCCATTGTGCGAGCCGAGGCGCGGTCGACCCCCGCCGGACTCGCTCGTCGCCTCTCTCCCTCCTTCCCATCACTCGCTCACCCTCGCACACCGAGAACACGTACGTGCGCCACTCTAGCACACTCGCACGAGCCACAGACACTGACTGCGCTGCTTCCCACGCCCTCGCACGTTGTGTCCGACTCACTCGACACCCCCGCATCACCCCATCCTCCCGCCCTCTCGCTTCCACCCTTTGCCACCCTCGCGCGCCTCGCCCGCACCCGCACACTCTTCCTTCGCCCTATCAGAACCGATCAACGTGAGTCGCGCAGTCCCAGCTGGTGGTGGCGTCGTCGAGAGGCTCGTTCCCCCCCGCGCCCTTCCCCCGCCTTCCGTCACGCGCGGAGAGGCGGTGCGTGCGATACGGGCAAGTTTGAGGAGGACTGGGGCTGGCAAGGATGCTGGGATGGGTGGGCATGCGTTGCGTGCTGTTTACGCTGCTCGGTCTCGACTTCGGGTGACGGGGAGGAGGCGGGTCGTGATCGAACAAAGGAGTCTGGCGTCGGTCTCGCTCGTCTTGTAAAGCACGCCCGACACCCTCAGAGCACGGCTGACGACTCTCTGCGCGCTCCCAGCACCATGCAGATCTTCGTCAAGACCCTCACCGGCAAGACCATCACCCTCGAGGTCGAGTCGTCGGACACCATCGACAACGTCCGTTCCGCCTCGCTTCTCCCATTCGTATAGCTTTGTACTGATGTGTGTGTGCGGTACAGGTTAAGGCCAAGATCCAGGACAAGGAGGGCATCCCTCCCGACCAGCAGCGTCTCATCTTCGCGGGGAAGCAGCTCGAGGACGGTCGTACTCTTTCGGATTACAACATCCAGAAAGAGTCGACCCTCCACCTCGTGCTGCGTCTCCGCGGAGGTATGCAGATCTTCGTCAAGACGTTGACGGGCAAGACGGTGCGTCCTCGTCGACCTTCTCTCCCAGTCAACTGGCCACTGACTTCCGCTTCTCCCCTCGCGCGCTTCTCTTCTCGCACAGATCACCCTCGAGGTCGAGTCGTCCGACACGATCGACAACGTCAAGGCCAAGATTCAGGACAAGGAGGGCATTCCGCCTGACCAGCAGCGCTTGATCTTCGCCGGCAAGCAGCTTGAGGACGGGCGCACGCTCAGCGACTATAACATTCAGAAGGAGTCGACGCTGCACCTGGTGCTTCGTCTCCGCGGTGGCAGCGCGTAGGAATAGCCTGAATTCGTGGCAAATGACGTCGATTTTCCGCTTCCCTTCTCCTCGCCTTTGCTTCTCTCTCCTTGCTTCGCTTCTCGCTTCCTCTCCTGTGCCTTGATCCGCCGTCCTCTGCGCTGCTTGGACGAGCTGTTCCTCGCGCCGCAGTCGAAGACTTGTGCGCCGCATCGCCGCATGCCTCTTCCTCCGTGCATCCCAGCTGCTTGCTTCCTCCTACTTGCGCCCGACAGCGCACCGGATCTCCCTTCGTTCGCGAGGTCCCTGTGAGAAATTGCTTCGAAGTAACAGCCAGTCTAAGAGCGGTGCAGGCGACAGGAAAGAGGTGCAAAGAATCAACGCGAGGTGCGCTTCGGGTCGCGGGGGAAGAGCGACGTCGACGGGAAAGACGGTGCGTCCTCGGCGATCTCGTCCTCGACTTCCACTGATCTTTCCGCGTCTGCCTCTCGCAGACCGACCTCGAGGTCGATGTGAGGCAGACTCGGCGCACTTTGAGTATAGGGGCCGGAAGAGCAGCTACAGAGCGCTCGGGTACGTCTAGCATTCTATCGCGACTGGTGCAGCGAGTGACCGCGCAAGGCGAGTTTCCTGAGAGGAGCACGGAGCGGCGAAGGATCGGGAGAGAAGGTCAGAAAGGGAAACGTAGAGGCAGTCGTCGGAGCGGAGAGTCGGGGACGCGGGGACGGCTGGGAAGCGTCGACTTTAGAGAGAGAACAACAGCGATGACGGGAACGGGCGCGAGCGGGCGAGGCGAGAGCACGAGACGAGTCAAGGTTGCGGTAAAGTGATCTGAAGAGAGGAGAGAGGAGAGGGAAAGCAAAGGCGTTCTTAAGCTGTGGAGGGACAAAGGAAACGTGGAGAACAGAGCATCGGAGGCATTAGAAAAGGGAAAGGAGCTGTGAGCGTGAAGAAGCGAGACGAGGGAGAACGGGAAGGTCGCGGAGCGGCGACGATGGGCTGCACGCTCACAGTCGAGTCGTCGGACACCATCGACAACGTCAAGGCCAAGATCCAGGACAAGGAGGGCATTCCGCCTGACCAGCAGCGCTTGATCTTCGCCGGCAAGCAGCTTGAGGACGGGCGCACGCTCAGCGACTATAACATTCAGAAGGAGTCGACGCTGCACCTGGTGCTTCGTCTCCGCGGTGGCAGCGCGTAGGAATAGCCTGAATTCGTGGCAAATGACGTCGATTTTCCGCTTCCCTTCTCCTCGCCTTTGCTTCTCTCTCCTTGCTTCGCTTCTCGCTTCCTCTCCTGTGCCTTGATCCGCCGTCCTCTGCGCTGCTTGGACGAGCTGTTCCTCGCGCCGCAGTCGAAGACTTGTGCGCCGCATCGCCGCATGCCTCTCCGTCCTTGCGTTCCAGCTGCTTACTTCCTCCTACTTGCACCCGACAGCGCACCGGGACTCCCTTCGTTCGCGAGGTCTCTGTCAGAAGTTGCTTCGAAGTTACAGCCAGTCTAAAGGCGGTGCAGGCGACAAGAAAAGAGGCGCGAAGACGAAAACGAGGGAAGACGATCAAGGCGAGGTGCGCTTCGGGTCGCGAGGGAAGAGCGAGGCGCGGCGGATGTTGTTGATTTGGAGGAAGAGCATCTGTATGGCGAAAAGAGGTCAGCGGGGCGCGGACGGAGAAGAGGCAGAATGAGACGCACGACAACACGCTCGAGACCGATACCACCTCCCTGTGAACCGCGACGTCGAGAGTCAGCGCACTGGCCAAGTACGAACGGACAGGAAACGTCAACGCACCGCGTGAGGCGGGCACCCGAGCCTGAACGCATCGACGTAAGGCTTCATGTCGTCCGGGTTGATGCCGACCGACTTGATGCGCTCTTCGAGCAGCGCGGCGTCGTGGACACGCTGCGCACCGGAGAGGATCTCTTCGCCCCTCATGAAGAAGTCGTACGAGTTGGAGAGTTTCTGCGAGGCGGAAAAGCGGGTCAGCAACGGCGGAGGGCGAACAGCGCGAGCGGACCCACGGGGTTGGACGGGTCGGGCATGGTGTAGAAGGGACGAATCTCGAGCGGGAACTTGTCAATGATGTAGTAGTCGGTTCCGTACTTCTCCTTGATGATCTTGCCGAGCGCCTTCTCGCTCGCCGTGTTCATGTCGTCGTAGTCGCCGATGGGCTGAGGCGGTGTGCCCTGCTGGACGCCAGCGTCCTGCAAGAGCTTGATCGCCTCGGTGTGCTTGAGGACGAGCGTGTCGGGCAGCCAGGTGAACTCGTCGTGCGGGAACTGCTTGCGGACGACTCCGATCTCATCGGCGTAGCGCTGCTGGAGACCAGCAAAGACGTGCTTGAGCATCCCGTCGATCGTCTCCATCGCCTCGTGGTAGTGCTCCTCGAACGCCATCTCGAGATCGAGTCCCATGAACTCGGTCAAGTGACGGTGCGTGTTCGAGTCCTCGGCGCGGAAGACGGGTCCGATCTCGTAGACCTTCTCCATGTCGGCGGCGATGCACATCTGCTTGTGCAGTTGCGGCGACTGCGCGAGGAAGGCGATAGCTGCGCGGGGGAAGACTCGCTTCATCAGCTCGCGGCGTCTGAACCGAAGCAAACGAACGCGACCCACTCTTGAAGTACGAAACGCGGAAGACAGACGCGCCAGACTCGGTCGCGGCGCCTTGGAGCTTGGGCGTGTGGATCTCGGTGAAGCCCTGTGTGTTGAGGTACTCGCGGAAGAGGTTGCCGACGCCCGACTGGATGCGGAAGATGGCTTGGTTCGTGATAGTCTGCGTGCGAGCGCTGGTCTCAGTAAGTGCGAGACGAAGACCGGAACGAGCAGACGCACGCGGAGGTCGAGAACTCGGTTGTCGAGGCGAGTGTCGAGCGCGACCTGGACACCTTCCTCGGCGTCCATCGGGCGAAGAGCGTCGTTGATGGTGAAGGGAAGCATAGCAGGCGCCTCAGAGACGACAAAGATCTGCGCGGAAGTCACAAAGTCAGCTGGACATTGCCTCGCAGGCAACGCGCGGGCGCACCTTGCGAATCTTCAATTCGACATCGTGAATCGTGCAAGACTTGATGGGCTCCTTCGCCTTCTGTACGACACCCTCAACGAGCACGATCGACTCGTCGTGGATGCCCTCGACCCAGCGAACCATCTTCTTCGAGACGTGTTCGGGCTCGACGACGACGAGGCCTTGGAGCGTGTGGGCTTGCTGGCGGAGGACGACGAAGACCATCTTGGCGCCTAGAGGAGATTCAGGTCAGGGCGGGTCGGACGTGCGGGAGAAAGAAAGAATGGAACGCACCCTGCGCACGCGAGGTCTGCAGACGAGCGCGAACGAGAACCGTCTGCCCCTCGCTCGCAGCCGAGATGTTCTCAAACTTCTCGCGCTTCGCACCTGTGGCATTGGCCTTGTCAGCGGCCGGGCGAACGCAGACAGGACGACTGGACGCACCCGTTCGCTCGGACGAGTTGTTGAGCGGCAGCTTGCCGTAGCTGTTGGGCGAGTAGTCCTGTTCGTGCACACAATGTCAACTACGCTTTCCTGACCGAGAGAGAACGGGCAACGCACCTCCTCCGCCTGCTGCTTGGCCGCCTTCTCCGCCGCCTCCTTCTCGGCAATCTTCTTCGCCTTCTCCTGCTTGAGACGCTCTTTCTCCTCGGCCTTCTGACGCTTCTTCAACTCGCTCTTCGAGAGCGGCTCGCCGTTCTCGCTGCCCGACGCAACCCCATCCTAATCAGCCACCGTTTCTGGGAATCAGACTCGACAAGACTGCGAGACGCACCCAAGGACAACCTCGTGCGAACCGCTGTGCTTCGAGTCGACGCTCTTGCGACTGGTCGCGGCAGAGAGGGGCGTCTTTGTGCCGGGAGCAGGACTGGTCGCCCTGCTCGACGCGTTCGAGTTGGAGCGCGAGTGGTGGTGCGGGATGACCTTTTCGAGGATACTGTGCAGTCCGCTGCCCGTCATCGTGTGCTTGAGGGTTGATGAAGCGAGGTGAGAGTGCGAGCGCGGGAGTGTGAGTGAGCGGGCGAAGGGTACGAGTGATGCGCGTGTTCCTGTCCTTGTGAGGCAGGTAGCGAGCATCCAGTGGCTGACACACACACAGCAAGCAGGGAGTCGAGAGCCCGAGTTGAAAGCGAGATGACGGCTCGCGAGGAAGAGGAAGAGGCGAAGGGGTCGCTCGCTTTGGCGCTCTCTGGCTGGACGGAGGCTGTTGCAAAGGGTCCTGTTGCTATAGGCACACAGGCTCACGAGACCGCTCAGCCCTACGCCGTGGTCACCGCTGACGAGAGCGTTCTCTCGTTATACTCGGGACCAGCGGTGAACGGGCGGAGGGCGCACGAGGGAGACGCGAGGGCTCGTGGGAGCATGCAGAGACGTGTGTCAAGCTGGCCGACGGAGCAGCAGTCCCAGGCGAGAGCCGCAGCGCAAGCAAGCCATCCTGAGCAAGGTCCAGCTCAAGGAGCACCAGCACACGACCGTCCTCACTCTCGCGCAAGGCCAGGATACGTAGGTGAACCGAAACTTCCTTTGCCCTCCTTCCACCTGCCCTGAACAACCGAAAGCAACCCAAGATCCACCGCCTACAACCGTCCCATTCCCACCTCTGTAAAACCGAGTCGAGAAAAAGGTGATTGCCGTGCGCCGGATCTTGAAAGTGCCGTCGAGAATCGAGAGCGAGTATTGGGAGAGTAGAGGGGAGTCGAGACGCCTTTTGTTTGAGGTCAGTTGGAGGAGAGGGAGGTTATGCGGATGAGGTTGGGGTGCATCGTTCGAGAGGTAGAGACGAGTCGGCCGGTGTTACGGGGCGAGTCGTTTACTGCGCGCAGGGTGAACAGTGTGAGATGCGAGTCGGGCGGGCGGAGCGGACGGGGTGAAGAGGTCAAGGGCAGGGCGAGGAGGGGAAGGGACGCACCTTCGAGCGAGCGCGCATCTTTCTGCGCTTGCGTTTGAGACGACGGACGCTGTAGGTAGCAAGGAGGCATCGTCAGCCGTGTTCACTAGCTCTGAGGCAGCCGGACCCGCAGCAAGCCAGTGCTAGAATCCGGTCGACCACGAGTGAGAACGGGCACGACGACTCACCGCTTCTTGCGCCACTTGTCACGCATACTGCGAGTCCGAACAGTCGCACCAAGCGAGAGAACGAGTCAGCACTGTGCGTCGGCGGGGAGCAAAAACGTCGAAGGGAGGGTCGGGCGAGAATTGAGGGTGGGCGGTCAGGTGCGCGGCGAGGAGGCGGCGGGGCGGGCTGGGAGTTGTTGGAGGGTGTAGAGCGGGTGTCACTGGAGTGGATGGAGAGCAGACTGACTCGGCAAGTGATTGACGAAATGCGTGAAGAAGGGGAAAGAGAGCGAGGCCAGCGCGGGCGAAGCAAAGCTCTGCGTCCGGCGGACCCCTGTCCTCGCTACGACCCTTTCTCTCTCGTGGCGTCCTACTAAGCCTCCGGTGGGCTACTACGGGCTTGTGCTGGTTGAAGGCTTTGTTGCAGCAGCCTTTCCAAGGCGCGAGAGCCGAGAGAGGCCAGGGAAGCGCTTCTGAAGCTTTTCCAACGAAGACTTTCTTGCGACGAGCAGGCTCAACAGGGTCGATGACCTGGCGCACTCTACGAGCTTGCCACTGGTCAGAGCTGAGCGCGGGAGAAGAAGCGGGGCGAGTATGGGGGCGGCGAACAAGCGGAAGCGTCTGCGAAGACGACCGGACGGCGAGTTCGAGACGACGAGCAAAGACGCCTGCGGACGGATGGTCGGGCAGCATGCGACTGAACCGATCCTCGTGTTGACGCAGAAGTCTGCGAGGCAGCAGGTGGAAGGCGAGCGAGGCAAGACGACGGCGAGGAGGAAGCAAAACGACGGTCTCCTCGAGGACGGCCGCTAAACGGCGAGCTTCAGGGGGAGCAAGTTGCGCAGACATCGCTTGTCGAGTATTTGGTGCAGAGAAGCGCTTGCAGCGTGAGGCAGAGGAGGGGAGCAAGACGGAGAGATCCTCGACGGACTTCGCAGGCGCAGGAAGGCATGAAACGGCAGAGATCCAGCTTCGTGCGACTCAGAACGCCTGACACCCTCGTCATCCTGCACCTCGACGTCGACGTGAGCGGCGATAAGCCAGCGGACGAGCAGGACGGAGAGCGACGGGTGCGGGGAGGAGGAGCAGATTGGCGACGATGGGGACGAGCGCGGTCAAGCTCGAGCGATGCCTGGCAGTCCAGCGGTGTAGCAGCGTCCCAGTCTAAGCGATACTGGCCCAAGCGAGTGCATGGAAGGGAGTCAACCCGCTTCACCAAGCTCGAAAGCGGGGTCGACTCTCGCCAGCAGCGTCCTCACGCTCAGTCTCGCTCTCGAGTGCACAGAATGGCTCAAACTAACCCTCTCTTCGAGCCAGAGGTGCGCACTACCCGCTTCCCGCTCCAGACGACACCGCTCACCTCCTCATCTCCAACCGCTCGCAGAAGCTCCGTATCCTGCTCGTCGGCGGAGGAGGGCGCGAGCATGCCTTGGCCTGGAAGCTGAGCCAGAGCACTCGCGTCGAGAAGATCTTTGTTGCGCCTGGTGCGTCGCATCTTGCGGGATCAGCTCGCCAAGCGGACCGTCGACAGGAGATGCTGATTGCTCGATCCGTCGGCGCACAGGCAACGGTGGAATGACGACGGGCAAGAAGACGGTCTCGGTGGCTGTTGCGGCGGAGGACTTCAAGGGCTTGCTGGACTTTGCCGTCAAGAACGAGGTCAGTACATGCACTCCTCCCTCCTCAAAGTGTCGTTGAGCTGATCTCTCGCTGTCGGGCAGGTCAACTTTGTCGTCGTCGGTCCCGAGCAGCCTCTCGTCGACGGTATTGAGGGCGTCTTCCGCAAGGGTGCGTTCTCGGCGCTTCCTCCTCGACCCGAAGCTCCCTGACAACTCGTTTCGCGCAGCTGGCATCCCCGTGTTCGGCCCGAATGTCCGCGCCGCCGCGATGGAAGGCTCCAAAGCCTTCTCGAAAGACTTCATGGCTCGCCACTCGATCCCTACCGCCGAGTACCGCAACTTCACCTCTCACTCGGCCGCGGTCGAGTACGTCAAGTCCGTCTCGCACGACGTCGTCCTCAAGGCTTCCGGCCTCGCAGCTGGAAAGGGTGTCATCATCCCCTCTTCGAAGGAGGAGGCGATCGCGGGTTTGAACGACATCATGGTCAGCAAGGAGTTTGGCGCGGCCGGTGAGGAGGTTGTCGTCGAGGAGTTTATGACGGGACAGGAGCTCTCGATTCTTGCGTTTTCGGATGGGTACACGGCGCTGGCGCTCCCGGCCGCGCAGGACCACAAGCGGATTGGAGAGGGCGACACGGGATTGAACACCGGTGGGATGGGCACGTACTCGCCTGCACCGGTTGCGACGAAGGAGGTCGAGGCCGAGATCATGCGCACGATCGTCCAGCCTACCATCGACGGCATGCGCAAGGATGGTGCGTCCCTCTCTCTCCGTTTCGATGTTCCTCGAGCTGAACCCGCCCAACTCCGACTGTCGCAGGCATCCCCTTCGTTGGCATGCTCTTCACTGGCATCATGCTCACCCCTACCGGCCCGAAAGTCCTCGAATACAACGTTCGCTTCGGCGACCCCGAAACTCAGTCGCTCCTCGCGCTCCTCTCGGACGACACAGACCTGGCCGAGATCATGGTTGCCTGCGTCGAGCGCCGGTTGGACTGCGTCAAGTTCGAGATGAAGAAGGAGGCGGCGGTTTCGGTCGTGTTGGCGGCAAAGGGGTACCCGGGATCGTACCCCAAGGGCGACGAGATCACCATCGACACTTTGCCTCCCAGTGCGTTCCCTCTGCCTGGCGTCTCCACCAGCTGCTGACGCGCTCACTCACGTAGACGTCTACGTCTTCCACGCCGGCACCAAGGCGACTCCCGAAGGCAAGGTCGTCACGAACGGCGGCCGCGTCCTCGCCGTCACCGCTACCGCCCCTACGCTCAAGGAGGCGCAGGCGCTCGCCTACAAGGGCGTCGACTGCGTTCATTTCGAGGGCAAGACCTTCCGTCGCGACATTGCGTACAAGTGAGTCGAGCTTCCGCTCGATGGCGAGATGTGTGCTGACGAGGTCTCGCTTTGGCAGGGCGTTCCTCCAGGAGGAGCAGCAGAAACCGCAAGGCATGACCTACGCGTCGGCGGGCGTCTCGATCGACGCTGGCAACGCCCTCGTCGAGCGGATCAAGCCCATGGTCAAGGCGACCAAGCGCGCCGGAACCGACTCTGTCATTGGCGGCTTTGGCGGCCTGTTTGACTTGAAGGCGGCGGGCTTCAAGGACCCCATCCTTGTCGGTGGTACGGACGGCGTCGGCACGAAGCTCAAGATCGCGCAGACGTACGGCAAGCACGACACGATCGGTATCGACCTCGTCGCGATGAGCGTCAACGACCTCATCGTCCAGGGCGCCGAGCCGCTTTTCTTCCTCGACTACTACGCGTGCGGTCACCTCGATGTCGACACCGCTGCGGACGTCGTCAAGGGTGTTGCCGAGGGATGCTTGCAGTCGGGATGCGCGTTGGTCGGCGGTGAGACGGCCGAGATGCCCTCCCTGTATGAGGGCGAGGACTACGACGTCGCTGGTTTTGCCGTCGGAGCCGTCGAGCGGGAGCTGGTTCTCCCGCAGCCGACTATCGCGCCGGGCGACGTTCTCCTCGGTATCGCCTCGTCGGGCGTCCACTCGAACGGCTTCTCGCTCGTCCGCAAGATCGTCTCGGCACACGGCTATGACTATCACTCGAAGCTTCCCTACGACACCAGCCGGACACTCGGCGACGAGCTCCTTACGCCCACAACCCTCTACGTCAAGCAGCTCCTGCCCGCGATCCGCAAGGGTCTCATCAAGGGCCTCTCGCACATCACCGGTGGCGGCTTCACGGAGAACATCCCCCGTGTTCTCCCCAAGGGCGTCGGATGCTACGTCGACGCCGGGTCATTCACCTTCCTCCCCGTCTTCCGGTGGTTGATGGGTCTCGGCGGTGTCGCGCCCGAAGAGATGGCGCGCGTCTTCAACTGTGGTATCGGCATGGTCGTCGTCGTTGCGCAGGACAAGGCGGACGAGGTCGAGCAGTCGCTCCGGGCGAACGGGCAGGCGGAGGTGTTCCGCATTGGCGAGACGATCGCGGGCGAAGGGTGCGAGATGCGCAACCTCGAGAAGTGGGTCGAGGCGTCGCGGCAATGATCTTGGGGTGGTTCTCCTTTCTCTTTCTCTCGTCGTCGTTTCAGCAGTAGTCTCCTTTCTCTCGCATACCTCCCCGTGATCTTTGGGCAATAGAATCGCTTGTATCGAAACTTCCGGGTATTCCCTGGATGGGTAGCGCTACAACAGGGTCTCGGTACTGCTTGTGGACGTCGGAAGGCTATTTGGCGGCGGAAGAACTCGACTTGGCGGATGTGAGGACGGAGAGAAACTCGCGACCGTCGGCCATCGCTCCAGCTGCAGCCTCGCCTACTCGTCAGCGACGTCCAGAGCTCTGTGTGAATGGAACGAGACGCACCTTTGGGCTGACTGGGCGCTCCCTGGCCCCAAGCACCTCCTGCAGGTGCCGGCTGCTTCGACTTCCAGATTTCGGGCTTCGATCCAGCAGGTCCCGCGCGGTTTGCAGCGTCGAGCTCAGACTGGAAGGCTGTGCGCAGAATCACAAAGTCAGCTTGGGGGGAAGCACGAGCGAGGGAAGGACTCGCCTCGAGAGAGGACTGAGGCGGCGGCGGCAGCGTCGAAAGCGCCCTTTGGAGTCTGTGCCCGGGACATGCTGTGTACGTGGAGTACTGGCAGCCACCACGAGCCAGCAGAAGCCGTTAGAGTGCTGGCGAGGTTGTCGTCGATGGCAAGGGAGGGACTCGCTCGCCTCGCACTCGTCCCGCTCACACGACGCACCTGCCAGCCAAGATGTTCCGCGCTGCTGCCCGTTCTCTCGTCGCACCCGCCGCCCGCCGCGTCGCCGTCGCACCGGCACCCCGCCTTACGCCGTCGCTCCTCGCCCAGCGGTTCTACGCCTCGTCGTCGCTCTCGCAGGACACGATCAAGGCGCGCATCGAGGACGTCCTCAAGTCGTTCGAGAAGGTCGACTCAACCAAGGTGCGTTGCTCGGACAGCCTGCGCGGGAGGAGGCGGCCCGGATTGCGCCGCCAGACGATTTGCCTGGAGAGGTTCGGGAGATGAAGTCGGCTGACGCTCGCGGTCGTGCTGTTCTGCGCCTGCTTGGTCCTTGTTGCAGCTCACTCCCACTGCGTCCTTCACCAACGACCTCGGCCTCGACTCGCTCGACGCTGTTGAGGTTGTCATGGCCATCGAGGGTGCGCTGCCTGGCCAGGTCTGCAGTCTCGAAGCGTTCATTGCTGACATGTACTCTGACTGCTCGCAGAGGAGTTTGCGATCGAGATCCCCGACGAGGAGGCGGACCGCATCACCACCGTTGGCGAGGGTTCGTCCTGTCTTTTCTCTCTTCTCGCTTGATCGCCTCGTAGCTGACCTTCCCTGAGTCCACAGCAATCGACTACATCTCCAAGACGCCCGAGGCTCAGTAAGCGGCATGGACGCGCGCGGAATTGTAGGAGTAGACAGCGAAACAACCAGTAACCAGCGCATTTCACGGCACTCTGCTTCAGCGCGGCGGCCCGGCCTTTCTTGCTGGGGTGTAGGAAGTGGTGTTGCGCACGCAGAGATCGCTGCCGGTGGACTGGCTCCAAGTAAAGGAGCTCGTCCAAGGCGACGACTGGCAGACGACTCTTTCGCCTTGCGCTGGACTCTGGCTCCAACCGTCCCGTCTGCGCATCCGACTTGGTCGGTGCTTCAGCTTCGTTGCGCTCGTCTTCACTTCGACGCTCCTGGCTGACGACATTAGCAAGTGGTGGCCCGCTTCCCCTTCGGCTCCGCCCAACTTTGGCTGCTCGCGCTCTTCCTCCTTGTCCTCGCTCGTGGCTTCTGGCAGTGCTCGCGGATGACCGACATACCCGTCTACACGCTGCCTGCGAACCTCCCCTGGCCCACCCCTTCGTCATTACCGACCCCTCCGTCCTCATCAGCACCGCCCCCACCGCTCGCCAAAGCGCCTCGACAACAGAAGAGCTGTGCAGCGTGCAGGCTACGGCGAGTCAAGTGCGAGCGGAGGGACGGCGAGGATGGGTGTGTGGGTTGTCGGACTCGAGGATTGCAGTGAGTCTTCGCTGATAGGCGTACTGCTCGTCTGTTGGGCTGATCTTGCTCGTACGCGTAGATGCGTGGTTGCTGAGACGAAGAAACGGGTGACGCGTCGTAACGGGAAGCGGGTCAAGGCAGCCAAGTGAGTTCTCCCCCTCTCGAAGGCGTTCGCTCGTCTCGCTGACCGGAACTTCGCGTTTCTAGGGAGTTGTACGGCGAGGTGGAGACTATCGGGTGCGTCCACCGTCGCCTTTTCGTTGAGGCAGTCGATTGGTTGACGAGTAACTCGATTGATTGACGGATAACTCCTCCAGTTCACCAAAAACTCCTCCTTCTTCCTCAGTCCCCTTCACTTCGTCCAGCGCCGCCAACGTTCCCCATATCTCTTACTCGTCGGCAGACACGCGACTCGGTACCATCGAACTGAAGGAGAACTTCATGAGCAACCTGCTAGATTGCGCGTTCCCCGCTCTTCGCCTCCTTCCCTCTCGCTCACGCTCGTCTCGTCGCAGCTTTCTTCACCTTCCGCTCCGTCACAGTCTTTGACGGCGACGTCGACTTCCGAACCGCCTTTGATTTGGCCGGTCGACGCATCGACCAGCTTTCGGACGCGAACCAGGTTCTTTGCGCCGCTTACCTCGCAATTGGCGCACGCTGTACCGACCATCCCGGTCTGCTCGGTCCGAACGCACCACGACTATCCGATCTGCGCGACATAAGTCGCTCTGTCGACCGCGACCTCTCGCCATATGGTCAGGCTCGGGCGGAAGTTTGCAAGGAGTTGACGGTCAAGGCGCTGGCTCTCGCGGACGAGAAGGGGCTGTTCAGGAAGGCCAGCCCCGAAGGCGTTGCGGCGCTGCTGTTGATCGAGAACCTGCTGCCCCGTACGTCGTCCTCCTTGCCAGACCGAGCCGCGGACTGACTATCCATTCCCACAGTCCCTGCCGATGGCCCCGCCTCTGTCGGCACCTACTTCGCGCACATCTATAATCACCAGGTCCGAGAGCTCCTCACTCGTGCCCAGAACGACCCCGAAGTTCGGCAGAAGGTGCAGGGAACGGTTCTCTCCTGGACGGCCTACGCGCGTTAGGCTTCCCTGCTCGTTCTCGCCTTCTTGCTGACTGAGTGATTGCGTCTTGTAGACCCGCGACGCCCTCGTCTCCGCGTTCCTTGGTCAAAGCGCCACGTTTTCCGACGACGAGCTGTGGCTGCTCCGCAGCGAAGAAGACGCTCCTCCCGGCCTTCCCGAAGAACTCCTCCGCCCTCTCTCGCCCTCGCACGAACAAAACTACTGGCGATTGCTCACCTCGTTCGTCCACTGGGTGACCGATCTCGCTCGCGAGACGCCTGCCGGCTTGACGAGCGTGCGGGCGATGAAGGCGCCGCGAATGAACGAAGCTTTCGCAGCGGAGTTCGTGAAGCGCATTAGGGTCGCGATGGAGACGGTTCCGGAGCTGAAGCGTCGCATGCAGTTGCTCAAAGGCGGTCAGCGGTTCCTCCGAGACGCTGCGACACTCGTTCGCGGGCTGCGGCTGTCAGCTGTCAACCTGAGCTTTCTCCTCAAGCGCGTTGTCGATGACCGGATTGCCGCTCGACCCGCCGGCATCATTAGCGACCTCGGTGCTCTCGCCGCTCCGTCACCCTCGTTGCAGACCTTGCCCGGCCAGGCGTACTGGGACCGCCTCGCCATCCTGCAGCGTGAGGCCAACTTCCAGGTATTCCTGGCGTCGCGAGAAATTGTCTCTGTCCTCAAGGTACGTCTCGGCGCTCTCCAGCGTCCACGTCTTTCGCTAACCCCCTCCGCACCGCAGGAAACCCTCCAAGCCGGCATTCCCCTCGGCTCGCACGAATGGCTCGACCTGCGTAGCATCCAGCTCATGTTTACACGCCTGCCCCTGTGGATGAGGGCTATCCTCGACCAGCCGTCGCAGGAGGAAGGCGGGCTTGAGGGATTCACGATCGACGACAAGCTGCACGACTTGCGCTGGTCTGTCTCCGTCCTTGCCGAAGGGGAAGCCACACTCTGACGTACTCTCGGCCCACAGGACGGCCCGCGCGATCCGCTCAATCGGCTGGAGCTTCGCTGAGCTCACGACAGCCCTGCCATGGGTGCTCAGCGAGATCGCCAATCTCGAGACACGACGCGTCCTCTTCTACC